TTACATCTCAAAATGCTTCGTTCAATATTGAATCGAAGTAAAAGCTTTTCGAATCAAGGTAAATAAAGGAATTTTATGTTCAATTTGCTTTAGTAAACTATTTTTAAATTTGTGGAGATCGAATGGAAGCAGAATTTCTTTACCGGAATTTGTTTATGTTTTAATACTATTTTAAGACTTTTAAATGTTTATTAAAAATTAGAAGAGTTTTTTCTTGCTCCCCCGTACAGTAAAGCCATACGGAGTGAAGATAAATTTCAAAACGAAAATGTTTAGCCTCGATTTGAAAAGCTTTTGCTTGGTTCAATTTTGCAAATGCATATTTCTAACTTTATACTTTGTATTTTGACTTCAATCTAAATTCAAAGTTTTCATGATTCAATGCACGACTACGTGCTTTTGCTTTCACACAAATTATTAATTATATCAAAAAAAAAAGCAAACTCTTCTCACATACATCCACAAAATTCTCAATAAGGTTTCATCTTCTTTTTGCTTGAGCAAAACTTAAAAATGATTGAAAAGATACAAAAATGAAAATTTGGTTTTGATAGAAGAAAAGTAAAATTTTAGATCAGAATTTTGATTCCATTTAATTATCGGATTTATGATTGAAAATGTTCTATAACGGTTTTCCCTACAATGAATAGTATGTTCATATATTTTTATACAAGTAAAATGTGCAAATGTTTGTTTAGATTTTGTGCAAAAAGCCTGAGAACTTTCAACTATGATTAATAATCGACATCGATAGTTTAGCTGAGCTGCATAAACATTATGCACTTTCTTCTCTCTTTTATGATGCAATTGTCAAATTGTTGAATGTCCTCGAATAATTCTTTTTGCATTACATTTTTTACAAATAGTTTTGGTATTCTTTTTTATAAATTTCTCTTTGCTTCTAATTTTTGAAGTAATCCGAAAGAAAATATGAAAATATTTTGCAATTTTTTTAAGTTTTTTGGTTGAAAATTTGTTTTAGATAAAAAAAAATGTACGAAAAAAGATTTAAAGTTAAAAGTAAAAAAAAAAGCATATCGTGCTCATTGCCTTATTTTTCATCCATTTTGCCGTTCGTTTGTCATCGTTAATTTAGATTATGCGTTTACGTTCAATAAAAGTTTCAGGTTTTGCGTGTAGTGATCATTATTGTTGATGGACGTAAATGAAGAGTTTTGTTGTCTCGCATATTCTGTCGCGCATGAAGTGGTTGAATTAATCGCCGAGAGATTCAACGATTTCCTTGCACGTTGAGGCCTTCCTGTTGCCTTGAAGCTTCCGTTTTTCATACCACTTTCGTCATCAAACCATGATGTAGGAGGCTTCGGCAATGACTGAGGCGAAGGCGACTCGAAACATTTACTTCCAGCAAAATACGAAAAGTTTGGTGGTGAGCACGATCCACTGAGACGTTTGCTACTATTATTGTTGTTTGTGAGTCCAGCAACATTGGAAGATTGGTTTTTGCATGGAGTCTTTATATTTATCGACTTTGACGGAGATGGACGCTGTTGAGTTCCACTCGAATACTTTTTATTGCTTGGACTTCCATTAAAGAAAGTCCGTTCACTTGATGGAGCATTTTTGTTAGTTCCCATCTCTTCTTCTTTTTCTTAATCGTCGTCACACTTTGTTGTTTGATGATGAAAAGAACTCTAGAAGGGAGAAGTGTAAGGAGGTGTTTAACTGAACTTTTCTTTCTTTTAAATAATAAATTAAAAATTTGTTGAAAATCGAGGCCATTTTAAATGTTATACAATGTTCACACATGAACGAGAAATCGAATCAGCCAAAAGTAGATTTCTCTTACCTATTTTACTCTTTTCTCGTATCGTCGATGTTGAAAAAATAATTCCAATACTCTTGTTTAACTCAACAGAATGGAGAATTTTGTGTTGCACTCTGATTTTCTCGTTTGATTGACTGTTAAAGTTGAACTTTTTATAACTTTTTCCTTTAGAGTTCTATTCTTCTTCTTCTGTTCTTCGTTATTTGTAAAATTGTATCACAGAAAACTAAATATTTATGAATCTTCAATTTATTATTCTTTTTTTACTTTGTGTTCCTTTTCTCTTTTCTTTTTCTTCTTCCTTCTCACTCTCAAGTTGTGAACTAAATACGCAATTTCTGTTTTTTACATAAATGAAAAAAAGAAAATGGCGTCGTTTGTCTCTTGAAAATATATTTCGTCACTTTTAGCAGTCAACTAAACTTTATAGCTCTTTTAGGGAGTATAAATTTTTAATCCTTATAAATCACAATTATTATCAAATTATTTTACACTTTCTAATTTTTCTCTTTTTTTTTGCGTTCTATTTTTTTCTTTCTAGAGGTGACTTTTTTCAGTCGAACTTAATTCCTTTCAAATGCGAAGCTATGTGAATCCTTCAACTTATCCTGACTTCTTTACCTATTATCTCTCTCAAACAGATCTTAACTTGACTTCAAATTATCACCTTATATAAATTTCAGAAAAATTAAAAAATCGCTTTTATATTTTTTCACATAACTTTTGGTGGTGAAAGATTTTCAGGGTGACCAGTCGGTTATTGTAAACCTTCGAGAAATTTCGATAAATTATGAAAATACTTTTTTATATGGAAATAATTTATCGAAACGAAATGTCATTTAAGAAGATACTTTTAATTAACTTTCAATGATGCATGCTGTCAGGATAGGTTTGAAATTATTACCTACTTAATTCAATTTTCATGTTTATTCCTACCTGAGATATCTGGTCACCTTACTACGTAGTTTGACACCCTTATTCAACTGACAAACAGCCCAGTTTTGTCACACATTTATTTACAATCAGCAAAAGTTGAAAGTGTCGTTATTTCGAAACATCACCCAATTAGTCATACCAACTCGACCAATCCCTCTAAATTTTCTAATTTGTGTTTTATCATCTATTCCCGGTTAATAAGAATTTAACAATTTTATTAAATTAATCTTATGTCTTACATACAATAAATTTACATAAGAATTAGTTTTATAAGTGTTTAAAGTGAATGAGAAAAAGTGAAAAACATGAAGTCACTTAAAGAGAGATTTTTAGGAAAAAAAGATAAGAATAAAGAAAACCAAACGATAAATGAAATTGGACTTCCAACAAATGTTGTTCGCGGTCTTCATGTGAGTAAAAACTTATTGACTGGTGATCTTGAAGGTCTACCAAAGGCATGGACAAGACTTCTCAAATCGACAATAACTGAAGATGAACAAGCTGAAAATCCCAGTGCTGGTTAGTATTGAAAATGTTTTTATGTTTTTTTTCTTTTCCTTTAATTTGCATGAATCATTCGACATAATCATGCAAATTGCCCTGTGATACATCTTTTGCTTAAAATAATTTTTTCATGTTATTTTATAGCGTATCAAGCGGTTAAGTACTACAATTACTCGATCAAGAAGAAAGATAATGTTGAGCCATTTAAGCCTTTCATAACTGAGGAAGCGATTGTAGAAGAAAGTGCAGAAATTGATGAATTCTTGAATGCCAAAAATGCTCACAATTCTGAAGATTCATTTGGTGATAGTAGTGATGAGAATTTTCAAACGTCACCACCTGAAATTCCACCAGAATTACCACCACCTCTGCCAAAGAAAACAAACACAATGCCTCCACAACAAAAGCCAGCACTTCTCCCCAAACCCAATCTTAAGCCGAAACCACGCACAAATAATTTACATAAGGGAAGAGAAGATTTACGATTTATCGGTGATAAGGACAGTTCGAGTGAAGTTAATGATAACAACCTCGATAATCATTCATATAACAATATAAAATCAACTATTGTTGCAAAGAAACCTGACTTTATGCCATCAAATGATAACACAAATAATAACACATTTATCGTAAACGACAATCAAACGAGTGACGATGAGCCAATATTACGTTCAAAGAAACCACATCAGCGCATCACAAAGACCGATGAAGAAGTTTACATGGAACTTCGGAGTATATGCATTCTCACCGATCCACTTAATAAATATGCAAAGACAAAGGAAGTTGGAAAAGGTGCAAGCGGTGTCGTTTTCATCGCATCCGATTTAGAAACACAAAAGCAAGTTGCCATCAAAACAATTGATTTGAAGAATCAATCATCCAAAGAGCTCATATTGAACGAGATTCGTGTGCTGATTGATTTCAATCATAAGAATTTAGTTAATTTTCTTGAAGCATATTTTCTCGAGGAATCAGATACATTGTGGGTGGTTCTAGAATATATGAACGGGTGAGTTGAAACTTTTTTTTTAGTTTTTACCACTTGGGATTTTTGAGTTAATCACTCAATTAAATTTTTTAACTGTTTCTTAAAAAAGATTTTTTTTATCTTGTTGAATTTTCTTATCAAAAACTCTTTTTTTTCAGTGGACCGTTAACTGATGTTGTAACGGAAACAGTCATGAATGAGCGACAAATATCAGCAGTTTGTCGAGAGGTAATTAACCGAAAAGCTTTTATAATTTTCAACAATCTCTAAGAATGTCTTCATCTTCTTCATTAGGTGCTCAGCGCAATTAGTTTTCTTCATCAGAAAGGGATTATTCATCGTGACATTAAGTCGGATAATGTTTTATTAGGTCTCGATGGCACTGTTAAAGTAACAGATTTTGGATTTTGTGCCAATATTGAGGAGCATGAGAAGAGAGAAACAATGGTTGGAACGCCTTATTGGATGTAAGTTAAAGAATAATTTTTAAGCATGTAACTGGAAATTCAATAACATAAATTTATTTAGGGCTCCTGAAGTCGTCACTCGAAAGCAATATGGAAAGAAAGTTGATATTTGGAGTTTGGGAATTATGGCAATCGGTAATATTATCACGACTTTTTTTAAATCATTTAATATTTTATATTTTTATTTCAATTTCTAGAAATGATTGAGGGTCAACCACCTTATTTGAATCAAGCGCCACTTCGTGCTCTTTATTTGATTGCTGCAAATGGACGACCTGAAATTAAGTCATGGGAAAAGTTGTCGGAACCGCTCAAAGATTTTCTTAATTGTTGTTTAGAAGTTGAGGTTGATAAACGTGCATCAGCTCAAGAATTGCTCGATCATCCATTTTTAAGCGATTTTGCAGAACTGAAAAGTTTAACGCCACTTATACGAGCCGCAAGGCGCATCCTAAACAGGGACAAATAATTTTCTTTAAATCGTGCAACGATGTTAATGCTTATGGTTGCTCTAAATGTAATTTCATTCTTATGCTTATCGCAAGAAAAAGTATTTTTAAAACCGATTCTTTCAATCGGATGCTCATCCATCACATTTATTCATCTTAACTTTTTTTGATAACTTAGTAAGATGGATGTGGTTGGAAATAAAGTGTTAGAAAAGGGGACGAAGTCAATTGATTTAAGTTTAAGAACATTCTTTCAGTTCAGATATTATTGTAGAGTGAATGACTAACATACATGATTACATAAACTTATCACTCGACAACAACGCAAATGATGTTTTTAAGTAAATAAACAATGCAATGACTGAACGCACAGTTATGAACAAAACACAAATTAATCGCAATGGGGAACAAAAAAAATTTAAAGCAAAAAAAAAATATCTAAATTGTAATGGAGAAATAGAAGAAGAAATTGGTTTATTGTTGTATAATTCAATTAGAAGATGTGAGTGAAAAATTGCTCGCTGACGGTCTCAATTACCCCCCGCGCAATCATCAATTACCACATCGCTTATTTCTCTTATTTTTGTAGATGAAGCAATTTTCATTTAAAATTTTATGAATGATTATAAAAAATAGTTTTATTCTTTTATTATTTTTAAGACTCTTATTGCTCTTATGCTCTAGCTTCTTTCAGATTAGTGCCTTTGTTTGTGTATCATAAATGAGAATGAACAGAACTATTTAGGATTTTGTAAGGCCAGCATAAACATACATAAATAGTATTAAATGGTATTGTAATAAATCTATGCAGGAGACGCGAGACGTTTTTTCTGCTTCTTCTTTTTTTAAACTACAATAAAAAGAGAGAAAAATTAATTTTTTACAACTTTGTAAGATATCTTGTTTTATTTTGGGATTTTTTTAAGTGTTATCTTTCATGAAATATTTCAGATTTTTCCGGTGTGATTCACAACAAGTAAAACTTTTAATAAATTAATATTAAACACGATGACGTCATGTAATGTGATGGTGTTTATAGCTTCTATAAACAAAGAGATTCTTTAAATTCTTACAAACATCATGTACACTTGTTAAGTACAAACTTCAACGAAGAAAAAATAATAAATAAAAGATTATCATCGATCATCATGTTGCTATTTATAGATTTCTCGATAGGAAGTGTCGAGCAAATTGCTTGAAGTCTTAAGGCAGTCTACAATTTTTAAGCTGATTAAAAACAATGAATTACCGTAAAAAATTAATGGATATCAATAACCAATAACGAATGAAAACGAATTCGTTCTTTAATCGATGCTGAACATAACGCCTGGGATTATTTATGGGAAAATGAATAATTGCAGCTTTAATATCGACTTAAAAATAATTTTCAATTAATCCTGTAGTTTTTAATTTTCTAAATGTAACAAAAAGTTTAATATTTCACCTTCTTCATTATGCTGTTTATTCCGACAAATGCATTTGCTTATGAAAAGATGGAATTATATTAATAATAACGCCGGTAAAAAGCTCATAAAACAACTCCCATCACTAACAAAGTCATGCATCACTTAGATATTATTTATTCTGCATGTTTAAGTTCGTTGGGCAGTAATGCAATAAATAATGGGAAGTTTTTGTTTGTCCATTAAATAAATTTTTCATCGCATAATCAAATTAAGTCGATCGCATCAAATTGTAGGCTATGTGTGAAAGTAACGTTTTTGTTTGGAAATGCTAGGCAGCCAACGTGTGTCAGACATGTGGTTATTAAAAACTCAGACTAAACATATTTTCGATCGTGTAACATAAGCAAAGATATTACTTTTGGTGATTTTTCGCTGACCGAACACCAGGAAACCTTAAAGCTTAATTTGATGATGATTTGAGGCGCGTACTGACTTCATAGTAAGTCAATTAAAAGTATGTACGATGATGACTTAACTTGTGATTTAAGAAGATTAACAACACTTAATTTTGAACATAATGAAATGAAAGCTGGTCAATGGGCGTCATGAGATATTCAGTTTTTGATGTTAAATAATGTTCAGCATCAGGTCGAAAGAAGCACATAAGATCTTTACTTAATATATGACTTTTGAACTGTTGGTAATTGCAAGTTTACTTCTTCCTCAAATCATCTTTTCACTTACTGTCAACATTCAAAATAACCTTTTTAAGCGCTCTAAATGCAAATTGTTTCTCAGTGCAAATGACAGTGGAATGAGCCGGCGTGGAAAGAAAAGCTCTTTGTCTCTCTCTCTTTATCTTTCTACGTCTACTTGCGGCTTCACTTAACTGTGGAAAATCGTTTTGTTTGTGCGATGATGTCTGCAAGTTTTTAAGCTTGAGAGTGCAGTGAAGAGAGTTAAAGAAATGGTCTTTGTGAGAAAACTATAAATGTGAAATCTTACACAGCTTTTCCATCAGTTTGAATTTAACCGTGAAAGCTTAAATTTAGTGAAATTAAAAATAAAACAACATTGTAAGTGAAAAATAGAAAGAAATATAAATAATCATAACAGGTTTTTTGCATATTTACTTAACTAAGAAGTACAAGGAAGACATTTTTTATTAACATGTGTGGTTGCATAATCAAATTTTTATTACAAGAGTTATTAATGAGATAATTAGTGTTGTTATCACGATGTGACCAACAATTGATGTGCAAACTTAAGTGTTGATTTTATTTTAATTTAATTGCAATAAAAATGAAATTAAAGAAATTTTAGTGAAATTATCAAGAAAAAAGGAATATCAAGAAGAAAAACTTCAATAAAAGCTTAATGATGAAATGTGAAACTACCAACGCAAAATAATTCATTTAAAATAATTTTTGGATCCATTACTTTATTAACTTCGCAGCATCTCTACAAAAACTAATCTGTGTTTAATAGCTGAAAACATATTTCTCGCCCGCAATGATAAACGGAACCGGAAACATTCGCGATAGCGTGCAAAGTTTGAAACATTTTCCCTTTCTTTCATGTTGTGTCATGCTTAGTCGTCACTTCACTTTTGAACCTTGTGAACGGCGAAGAAATTTGATTTGTCATGTGCCGTTGAACATTTCAACATAAACACTTTTTATGTTTATAGCATTAAAATCCATGAGATTTTTATATTTTCTTCGAATCAGCAATGAAAAACCATCAATAATAAAAAATTATATCGCACACTAGATTAGGCCTATGCTTTTCGATACATATTTTTTTCTCTTTTTCCTTTACTTCCTGATTTGTTTTCTTCTTCTTTTTCTTTATTTTATAGCTTTGTCGATCAACAAGAGACTGAGTAAAAATGAAAGTAAAAGTTGCAATAGTTTTGCTCACTGTCGCTTTCTTAGGTTTGTTTTCCAAGTCATCGAAGTACCGTTTAATTGAGTAAAACTTATTAATTTCAATTTTTATATTCATTTATTTGTTCATCTGTGACTGTATTCAATAGAGCTCACAAATGCAGCTAATCGAGATAGATATCGAGTATCTCGATCGTATCGAAAGAAAAAAGAATCATCGTACAATGATGATTACAACTTCGATTATGATACTGCACAGCAACATCCACATCAGATTGAAACAGCTGTTGAACATGGAGGCGGAGAATTTGATGGTGAAGACGAATATCACCACATCGAAGTCGGTAAATCTGGGTATAGTGAAGGAGCTGGTTTGAGAAGCATAGCACAAGGATCTGCAGATCAAGCAAATAGTGCAGTTGCAAACCAAGAATTGGCAGCAAAACAAGCCTCATACATTGCTCAAAACAACTTAGCTAATTTGGCACTTCAAGCTTCGGCTACGGCAATGGCTGCACTTCAAGGAAAACAAGTTTTGCTTGCGAAGATCGAACAAGAAAACCTAGATGCACATCAATCATTGGAAAATGAACTTCAACAGTTAAAACAAGCAAAACGATCGGCAAAAGCTGCACAACAGGTAAATTCGGATAACCATTTAAATAAACTTTCGTTACTTAAAATGATGAGTAAATGGAAACTAATTTAATTTTCAACATTTAAGGCGGCACAACAATCATCAAGTCATTTGGCTGTACTTCAAGCAGCACTCAAGTAATTTTCTATTATTTCGAGATATTCATAAAATTTCACTTGTTAATTTGTGACTTCATTTTTCCATTTCTCCTTTTCAATAAATTTCTTCAGCAATGCTCAAACATCGTCAGAGCACGCTCAACAAGCTGCAACTGAAGCTAGGTGAAGTTTAAATAATTTCTTTCATAAAAATGAGATGATTTTATGAATGACAATAATTTCTTTATAGCGCCGAACTCGCAAGTCAATCGAACATGGTGGGAAAAGCAAAAGCACGAGTTCAACAACTTGAAGATGCGTTACATCATGCAAGGTGAGAAATTACAATGAATTGAAGTGTTGAGCTTCGACTTATCGACTTTCTCTCAATAGAATTGACTACGAAGCAACAGTAAACGCTGCAAATGATGCTGCTGCTTCCGCACAGATTGCTCAAAATAATGCTGCAGAAGCAGCCGCCAAAGCAAGCATTTCAAGTCTTCATGATATTCACTCATCACTCCAATCATCTCATGAATCACAACTTCAAGCTCATGGTTCTTCACAACATCCAACAATTCAAGCTCATGGTTCTTCACAACATCCAACAATTCAAGCTCATGGCTCATCACAACATCAAACAATTCAAGCTCACGGATCATCTAAACACTCGTCAATTCAAGCTCATGAATCTTCACAACATCCATCTTTAGCGGCTGCTCCATCATCAAACAAAGATTTATCAAGAAATTCAACACCAAAAGCAACAATAAAATCTCATTCAAATGAAAAACAACAAGAGAAGATCGCATCAAATCATAATTACAGCAACTCTGAATTCAGACCATCAAAGCAATTTAGCTTTGCGGGCTATTAAACGATTTGCTACTAACTTTACTCGCTATTAAGATCATTTCTATTTATCTTAAGATTTCCTTTCGTGAATCATTTAAACAAATTCAATGGCTGTTATTACGAAAGTTTATAATCGTGTATCTAAGTGTTTTCGAATTATTTAATGATTTTTCTAGAAAAAAAACATAAAATTTGTTAATCTTGAACTTGAGATAAAACAATAAATTAAATATTTACAAAAAGATTTCTTTCTTCCTCTGAAAATAATTAGACAAGTTTATTGTTAATCTTATACAAATGTTTATATTTCTTTTTTATATTTTTATTTAATTCTCAAAAGATGATATTTTAATACAGCAACAAATAAAATGCAGTTACAAAGATTATCTTTATCTTTATATTTTAGAAACTGAAAAGTGTTTATTTTTTCTAATTAATTATAAGATTTATGCTTTCAATTGGTATATAGATAAATGATAACTTTTTGTTTACAAAACTTTTTAAAGGAGAAACCACAAACTCATGTTTTTCTATTATTTTTTTAATATGATTTTCCACAAATTAAATAAATACATCGTGAAGCGACAAACATTTAATTTTCATTTTAATTTAATTATGTTAACTACACCAATGCCTTTCAATTTACTTCGCTAAGAAATTTCTTTTTTTTTTAATTTGCATGTTCTTATAAATCTAAAACATATGTCACATGAGACATGACACATGATTTAAGTGTGACAAAATGTTATATGATATCACGTAAGGAATATCGTAACGTAGCGACGTATGGTATTGAAACGTAAGTAAAGTTGACGCGATCATACTGAGATTCCACTGAGATTCTGGTTCCAAAAATGTTACAAAATTTCGTGTAGATAAATTATTGTTTAGAAATATTTGGATTTATATTTTGTTTCATAGAAAAATATGCAATATGGGAACATCTAGGATTTAGCTACGTTTTCCTTTGTTGATTTTGGTTTTTGTGTATATATACAAAAACGTAGCGATAAATTATCTGTTTGCTCAGGTTATTTTCTTCATTTTCTCTTTATTTTTATGAACGCATGATGGTTTTTGGTGTAATGAACATGTGAATGCTATTGAACACTTTAGACTCTTCATGTTTTTTTTTCTTAAAATTTTCTTTGTTAGACAAAATTTGTTTTTCTTGAAGGAATTTATCATTCAATACATGATTCAAATGAGTTTGATTATTTACATGGACGAAAAAAATTAATTAAGATATCATGAACTTGAAGTGCTCTTTAATAAAGTTTCTTTTTCATTAAAAGCTCGCTTCTGAGCTTTTACAAAAGCTTTTTTATTTAGTTACAGAATGCAAATATATACTTTTTTCACTAGTTTTCAATTTAAATTTTATTCCTTTTTGTTTTAAATTTTTAAATGCCCGTTCTGGTCTTCACGCGTCAAAAATTAAAATATTTTAAGGCATTTGATTTGTTAAAAATTCCAAGGGAGTTTTTATCATTTACATTTATGCACTACATTACCTCATGAAAAGTACAAAAATCTAAGTGCCATAAGAAGATCCATAAAATAAAATGTTGTGTCGGACATTGAATAGAAGTTTGTTTTGCAAATATATTAAATGTGGAAACTGTTGTGTCTATGAAATTTATAGATGGAATGGCAGTGTATTTAACTGACAAACTGTCGATGGTAAATTATCTCCATTTTGTTTCGCACATTGAAAGACTCAAGAACTTTCCTTTTATTGTTCTACTTTTTTATGATGAAAATAGTTTGTAAACTGTTATTTTTTATTTGTTTATGGAAAAAATAAAACAAAAAGAATCAAGAACATAAACTGTAATAAGAATTTAGTTGCGTTAGTAAATACATAATTTCCTTCTCCCTTAATATAAGCTTTAAGTAGTTGGGTTAGTATTCGTTTTGAAGTTTTCGTATTTGTTTTTTGTCTAGTTTAGACCGAAATTTGACGTAACATACGAGGAAGAAAATTGAAAATAATTTGAAAACTTCTCGCTGTGAAATGTTGGAGAACTTTCACACATGGAAATTTTTCATCATTTCTTTCAGCTCCTTTTTTCTTCAAAATTTTCCACTTTCTAAACCTCGTATGAAAATGCCAAGATTAGTTTTCGTTATTTTCTTTTTCATTTATCAAACTAAAAATGTGCTTTTTACTATTTTTTATTGAAAAATTAAATTGAATAATTTAAGCAAAACTGAAGGAAAATTATCGTAAAGAAAATTTTGCCAACAGTTTTAGAAAATATAAATAGAATAAAAATATTTTCTACTGCTTGATGTACAATGTTTTATTATTTGCTTAATTACTTAAGAATCAATCCCCTGATTTCGTAGTAAATTTGTTGAAAAATAAAGATAGGTGACAGCTAACTTAAAGAATTATATTTTAAATTGAAAACAAAACTTGCCGAACAATATCAATTGTTTTAAGTTAATTTAATTATCTATAAATTTTCGTAAGATTTCCCAAATCCTTTCTATCCTTTTTAAAATTTTTTTTTAATCGAAACAAAAACAAATAAATGGTCAATATTAGAAACAGAAATATAAGTAAGAAGTGAAGTTAATGGATGATCGAATTCCTTATTATGCTGTGACCTTGGCGCCAGGCAGCTTTCCCAGCACTTTCGATAAATCAACACCAGTCAAGGCATTGACTGCTGGCGGAATTTGACCTACAAGACGAGCAATGTCTGCTGTTGTATTGTCATTTCCGCCAATCAGAACAATTTCCTCGGTTTTAGCTAATGGAGCAGCAACTTCAGCAGCGATCTGAAGGAAAAGAAAAAAATATTGAGAACAAGTGTTTATGCACAAATTTATTTTCGATTTTACCTTAGGCAACGAGTCAAGAACAATATTCATGATAGCAGCGTCTCCATATTGCTTATAGACACTTGCTTTCATTCTCATTCTTTCGGCTTCAGCTTTACCAACCTTTGAAATAAAAAATCAATCAGAAAATGTCTTTTTCTCCTTAAATGTTCCTTTAAAACTTACCAATTCAATGGCTAAAGCCTCAGCGCCTCCAATCTTCTTTATCCGTTCAGCTTCGGCACGAGCCGCTTCTAACGTTTGTGTTCGTTTACCTTCAGCAATCGTTTGAACTCGATAACTTTCAGCTTCAGCTGGAAGTTTAACTGTTGACGTCAACTCGCAATCTTTTCGCAAAATTTCTTGTGATTCGATTTCAATTTGCTTTTTGCGCTCGACGACATCAATTTGAATTTCTTCGTTACGAATTTTCTGACGGATTTTAGCTGCTTGAAGTTCATACGCCAATGCAGATTCGGCTTTCTGTGAAAATATTACAATTCAAATCAAAACGATTGTCTCGAGAATAGATTGACGTGAGACTTACCGCTGTGTTGACTTCTTGATCGAAATTTGCTTTTTGTAACTTAAACATGCGCGAGTTATCTTCAATTTTGGTGTCTGTTGAATATTTCACATCCATAGCTGTTTTTTCGCATTCAGCTTCACGAATACCAGCATCTCTGTGGGTTTCAAAAATTAAATTAAAGAAAATTCTGAAGCATTTACCATTCATTTCTTTACCTGTTTGCTTCAGCCACACCTGAATCGGCATCACGTTTAACACTCGCTGTCTGTGCCTTACCCAACGATTGCAAATATTGTACATCATCGTAAACATCTTTGATTGTGAATGACAGAATTTCGATGCCCATTCGCCCGACATCAGGTGCAGCAACTTCTCTGACCAATGCTGCAAATTGGTCGCGATCTTTGTACACCTCTTCGACCGTAAGAGTTCCTAAAAACAAGAAGAAAAGTAGAACAAAATAAAATTAATGAATTTCTCCTTGATTTGATCTAATTGTGTTGGCGATTATGTCGTGTGGTGAAAGACGAGCACGATTGTTAATTAAGGTCGATTGTCATCATCTCCACTTGCGTTCTATTAGAAAAACCTTTTACAATTCTCAGATCGCACAAAACGAATTTCATCGCATGACAATGTTGTCAAAGTCATTTTCATCAAAACTTAATTGAATGAATTCGGACTTTTGACCTTGCTAAACATTCTTTTCTTCAAAGATGATTGAATGAACACAAATAAATATTTCAATTTCATTTAGGATATTTCGTTTCATTGAAATCAAAACCATTGTCACTGTCACGTAAGGATTTTTGGGGGAGAAATTCAATAATGAAATATTTTTCCGGAAAATCAACCATGAGAAGAAAAGGGACAACAATGAGAAACATTGTGGATGCGTTGGTCCCTTTGGGTATTTGTAATGTCATTAGCTTAATGATCGTAGTGCGAATCTGCTAAAAGTGTCTTGACGTCAAGAAAAGGTTGAATCTTGGTCACGTTTAACACAAAGCCAAAGAGAATTCTTCTCAGTTACGTGCCAAGTTAATTAAGTAACCATCAATTTCATTCCCCTTTATTATTCACTTAAGCTGGAAATGATTCATAATCTTGTAAAAATAATTGAATCTCTAATGAATCAGCTTATTGTCATATAATTATATGATTAGATGAAAACAAGTCAAAGTGTTTTTATGTTTACAACCGTAACAAAATATTATTCATAGTTAAATAATTTGTTATCAGTTTGTCGCATGAGAATTTAGTTTTTCTACGTCTTTGCTGGTTTTTATATGACGGATTCTTAGAACAACGTTTAACGTCTAAAACAAAAGAAATATCTCAGTTTACAAACTAGATACATATTTACAAATATTTCAGTAAACTCTACACGTGCGGTAATGAAGTTTGAAAACAGAATATTGGGGAATTAATTTGACTGTGTTGTTAAGTGGGAAAACGATGATAAATGTAATTTGAATATTTGATTGCTCTTCTTTCCTGACGTCATAGAACAATAACAGAGTGTTTTCAGAGAACTACTCTAAACAACTGTCGATAATTCGCATACGTATTTAATTCGTTCAGTTTGATGAGTAAATACACGTAGAGTAAAATAAACATGAGGAAATATCATTCATTATGAACATGGAAGTCAATTGCACAATTTTCAATGTCATGATTTCGATCGTTGTTATATTCATAACATTAATGTGTGCGCGACAGTTTTTCTTATTAATTTTTTAGTTGCCTGTTCAAGTGAATGCAACAGAACGTGCTTGACGATAAATGTGTAATGAATCAAACGTCAATAGTGTGGAAAATTTTCATTGAAGGTGCACAGATAAATATTTCAAGTATTTTATTACATGCACGCGTTCGAGTCATTTGCTTAAAGAAATGAGTAAGTGAATCGTGCAACCTTCATTTCTAAAATACAGTTTGAAGCTGAAAAAGGAGTTCAATGAATTCTTAGGTCAGTTCTTAAGCGGAAGAAGAAGAGCCGGAGGAATAAACTTCCAGTTTTTCTTTCATTTCTCTTTCGTTTTTTTTTTGCTTTAGCGTCAACGACATTGCCAATTGCTTATTGAGAAGGCAAAGAAGAAAACCTTAAATCCAAAGTCCATAACTGAGCAATAATTAAGGACAATTAAATGTGATTTACAAATACTAAGCGAAGAGTAGACCGCTAGCTTTCCTTAATTGTTATACCATTAAGCTTTTTTCCTTCTTCTTCTTAATTCATTTGATTATATTATTAGTAACTCATGTTCGTTGCTCGATTTATTTTTGAGAATAGGAGAAGGGGAATGAAGAAATCCTTCAAATGATCGTTTTGTTTCTTTTACAAGCTTTGTTCGAGGTTGAAAAGTGAAGTTAAAGCAGTCAAGGCTTTCTTTTCTATTCGCAAAGAGACTTTAATTGTTTAACAGGAAATTCTTTCTTGTCACGGTTGTGAATGAGCGATGCTAAGACACATAATTCCAGTTTAAGAAAGACCATTTGCTTAATGAATTACTGGGGTTAGAGAAATTGATAAATGGATTTTTTGTGTCGCACAGTTGCAACTTTTTTCCTTCTTCTTTATCTAGAAGCTCACTTCAAATTGAATAATGAATTTTCTTGTTAAGGAATAAAAAATTCAATTGGAGATTTCTTGAATTTTTCCTTACTTCAAACTTTTAAAAAATTAATGCCTCGTTTCTAAATAATTGGAAGCGGCTATTTTTGGAAAGGATTTCAAAAGAGATTCCAATGTCAAGCACGCGATAAAAAAATTGAAATGCTTGTATGAATAATTTAACAACTTTCTTACTTTTTAACCACCATTGTCGTAACAGCGAAGATCATGGACAATTTCAATGTTCCCATCCAAAGCATCGACATAATTAATGATTTTTATTTATTCTCAGGGTTTTCACTTTCAATTAATTGAAAAAGTTCTTCCTTGTTTTAATCTCTTGATGAGCTCGTCAAAGTAGAATCAGTTGATTACACTTTTTAAACTTTATTTGCACCGGTCTTGGCTTTAATTATTTTTCTTTGTAACTTTTTTCGTTTCTTCTTCAACAGCAAATGAATATTTTTTTAACAAAATTTTCTCTTTTGTTCAACAAATTCAATTGCACAACTTTAATCTTTTTTTCTCTTTAATTCCGTGAATAACTTTCACGACTGTTCAGTTTGACTTCTGATAATCGAATGAATCGCTTACATTGCTGCGTTGTGTTTGAACAGTAGAGAAAGAGAAGAAAGAAAAAAATTGAGAGAACGAAGTGAAGTTTCGTGATGTCATCGAAGTGGGTATGTGCATGAATGGGAAAACACAACGAAACTCAACGTCATTACTTCATAGAGTCGCATAGAAATCACTAGCATAATGGATTGCAACATTGTTGGACTTTGATCTTAAAGTTAAACTACAACTCTCTCGATTTTTCTTGCTCAATCTTTTTTTTCCCTTTATGATCTTTCGAAATTTTGGTTTTAGGAATTTGATTTCACTTCACTCATCGTGTTATAAATTTAATACTTGAGATGTGATGAAATACATAAACATTTGAAATCTTGTCTTAGATGAATAACTTGTATGAAAATTTGAATAAGAATGTTTTGAGAGAAGATTTCTTTAAAAATATTTTTGCGAGAACTTTACTCAGATTCATTCTCGTTTTTTTTCTAACGATGTTCAACGACGTCAAGCTATGATAACATTCAAACTCATTTAATGAAAACGTTAAAAAAAGTATCTGCTAGTTCAAAGTGTTCTGTTGCTATTGCCAAAGATAGCTCAACACATTTTTTTATGTAAATATCTTTAAACAAACTCTGTTTTACTCGTATGAAAATGTGTTGAGTGCTTTGTGACGTAAATGGTTCATGAAGCGTACAAAACAAAAATAAAATCCACTAGAAGGTTCATCGAATCAGTCTTTGCTTGGTAGTTCCAAGTGCGTCATTCAACCACTTGTTTTTTATTTTTAAAAAATATAAACAGGTCGCGATGCTAAATATAAAAGATGATGACTCAGCTAAATAATCAAGTTGGTTCGTGATTATCAAGAAATAAAAACCAACCACTACAATTCTCGAATATTCCTTTTTCTTTGAATTCCTTTCTTGAAGGCTCGTCGGAGTAACAAATTCTACCTGAAGTTAAGTCATTATCATTTCTCTCATTCTCTAACAATAGTGAGACCTCTTAAGACACTAAATAAAAAGAAGAAAGTTTTTTTTACAACTTTCAACATGTTTTGAATCACGTACACCACAATTTTGAAGTGTCACATTGCAAACCACTTTTGCAACATTATTAGTCATGGGAGTTTTTATCATTTACTAACCTAGAATAGCTCGCAAGTGTCCCTCGAGTGTCTGTAGAATGGTCTGTTTGATCTCCTTCACCGATTTACCCAAGAATTGTTCACTGGCCGTGCCCAACAATTCGTCCGCCTGGTGATGAAAATAATAGACGTTCATCATCTATAAAATGAAATACAAAAGAAAAGGCATGGAATGAGAATTTCTGCTGGTTCGGTTGAAACTTTGGCTACAGATTGGCCGGACGTGTCGTGTTTTTTATAAATCTTTTTGTGTGATACTTGGTGGACCCATCATTCTGCCGCTGCTTGATCGTTTGTTCACGCGCATGTTTTCTGAACAGTTCGTTCAACGCTTGATGGCACAATAATTTACACAGATCAGAACAGAACGGATCCATCGGATGGTCGCAAGCGGCTGGGTCTTGCTTTCTTTTATTAACTACTGGTACCACAAAAATTCCACTCTTTTCATCTCGCCATCACACTTCACAACTCTCTTCCATTACTTTAAGACTTTTTCTTTTTTTTTGATATTTAAATCACAAGCGACTAATTCTTTTGTATTTCAAATCATAAATAATAAATTGTTTGGGTTTAGGGAGAATATTTTTAATTTAGTTAATTGAAATGATAAAATGAACAAAAGCTGTAAATAAAGAAATTATCTTTAAATAAAGGGAAATAATTTATTTTAATTAATAACTGAAAATTAATGAAAGAAATTAAAATTAAACTTAATGTAAAGGAATTAAGATCATCAAAAATTTTGTCACTTGAAGAAATTTTCACATAAATTATTAATCCAAATAATTAAAGTGACGAAATATTTGATATAATATTTACAATCTATCATCATCTTTCACAACATCAAACATCGAAATAGCAGCCATAATAAATCATACTGTCATCAAAAAAATCACGTTATGTTTAAAAATTGAGGTGCCATTCTAAAAGTGTCTCAACATTAATAAGATAAGACAAAAATGATGCTAAAGCACATATCGTAAGTATCTATGCAGCGTGCTGAAAGCTTGGAGAATAAAACTAACAAATTTAAAATAAAATTATATCAAATTAAAAATAAGAATTCAATTAAGAAAATAAATAAATAAAACTGCGGCCATCAAAAGCAGCGATGATGAACCAACTTTCATTTCTGTAAACTTTTTCTAATTTTCAAAATTTGACTAAATAAACATTCAAAGTAAATTGACATGGATTGCTTAATAATTAGAAATTCTAGGTAATTAAATATTCAAATTAGCCGAAGACTAAACTGTCGGCTACATCAATGTCTTATCAGTTTTACAAAACTGGAAGAATTAACAGCATAAAATTTTAACCTAAATTAAATCAATTTTGCTTAAAAGCATTAACGAAAACCAAACAAAAGAAAATCGCCAAGAGACCTAAAACAGGGCTTGAATATTCTACATTGATGTGTAGAAAACAGAGAAGTTTGTGTAGAAAACAGAAAAGTTCGTGTAGAAAATTGCGGTGTTATTTCTGTTTTTCTAAAATGTGAGATCACGTCATCATACTTTCTGAAGTCATAACACCCTTTAAATTGTACCAAACAGTTTAAGGTTTCAGATAGTTAATTACATCAATTATGTAGATGGTTGTTGGCTGTGCTTAATTTAATCGCATTAGTTTTGAAGATAGCATTGAATTTCTGCTATATGCAGCTTTGACTGCCCGGTTACTATAAATATATAAGCCATTTACAACGGTTAATGGAATTATCAGCTAGCATTGACATTGATAACTTAAGTCTTTAAATTAACTGAAAACATAAAAATAATCATAAAAATTGAGGAAGGAAATTATTCATGAAACTATAAATAAAATTTAAGGACGTCCTTGACAATCAAATGCGAGAAGTTTCTCCTGGAGCCAGCACTACTTACTAGATACGCATGCAATGGGTACGATAAGTAAAAATTTCCATTAAATTGGGTTTAAAATAATCACAAATACCAATGGAAAATATCATTAAAGAAATAAGATTCCTAAAGGAAATGAAAGTACAAAGAAGAGAAAAAATATCGGAAAATTTTCCATCGTTAGAAGAAATCACCTTCATGATTTTGACTTGAGCGACGCCAGTAACGGTAAGAGCAACACCTTGAGCTGTTTCTACCATCTCACACATCGGATTGAGTGTCATCACTTCGAGCGAGAGCTTTTGAACATCTGTAACAAGCCACCAAGCCCAAGCCCATCCACCAACGATGGTTCGTTTCTTCGTTGATCCGCAACATCCTCCTGTGAAAGAAAAATGCAAAGAAAATTGTTAATAAAATTTATTTTCATTGTAGATATAAACAATTGATGAGATTCCGAGTAATTTTCACTTTTTTTAATTGTTCAATGAATAGCTGAGAATCAAATTATTCAATAAATTTTATTTGGTTTCATGTAGGAATAATGCCAATGGAAAGCTGAGTATCACTGCACCCACAATTCCTATTCAATGCAATCAAATGGTGTTGAAGCTTTTGTTAATCATTTATTATTATGAGAAGAACGTGCTTCATGTCAGGAACCACATTTCTTCACATGACATGAGAGTGTAAACATTATTGTGGTAAGATGAAATGTCTTCACAGCACAATGTGGTTCATCATTCATCAATCACTCTTGAACTTGATCTTGATTGTGATCAATATTTTGAATGTATGAAAGCACATTTTTAGAAGTTTGCGTCTTTTTCTCGTGTTTTAACATGTAGACTTTTCTTCCTACAATTGCATTCGCTTTCTTCGATACCAATATTATCAAACAGATATGATGAGTCAATGTTAATGTTGTGAAACAAGAATGGGAAGAAAGAAAAAAGAAATTTTTGTTTTGGTTTTATTTTTCTTCGATCGACTGTTTCAGTTCTTCACTTCGTTTCGAAGTGTTTAAACCTCTGAAGACTTAAAACTTAAAGCATTTCTTTCAGCGTGAATCAGAACGAGTCTTTTGTTACTCATAATTGTTCGATCAAAATTATTAAATATCAAAAGGCAAATCAAGTTGAGCGTGAATCAAACGGGACTTTAGAAGTAATTTTGCTGAAGTTTCTTCTTGTTTTCTTTCTTCGGCTTTTAAAGAATATTGAAAGCGTTATTCGTGGATTGAAAACCGTGTGTTTGTGTAGCAGATATTAAAATTTATGCAAAAGAAGCAAAAATTTGTCACGTAACTGTAAACGAAGTGAAAATCAAATAGGAAATCTTCGTTCTATGTCAAGGTAAAAGAGAAATTTAAAAATAAGTTTCTTCGTGAAGACAGAAGTGTTCTCGAAGAGAAAGCAAAACGATTGCATCATCGAATGAATAATGCAAGCGTTCCGAAAAGTGCAAATATTTTATGGAAATTATAAAAAAGCACTTTCTATATTGATGTGCTTACAAACCATCAGACGATTTCACTAGCTTCATTTTAAACTCGAATAGAATATAAAGTACTTTTCATTTCGGATATTTAATGAATTTTTACATAATCGTTTCATGTATGAATTTTATTTACGAGAATGCGATGTAAATATTATTTTATATTTTGACTCGACGCGACAAAATGTCAAAACGATTCTCGAAAAAAAAGAAAGAAAAATATCGAAGCATTCGAAAAGTAATTTCGTTTTGAATTGAGTGCAATTATTTATTGAAACCACAAAATTAAATAATGGAAAGTGCTTTTTTATGAAAAACTTTTCCAAACTCTTATACATGAAGCAAACTAATTTAATTTAATTCTTTTTCAATAAATATTCAGGAATGCCTTGAAAGCTTTCATTTCATTCTGTTGAGCGTATTAAGTGTCGTCAATAAATATTAACAATAAAATAGAATGAGTAGCGCATTAACTGGTGGGATTACTGCCTTGGGGGGTGCAGCAGCGACAGCAGCAAGTAATGCCGGGTGGTTTGTTCCAATGCTTGTCGCCGCACTCGCTTACTTTCAATATGAAGAATTCGTCGATCCAGAATCAAAGCCAATCAACATTCCTACAGAAGATCTTCTCAGTGATTACGATTTCATTGTGATAGGTTCAGGTTCAGCCGGTGCTGTTGTAGCAGCGCGCTTATCTGAAGTTGAAAATTGGAATGTTTTAATTTTGGAAGCTGGTGGAGATGAAACAGAAATTTCTGACGTTCCTTTAATGGCTGGTTATTTACAATTAAGCAAATTGGATTGGCAATATAAAGCAGAACCTTCTGGAACTTTTTGTTTGGGTAAGGCATCAAATATTTAGAAGCAGAAGAAAAGTTCTAACTCTCAGTTGTTTGCCAGTCGATTCAAAAACTTTTCTTCTCGAAAAAGATGAACTGAATTATTTATCACTTTATTTAATTACAGCTATGAAAAATGGTCGTTGTAACTGGCCAAGAGGAAAAGTCGTAGGCGGATCAAGTGTATTAAATTATATGCTGTATTTGCGTGGAAATAAAAGAGATTACGACTTGTGGGAAGAGATGGGAAATTCTGGTAAATGTCTTAAAAAATAAAACGTTCTGTTGAATGTCATAAATTTAATTCATTTTATTTGTTTTATTTGAAGGTTGGTCGTATAAAGATGCACTTTATTACTTTAAGAAATCCGAGGATAATACAAACCCTTATTTAACGAGCACTCCATATCATTCATCAGGTGGTTATTTAACGGTTGGTGAAGCTCCATATCATACTCCACTTGCCGCTGCTTTTGTTGAAGCGGGTGTTGAGATGGGTTATGATAATCGTGATATTAATGGAGAGAAGCAAACAGGTTTTATGATAGCTCAGGGAACAACGAGGCGAGGGAGTCGATGCTCAACAGCGAAAGCATTTTTACGACCTGCAAGACTTCGCCCCAATCTACATATAGCAATGTTTTCTCATGTTACGAAGATTCTCATCGATCCAATAACCAAACATGCTTTCGGTGTAGAGTTTCTTCGCGATCGTAAAATGCATTACGTTCGTGCAAGCAAGGAAGTTATTTTATCTGCTGGTGCTATCAACTCGCCACATATACTAATGTTATCTGGAATTGGTCCAAAAGCTGAATTAGCGAAGCATAAAATTCCTTTGATTAGAGACGCTGCAGTTGGAGAAAACCTACAAGACCACGTCGCACTCGGTGGTTTGACATTCATGGTGAACCAAGAAATTTCAATTGTAGAAAATCGATTTCACACAATGTCGACTGTCATGGAATACGCAGTTTTAGGTCAAGGTCCATTAACTATAATGGGCGGAGTTGAAGGTTTAGCTTTTGTAAACACAAAGTATGCAAACAGTTCGAATGATTTCCCTGACATTGAGTTCCATTTTGTTTCCGGGTCTACAAACTCAGATGGTGGCAGTCAATTGAGAAAAATTCATGGATTAACAGAATCGTTTTACAAACGAGTTTTCGAGCCAATTAACAACATGGACAGTTGGAGTATTCTGCCAATGTTGCTTCGACCCAGAAGTAAAGGTTTGATTAAGTTAAGAAGCAATAATCCATTTGATTATCCATACATATATCCAAACTATTTTGTCGATGATTTCGACATGAAGACCTTGGTTGAAGGTGTGAAAATTGCTGTTGCACTTTCTCGAACTCAATCCATGCAAAAATATAAATCAATGTTGAATCCATTTAAATTCCCTGGTTGTGAACATATTCAAATGTACACTGATCCATATTGGGAGTGTATGATAAGACATTACACTTGCACAATTTATCATCCCGTAGGCACAGCAAAAATGGGACCATATTGGGATTCAAAGGCTGTTGTTGATCCACAGTTAAGAGTTTATGGTGTGACAGGTTTACGTGTTATTGATGGCAGTATAATGCCTAATCAAGTTAGTGGAAATACAAATGCACCAATTATTATGATTGGCGAAAAAGGTGCGGACATGATTAAAAATTATTGGATTAATAAGATTTATTAAAATTTAGTTGAAATCTAGTAATTAAATTCTTCTTTAACTTTAAGCCATATGTAAATTATTAATGAACTCATTCACAACTTGGATTATTTATTTATTTTTCTATCTAACTTAGCAATTAGATTCATTAACAATTCGTCTGATTTCCAAAGAATTCGCGATACTTCTGATAATTATTTAAGGAATTAAATAATACTTAAAGTAAATGTTAACAATATTTTGCAGAAAAGCAGTAAAGTTTTGCATAAAAAATAGTTTTATGTTTTATAATAAAATGGAAAGTCAGCAGAAATTCTTATGACATAAATAGCAACTTGTTACATTTTTACGAGTTTCAGTATGTTTTTGAAGTTTTCAGTGAGTTGTAGGCAGTTGTTAATTAAATCATGGGATCGTTAGCAGGCACCTACGCTGCTTTAAGAATTTTATTCAGTTATGGTCCGGGATTTTTAATGTTGATGTTACTTGATAGCACCATTTGGATGCAAAGACCAGATATTGTTGATTACAATCATCGTGTTCAAGATATTCCAACACAACACATTTACAATGTGTACGATTTCATTGTCATTGGAGGTGGAACAGCTGGAGCAGTAATGGCTTCAAGGCTTTCAGAAATATCTGATTGGACCGTGCTTTTGATAGAAGCCGGGCCTGATGAAACTTATTTATCAGATGTTCCTCTAGTGTTTCCATCACTTCAACAATCTGATCTTGATTGGAAGTTTCAAACAGAGACAAGTGAAAATTATTGTCTAGCAATGAACAAAGGTCGATGCAATTGGCCAAGAGGGAAAGTTTTGGGAGGTTGTAGTGTCCTTAATGCCATGTTGTATGTTCGTGGCAATCGCAAAGATTACGATGAATGGGAATCATTAGGTAATCCGGGTAAGTCACATCGCCATTAGCCAAAATTATATCTACGTAAACAAACATACATAATAATCTCCTTTCTCTTCTTTTCTAAGGTTGGTCTCATAAAAACGTAATTCACTACTTCAAACGACTAGAAAATATGCGAATACCACATTTGGTTAATCATCCAATGCACGGAACTACTGGTCCAATGACCTGCGAGTTCTTCCGCTATTCATCACCGTTGAGTGAACTTTATCTTGAAGCTGCTGCTGAAATAAATTACCTTAATCCAAACAATGATTACAATGGTGAAACACAAACGGGTTTCTCTCGGTCACAAGGAACTATTCGTGACGGTCTACGTTGTAGCACAGCCAAAGCTTATCTTAGACCTGTCAAACATCGAGAAAATTTGCATATCTCTTTGAACTCTCATGTGGAAAAGATTTTGATAAATCCCAAGACAAAAGAAGCTTATGGCGTACTTTTTTCGAAAGAAAATAAAAAGTATGCTGTATTTGCAACAAAGGAAGTTATCTTATCAGCCGGTGCTATTCAATCGCCACAAATAATGATGATATCGGGTGTTGGACCTAAAGCGCACCTTGAAGAAAATGAAATTGAAGTTATTCATGACGCACCTGGTGTTGGCGAAAATCTTCAAGATCATATTGCGTCAGGTGGGGGAAATTATTTAATAACGAATCCCGTTTCGAATGATTCACTTAGCATTATTGTACCGAAAGTTATGCAAGTTGATTCGATTCGTAATTTTGCTTTTCATCAACGTGGTCCAATGTATGCGATGCCAGCTTGTGAAATAATGGCATTTATTAACACAAAATATCAAGACCCGATTGAAGACCGACCGGATGTTCAATTGTTTTTAGCATCGTTTGCTGACAGCTCAGACGGTGGATTATTTGGCAAACGAGCGTCTGGCCTATCCAATGATTATTATGCTGAAGTTTACGAACAAATACTTTTTAAAGATGCTTTTATGATTCTTCCGCTTTTATTGAGACCACAGAGTAGAGGAAAAGTTTTACTCAGAGATAAAGATCCATACTCGCATCCACTGATTTATCCAAATTATTTCGACCATCCAAGAGATCTCGAAATTATGGTGAGAAATTTTCTTTTCAAAATCAATTCATTTTTATTAATTTTCTTTTTTTGATATAATGAACAGATTGAGGGATCGAAGTTTGCTTATAAATTGACTCAAACAAAAATCTTCCGTCCACTTAACGCTACAATGAATCCAAATGTTCCACCCGCATGCGAAAAATTTACAAAGTTATCTGACGAGTTTTGGGCATGTTTAGCACGACAATACACGCAAACTATTTATCATCCAGTTGGAACATTGAAAATGGGACCAGAAACTGATCCAATGGCAGTTGTTGATCCAAAACTTCAAGTTTATGGAATTGATAAGTTGAGGGTTGTCGATGCAAGTATAATGCCAAAGATAGTGTCTGGAAACACAAACGTTCCAGTCATGATGATCGCTGAGAAAGCATCAGACATGATTAAGATAAAACATTTGGGAATTAAAACTGAAAAGAAATTCACCAGCGATGCTAAAGAACAAAATCAGCATAAAGAGAAATTCAAGTCATCGACTTAATTATCATTAGTTTTAAGTTGAATCATTTTGTTATAAATTTAAATTTCTCATTAGGAAGTAAAATAAACATTTGCTACTCAACAATATTTTCTTTGTAAATTGAAAGTTTTGCAAAATAACAAACTTTTTTATGCATTGTCATGAATTATTTAAAATGACATTTCATTGTCAATGAACTGCTGACATGACACTCTTCAAAACTTTCTTCCTTTACGATTCAATTAAATTATTCAAAATCAGTATTTATTTGTTTGTTCATTAATCAGACATGAAGTTTCATTGATTAACTTATTGTTAATAATTTATGGTAATGAAAGAATGACAGAAACATTTTATCAGGTAATGAAAACTTTGATTCCAATTATTTAATTTAGATAAAAGTTACGCAATAATTTTTTGTTTACATTGCAGTCATTTTTGTTCAAAACAAGTAACGATGACTGATTAAAGCCTTTCTTATCAAAAACTTATCAGTAAGTGAAGCGATAACTTTCTGGTCTTTTCCTACGTGGCGCAAATTTATTTTATTTGAAATATAAACTTGGAAATCGTAGCACGATTTCAGTTTCTAATTGACTTCTTTGAAAGGAAGATGGAGTTCTTACCAGAACAATGTGCAGCGAGTAGTGTTGGTGCTGCAAATGGATTATTTGGTATTTTAATTAATACTCTGATTGCTGCACAATGTGCATTGTCTTCACCGGATCGATGGCCGAAGGATTATGGCCCAACAGCTTTAGAAAAAGGTAAATTCAAATAATTTCTTCAAGAGACAATGAAAAAATTCTTTAAACTTTAATAAACTAGGTTTAGATGAATATGATTTTATTATTGTTGGAGCTGGTTCAGCTGGCAGTGTCGTCGCTAATCGTTTAACAGAAAATGAAGATTGGAAAGTTTTACTTATTGAAGCAGGTGGTGATCCACCAGTCGAAAGCGAGGTAAACTTTTAAAAAAAATTATTAAGCATCAATTTGCCTTTAATTTCAAGCATGTTTCTTATAAGTGAATGTTTTGCAATTTTTTTTAAATTCATAATGCAATCACACAAGATTTCGACGTGTTGTAAATATTTTTACATTTTCATAATGTTACAAATAACTTGAGAAATTTTATTAACTAATTTTTTTAATAACTCAGCCACAAAAGTGATGATAAAAATCTAAAAAAGATTTAAATGAGAGAATTGTGAAAAATAAATAATTTAAGTTTAGGTTGACACTGGGAAAGTTTTCATTTTTCACGACGAAAGTTTTATTCTTTTTGTGTTATCATGCTACTGTGTTGTTCATCGGTATGTGTTGAAATTTAATTCTCTTATCAAAGTATTAAATGATAAAAACATTATTTCAGATACCGGGAACAATGATGTCTATGCAAAAGTCAGAAAATGATTGGGGATATTATATTGAGAAAACTGATAAAGCGAGCTTAAGCTTTCCAAAGGGAACATATTGGCCGAGAGGAAAGATGCTTGGCGGTACTTCATCAATAAACGCGATGATGTATATCAGAGGAAATCGAAAAGATTACGATACATGGGAAGAATGGGGTAATCCAGGATGGGCCTACAGACATGTCTTAAAATACTTTAAGAAATCAGAATCCAACAGACTCGCTGATGAAGAAGAATTCAAAGGTTTTCATGGCAAAGACGGATTAATGGAAGTCGATTATTTCTTCAGTTTCGATCCAATCAAAGATATGTTGGTTGAAGTTGTAAAGGAACTTGGATTTAATCTTGTATCTGATCCAAACGCTGAAGATCAAATGGGCTTCACTTTCTTGCAAGGAACTGTTAGTTACGGTCATCGAGTCAGCACAGCGAAAGCCTTCCTTTCACCAACAACAAACCGAACAAATCTACATGTAATTAAGCATGCCCAAGTGACCGATGTTATTATTAACAAAAAAGGTGTTGCTGAAGGAATAAACGCAATTGTCAATGGAAAGAAAATAAAAGCAAAAGCAAAGAAAGAAATTATTTTGTCTTCTGGTGTCGTTGGCAGTCCTCAAATTTTATTACACTCAGGTGTTGGACCTAAAGAACACTTGAAGTCACTTGATATTAAAGTAAAGAAAGATTTGCCTGTCGGCAGAAATCTTCAAGATCATCAAATTGTCTTCGTTCCATTGAAACTTCACAAGACACATGCACAACCGATCCCAGAAAGCGATGTTTTTGATAACATCTACATGTATTTAACGAATGGTGTTGGAGCTCTAAGCCATTTAGGTGTAGCAGATTTCACAGGCTTTGTACACACGCAAAACAGAAGCAACGAATACCCTGATATCCAATTTCATTACTTTCAATATCGCATGGGTGAAGAGAAAAAACTTAATTACGTTTTGAACAACTACGGTTATGATGAGCACGTGAGAAAGTCGTTATTGTCTGGGATTAAAAAGTCGGAATTATTAATGGTAATGGTTCTCTTAATGAAACCAGAGTCGAGAGGAAAAATCGAATTAACAAGTAAAGATCCACTTGAAAAGCCAGTGATATACGGAAATTACTTGGAAGAACAGGAAGATGTTGACACTCTGATTCGTGGTGTTAACGTTGTGAAGCGAATGATTCACACAAAAAAAGCTAAACAACACGAAGCTGAATTGCTTCAAGTTGATCTTCCGGGATGTTCTCAATTTGAATTTGATAAGCCAGGTTATTGGGAATGTTATGTAAGGCACATGTCAACAACTGGTTACCACCCAACAAGCACTTGTAAAATGGGACCAGACAGTGACCCTGAAGCTGTTGTGGATGCGCGGTTGAAAGTGAAAGGAATCAAAGGACTTCGTGTTGTTGATGCAAGCATAATGCCAGATATTATCAGTGGTAACACAAACGCACCAACAATAATGATTGGTGAAAAAGCTTCTGACATTATTAAAGAAGATTGGAAAGAAAAAAACAAAAATGTTCACACCGAATTGTAACGAAATCAACAATTATTTTCTACTTATTTCTACAAGTTCGAGCAATCAAAATAAATAATTACTTTGTTGTTGAAATTAATCAAATTGTTTTTTCTTTCATCATAAAATCAATTTTAAGTGTTGTTCATTTCATTCCATTGAGAAAAATCAAAGCCTTGAATAAATTTAATTTCTTTTCCTTTCAGATTCCATTTTTATTCCCAGCATCATTTAACAATTCTAACTCATGGAATAATTTTGCTGAGATAACAACGAAAGCTAGCAAAGGATACAAAAACGGATGTTATTGGCCAACAGGGAAGTTATTGGGTGGTTCAAGTTCCATCAATGCAATGCAGTACATAAGAGGCAATCGAAGAGACTTTGACACTTGGGAAAAACTTGGCAACCCCGGTTGGGGATATGATGAAGCTTTAAAATATTTTATGAAATCGGAAGGAAACCAAAATTCTTGGCTTATTGAACATTCAAAAGGAAAATATCATAACCATTATGGACCTTTAAAAGTTGATGCATTTAATAGTGTGGAATCACTTAAAACTGTTATATATGAAGCTGCTTTTGAGCTTGGCTATGTCGAACAAATGGATGTTAACACTGATGGTGATCACATTGGTTTCGTGACAACACAGGGAACTGTTTATGGTGGTGAACGACACAGCACTGCAAAAGCTTTTCTTAATCCAATAAAGAAAAGAAAGAACTTACACATTATTAAACACGGACTTGTCACTGAATTGATAATGAACGGAAATGAAGTTGAAGGCGTGAGATTAGAAATCAATGGAAAGAAGCTTGAAGCGAAAGCTAGGAAAGAAGTGATTTTGTCTGCTGGCGCTCTTGGAACACCCAAAATCTTAATGCTGTCAGGAATTGGAAGAGAAAAAGATCTTAAGAAGCATAACATTGCAGTTGTTAAAGATCTTGCAGTTGGATACAATTTACAAGACCACGTCATGGTGCCAGTGACTTTCCAATTTCATAAGACAACAGCAAACGATCATTCACCAAAAGATATTTCTGATTCATTATTTTCATATTTAAAACATCGCGTTGGACAATATGCCACAACTGGTCATTCTGATCTTTCTGGGTTTATCAACGTAGCTGATAAGTCATCAGAATATCCCAACATTCAGTACATATTTATGGGACAAGCTAAGAAAATGATTGGCTATCGTACAGCACTTGAAAATTTGGGTTTGAATGATGATTTCATTACACAATATTTAAAGGCAAATGAAGAAGCTGAGACTGTTACGACAGGCGTTATATTATTGAATCCCAAATCAAGAGGAAATTTAAAACTTCGAAGTAAAGATGTCAAAGATCCATTAATCATTAGATCTGGCTATCTAGATGAAGAAGAAGATGTTGACACGTTGCTGAAAGGAATGACTGCAATTTTGAAATTACTCAATACAAGAAATTTCAAAATTCACGAAGGTGTTTTATTCAGATTTAAGATACCAGAATGCGATCAAAATGGATATTACTCGGACTATTATTGGAAGTGCTACATAAGTTATTTATCATCAACACTTTATCATCAAGCTGGTACTTGTAAAATGGGACCATCAACTGATCAAGACGCAGTTGTCGATCCTCGATTAAAGGTTTACGGCATTAAAGGCTTAAGAGTTGTTGATGCAAGTGTTATGCCACTGGTAACAAGCGGTAACACAAATGCACCGACTATTATGATCGCTGAAAAAGCTTCAGATATGATTAAAGAAGACTGGACGGAAGCTGAGAAAGCCGAATGAAAGTCATTAAGCTAAATAGAAGCAACAACATAATTTCAATCTTTTAAAGTATCTGTGAGATTAAAGAAAATGATTTAATAAATCAATCTGTTCTCTATCATTAAATAAACGACTTTTGAAAGGCTTTTTATAGCTAGCGATCGTCATTTAAAGCCACGCAATGTTGAAAACAAAAAATAGATAAAAAACTTTTCATACTTAAGTGACGCAACAAGTGCAAAAGTTACTTTTTTGTCTTATTAGTGGTCGAAACAATAAATTTTTAGATTTGAAGACTTCATTTCTTTTCGTATGTCTTACTCAGACTTTTTTTCTTTCTTTTTATAGTTAAACGAAGAAATGAGACAAATAATGAAAATATAGATGAAAACATGCCGACATCGATGAGATTAGATTAAATCACAATTTGTGACGCTGTCATTTGATGAATGAACGTAGCAAATGTGCATTGTTAATGCAATTTCAAATGAACAATTTGTTGCTCTCAATTGTGTGTTTTAATTTACTTTTAATTTATTAGCTATGACATCATAACTCCTGGGGTCAGATTTAATATTTATTACACGCTCAAAATTACAAAACTAGATTGAAATTGAACTGGTTAACATTAAACACCAGCGACATTATTTTTTCTTCTATTTTAATACTTCTTTTTGTTTCTGTGTAATTACAGAGCGGTTCTTTAATTGTTATGTTGAAAGCATTTTCATTCATATATTTCAATTTGATTTTAAGCAATCTCATTAATGATTGATCATCCTTCTCAAACATTAAATTGAATACCAAACAGTAAATGAACAAAACTTCAATAAACTTTTGACACAAATCAAGGAGAATGAAGCAAATAAATTAAAATGCGTGATCATTGCCGCTTAAATTCTCCAATTTGATCTTTTAAATGTTGCTTGATAAAGTTGTCTAAGAAAAGGAATTTGCCAAGAGTGGATACATATAAACAACACGTCGGATATTCAGAGAGATTTTTAAACTTAATTATTAAAATTCGAAAGACCTTCAAGCACAGCGAAAGTGATGCAAAAACTTTCATCGAAGATACACGTTGATTGTCTGAAAACGAGAGGATGGTAACACTTAGCAAGTGGGGCTACGATGAGTACAAACTTTGAATATTTTTCCTCATCTCATTAATTTTCATACAGTCTTGAAGAAGTGTGACGAAGTTCATAAATATATCCTACTTGTATGTATCGACATGCACACAAATGAATAATAAACTTGTATTAAACCCGCTAGTTTGTTCATTTGTTTACTGTTGATGGAATTGAGCGAGTACAGCAAACGAAATAAAAAGAGATATCCAACAATGAAGTTTTCTTCTCCAACCTTTCATGAGTAAGACCAAATGAGTAAGACTTGAGTGCGATTCAAAAAAGTTTCATGAAATTTTCAGTCTACGTTTAACTCTCACAGCTGTCGAACGGTTTTTCACGGTTTCGCGATTTTTCACGGAAGATTTTTTGGAGAGTAAAATTTTAATTCAAGACCACTTACGCAAACTGTTATCAACTTACATTTTACTCGCATAAAAATATCGGCGAAAAAAGTGAAAATAAATTGAAAGTAAGTGTTGCATTTACCTGAAAAGAGAAGAGAGAAATTATTAGTAATATTCATGATATTTTCATTATTAAGAGAAATTTAAAAGCCAAAACAATCGAAGCTTAAATCAAATATTGAACGCTTAAATGTCGGGAAATTTTCCTATTGGATAGAAACGTAAATTTCGTGATCAAAGTATGTTTAATAGCAGTGTAAATTAAATTGCTGTAAGAAAACCTGTTATTATTGACACAAGAAAGTGCACCACAATTTATCACATGCAATTGATTACGCAACGATAAATAATTATATATCAGCATCAATTCCATATAAAACAAGTAACACACATTGCAAGATGCATCATAAATTGGAAAACCTTGAGCTCGATCAGCTCGAAAATCTACGAAAGTGAAAATGTGAAAAATTCAACTGTGCAATGCATTTCCTCATTGAGAGTTTCATGTCGCGAAACCAAAGTAAACTTCACGGTTTTTTATGTAATTGATTATTTTTTATGTGGTTGAAAATTCCACCTTATTCGTAGATAAATAAATGATGAATTGTTAAGAAAAACGCTTGGTTTTCATGCATTCATTTATGTTTATCAGAAGTAACTTCAAGCATCAGTGAACACTTGTTGAGCTTTTATGAATGATGGCCTCTCCTTTACGTTTTTTCATGCCATAGTAAAGTATGAAATCTATTGCAATTGAAGAAAAGTGGTCAGTGGTTTATTAGCAAATCAGCCACATTCTTTGTCTTTAGATGTAATTCAGGTTTTCCCGGTTATTTCGCGAGTGACGTTAACTTCACGCGAAACTTTCAAATGAAATTGACCGACTTATTGTTTCCAAGATGTAATTGCTTGCGTAATAAAATTTTGAAGCGATGATAAAGACTCTAAAAACGTGCTGAAAAGAAAGGGAAAGGATTTGATGGTTCAATTTTAATGGCCATCAATTAGAAAAAATAAAACTTTTAAAAAGTTCCATGGATTGATTTAGCAGCAAGAAGAAAAAAAAAACGAATGGAAAAAAATCAGCTCAGTTAATGATATTTTTGTTACACGAATGTTAATCAGTGTGTCATGTAAAGAGCTGGAAATTAATTTAAAAGTATTAATAACATGCGAGAGAACCTATTTCAATCTCTTAAGACACAAAATAAAAAACTTATACAATCGCTGCCTTGAATTGATTGGTTTGAAATTCACCATCATCATTAGGCATAGGACGAGTTTTCCTTTGAAGAGGAAATCTTCCATCTAATTGTATTAATAGTCAGATTGCATTTGACAGTTAAAGCTTATGATAATGATTATGATTGTCACAACAACTCGATACGCTGATTATTCAAATATTTATCTAATCAAATTTAAGAAGCTGATCCTTATGTGAAACTGATTTGATTTAAGCTGAATATTTAAATAATCAAATTGAAGTTGATCCTAATGTGAAACCGATGCGATTAAAGCTTGAAAGGTTGCATTAAATATTTAATGAACTTTCGATTTCATTAAAATAAAAAAATAAATAAATTAAATGAAAAACGTCTCCTTTGTGTCTACGATTTTAAACTTGCATTTAAATGCGATTTTATTCAATTCAAATAATGCCAGATTCGCAACGCTTTTTTCTTGGCTTTCTTTTCCAAATAAAAGTAACAAAACGGAAATTTTGGTGTGAAAAGAAGCAAATAAATTGTCAAAATTTGCTATCTTGACTTTGTAAATGGTCTTTATTTAAACCGTGGGTTTGGCTCAGAATGTGTAAAAATTTAGTAAGCTTCCATATAAATTATTAAGCTCATGACATAATCATGAAGTTGTGACACATTCGAGAAGACTTACGCATTGAATGACTTTCTCAAACAAAAAACATCAAAGTGTTAAAATCGTTTAATTCACCATAACATTCTAATAACGATTCATGAATTTAACTTATTACCATCAACTTTCATAAAATTGACTGAAAAATTTTATCTTCCTCTGATATGTTTACACATGTGATTTTTAGTGTTGCGCAATGAAAGACAGTAATTGAACAGAAGCTTAAACTAAATTATTTCTTCTAATTTTCAGGTGAGGCGAATGAAATTCGAATGTCTTTCGTTTCAATTTGTTCAACGAACACCTCGTTCATCTTCAAATCATACCACAAGTAGTTAGTTAGTTAGGAGTGATGAACATTGCAGTGAAAGTGTGACATAATTTTCCAATCGTGTATTCAAATAATTACTATTGATGACAATAATTGACATTAAGACCACAAAGAAATCTGTTTGTAAACCTTGCAGACAAAAAAATTGCTACTTAATTGAATTAACATTAAATACTTGAGTAATTCATCAGCTAAGGCAAAAAATAAGTAGCAATGAGTGATTGAAGTGAATCATCATTAAACTTAGTTGTTAATAATTAGAAAGAAAAAGTTTGCAATGGTTGTTGGTATATCAGCTGCTGGTTTTGCAGCAACTAAGATTTTACCAGCAATTGGAGGTGCTGCATTAAAAGTTATTCCTGCAATTGGAGTAGCATCGAGTGGAGCAGCTGCTGCTGGGAAAATTGCGACAACTGTTAGTGCCGGAGTAAAAGCAGCAACAGCAGTTATTGGTGTAGGGAAAATTGCGATTATTCCTGTTCTTATCGCAGCTTTAGCATATTTTCATTACGACGTCTTTGACCCAGAAAATCGACCTTATAATGTTAAACAAATTGATCATGAATACGACTTCATAGTTGTTGGTTCTGGTTCAGCTGGCGCTGTTGTAGCAAATCGACTAACAGAAATTTCAAAATATAAAGTTCTTCTACTCGAAGCTGGTGGTCATGAGACGGAAATCTCTGACGTTCCAATATTATCGCTTTATCTGCACAGTAGCAAATTGGATTGGAAATATAAGTGAGTAGCATTTTTATGGCCTTTCATATTTAAATTTATTTCCATAAAACAATAAACTTCAGGCGCGTTTGATGAAGATTCGAAAGAAACTAACAACAGTTTCAATGTTAACGAATTCACTGAAAAGTATATTAACATACATTTTAAAAACATAAAAAAGAAACATTGAAAATGTCTAACAATGGTCTGAGAAAAGTGTTGCAGCTAATGAATGGAGAAAAGTTTTAAAAAACTTTTTCTTGTTTACATGTTAAAGCGACGCAATTTAATTATGAGTTGCCTGCTCCGAACTAAGTGAAACAAAATTAATCCATTAACCTTTCTTGTAATAAACAGAACGCAACCACAAGAAACAGCGTGTCAAGCGATGAAAGATAAACGGTGCCGATTTACTCGTGGAAAAGTCTTAGGAGGTTCATCAGTCCTTAACACAAACCTTTATATCAGAGGAAATAAACGAGACTACGATTTATGGGATGCACTAGGAAACAAAGGATGGTCGTACGAAGAAGTTCTTCCTTACTTTCGAAAATCAGAAGATCAGAGAAATCCTTATTTGGCACAAAATAAACGGCAACACGGAACTGGTAAAAATTAATTTTAATATAAAAAGAAACGTTCATTAGTCATTAATAAATTTTTATTTCTCATGTTTTAGGTGGCTATTTAACTGTCCAAGACTCGCCATATTTGACACCTATTGGCCCGGCCTTTATTCAAGCCGGCGAGGAAATGGGTTATGATATTGTTGACGTCAACGGTGAACAACAGACTGGCTTCGCTTTTTTCCAGTTCACACAACGTCGTGCTTCACGTTGCAGTGTAGCGAAGGCATTTTTAAGACCGGTGCGATTGCGTAAAAATTTACATGTAGCTTTGTTTGCTCATGTTACAAAAGTAATAATGGATGAGACAGACAAACGTGCACTAGGAGTTGAATTTATCAGAAACGGAAAAACACAAAGAGTTTTTGCAAAGCGCGAAGTCATTTTGTCTGCTGGTGCTATAAACTCACCGCAGTTATTAATGTTGAGTGGAATCGGACCGAGAGAAGATTTAGAGCGACTTGGAATTAAAGTCATTCATGATTCTCCTGGCGTGGGAAGAAATATGCAAGATCATATAGCGGTTGGAGGAATCGTGTTCAGAATTGATCATCCAATTAGTTTCGTTATGAATCGTTTGGTGAATATAAACTCTGCTGTTCGTTATGTAGTTAGTGAAGATGGACCATTAACAAGCAATGTAGGATTAGAAACTGTTGGATTCATAAGCACGAAGTATGCGAATCAATCAGATGATTGGCCTGATATCGAATTTATGTTAACAAGCGCTTCCACTCCGTCAGATGAACAATCGAAAGTTGCACATGGAATTACTGACGATTATTACGACTACATGTTCAAAGACATTAAAAACACAGATATTTTTGGAGTTTTTCCCATGATGTTACGCCCGAAAAGTCGTGGACATATCAAGTTACAATCAAAAAATCCTCTTCGTTATCCACTCATTTATCACAATTACCTAACACATCCCGACGACGTCGCTGTGTTGAGGGAAGGTGTGAAACATTCAATTGCTTTCGTGGAGACGCAAGCAATGAAGAGATTCGGTGCAAGATTTCATGATCGTCAAGCTCCAAATTGTAAACATTTACCAATGTACACTGATGAGTACTTTGATTGCTTCATTCGACAATACACGATGACAATTTATCACATGTCTGGAACGGCAAAGATGGGATTGGCTGACGATCCGTACTCTGTTGTTGATGATCAGCTTCGAGTTCATGGCGTGAAAGGACTTCGAGTTATCGATGCAAGTATCATGCCGACAATAACAAGTGGAAATATTAATGCTCCAGTCATAATGATTGGTGAGAAAGGAGCTGATTTAATTAAAGAACTTTGGAAAAGTTCACCTGACATGATTGATCGTCGCTACAAAAGAGATGGAAATATCACAATCAACTCAACACTGAGCTAATTTGTAATGCATAAACTGAAAAGTCGTTGTTGGAGACGCTTAAAAGTCATTTTGTAAATTATAGTTTTAGGGAAAAGTGACATGTTTAGGATTCATTGATTAAAAAATAGAACAAAATTTAGTTTAGCATCAAAAAACTTAGGGAAAGAATAGTTCAAGTGACATTATTTCTTATTTATGTTTTTTTCTTTTTGATTTACGTTTTTCTTTTTATATAATTTTCCTCTTCAGTTGCATTTTTATTTAATTAATAAAAGTTACCTTCAAAATATTTCTTTTTAATTAATTATTTTCTTTATTTTATTTGGAAGTGGGCAATTTATTACAGGCAACAGAGGAGAAAATATTTAAGCATAATTAATGACAGCAAATACATCATAACATTTTCAGCAAGAAAGCTTTTAACAAACAAACATGAATAAGTAAAAGCTCAGTTGCTCAACCATTAAAAGCTTTCAGTTGCTTACTTATAGAGCTTTTTCAAGAAACAAGTTCACGAAGCTTACAAATCTTTTGTGTAGCAAATTGAATTTCAACACATGCAAAAAAAACGAACAATATATAATTGCATTCATCACTTTTAAGCATGATATTGACCTTAGATTGATTTTCAATGTTCACTAATGGAACGCTCAAGTTTTCCGGTTTGAATTGCTGGTTAAAAAACTTTTCAGAAAAACTTATTGAAGCGAATGATGAATATAACAGAAAAAGTGTTGAGTTAAGGGTGTTTAAATGCGTTTGCCGGTGTTTCCTAGTGGAATACGCAAATTTCATGCATCGAAGACTTTGGTAGTGAAAGTTACAAGACTGAAATAAATTATAATATCATCAACTTTTCCTCACGGCTTCTTTATTTTATTTATTTATTTTATTGAACAAAACAAAAAAATTTCTGACGATTGTTATGCAACATTGAAAATCATATCAATGAATTAAACTGATTTCAACATTAGAAATTTAAACAGTTTTTGTTGAGTTGAACAGAAGTAATGGTCAGAGTAATTATTTGTACCTCCTAACCATAAATTGAGATATTCATCAATTTTCAAAATCTTTCTCTGACATGATGTTGTCTTATTATCATCAGCTTTACTTTCGATGTAAGATTATAGGAAATTCAAAATCAAACACATATTCATCTGGTAAGAGGCTTTACATTTAATTTTTTTATTCATTTCAAATGAGTGATTGCACTTCAAATATTGGAACGAAAAGCTTTTAGTAATTTGTTTAAGGAAATTAAAAAATATTATCAAAAGCTCTTCACATCTCAACATGATATTACATCACAAACTTGAAGAATGACCTTATTTTGATGATTTTTTAGTATATTATCATGTCTCAATATGAATAAGATTTCAAGATTAACATTTCGAATGACTGTAAAAAAATAAACGCTAATGCTGACATGCTTCTTGAGGTACAAAAAAATCGATTTCTCGTGTCGTTTTATGATTGAAGCAAATGGAACTCTTCGAAAAGAGAAGATTGTTTGTCTAGTATGCGTCATAGCTTGTGGATACGTGCAGATTTATCCGTTGTCGATAACTTTTCTATAATCATGGAAACATTTTAAACTTTCCTTTTCATTTGCATAAAACGATCACCTAAAGTGGACATCAAGTCAAGTAGCAAATGCAAATCCACGAATTGAGTAATTCAGTTATCAAAGAAATTCTTTGTTCTACATTTCGATGATGAGTAAAACTTTTTTTCTTTCATTGACTGTCGATACTTTAACACATCAAGAAGATTTTCCGCTTTCTGATTCATTTAAAACAAACGAATAAGCGAGAGAATCCAAAGTTTAATTTGTTGTCTCCTTTATTCCGAATGAAACATGACCTGAATCTACACAACACTCTCAATCGAAATGCCAGTGTTGAGCAATCGAATATGACCATCATCAGTGTGAATTTAATATCTTCCAACTTCGTTTAAGAATTCAAAATGAAAAGAAGCCTGAAATTATCATCATTTGTTGCATCAAAGAAAAAAATTAGTCTGATGATGTGACATGGTCAGATTTGGAAGGTTCTTTAATAAAAACTAACATTATTCAGATGAAGCAAAGATAATTCAATGTCAGGTTAAATTTATTCAGTTAAACATTCGATGGACTTTGCAATTTTTTTTGTTGATTTTAATCTTAATTTAAGCCACATTTACTAATTCGAAATACTTGTAATACTCAAAGATGAATAGTTAAGCTCTCTTGGAATATCGGAAAGACGAGTCGACTCTCCCTCTCGCTTTACAAACATTGTGCAAACGTGACTGGTGAAGAAATCTCAACGTGTGTAACAAAACGAACCTGTTTTCTTTCCAAAAGCATCAAAGAAAGGTTGGGGGAAGTTCAAGATTTTGCCTACTCGAATATTTTCTTATGAATTTCTCACTTAAGTAAATGACTGAAACGTCACTTTCAAACATTTCCATTTTACGCTCATTTTACAACAGACAATCACATTACGCTCTTTCAACCAGCTCTTTTGCTAAATGAACACTCGCACTGGAAATTTTTCTTGCGATGAATTTTGCTTTTTTGAGCATTTCATTTAGATTATCATCAGCTCGCGTCACAAGTAGATGTGCTTTTGACTTTAAGCCACTTTCAATTTTTTTTACGGTCAATGAAAAACTGTTAACAGAATAAGAAGAAACTGAGAAGAAATATTTTTAAATTGCTTACAAAGTGTTTAATCTTTAAAAAAAACTTGAAAACAAGCAAAATTTTAAGAGAATCTCAATTAACAGAAAACAAAAATAATATTTTCATTGTGAAGAAATAAATTAAACTGTGTTAAAGATTAGAAACTTGTCAGTGAAATTGGCAAGGAAAACAAATAAAACTTTTAACAGCTTTAGCAATCAATTTGGAGTCAATCAAACTATGTCCAACGAAATTGTCGAGCGAAACAAGTGAAAAGTGCGATTTTAAATCCAAGCCATGAATTTGGAGCACATTGGATTGTTTATTTGATAGAAGTATGAAATTATTTTCTTTCTTCTTTCTCTACATTTACGATTATTCGCTTTATAAATAGTAAATCAATTAAATTTTCTTCACATTATCTTCGCTTTTGTGTTTCTCGTTTGTTTCAAGCGAAAGTTTATATGGCGGCGTGAGACGATCCAAATCTGAATCTTGTTTGATGATTAATCTCTTTTGATTTAAATCAAATATATTTTGTTCCAATGAATTTTTATTTGTTTTTCCTTCATTTATTTCGATGATAATTAAACGAAAATTGGAAAAACTCGTGACATTCCTCAACACTTACTTCATCTTCATCATCGTAATCTTTGTTGACACACTTAAAGCAAAATTCCGTATTATTACGATTAAGCTGTGACAAAGCTGCAAGTAATTTCATGCATGTTGGTCTAACAAAAAAATATTCAAAGAAGGAATAATCGACGAACAAATGTTGCGTATGTAGAAGTAGAAACTTCAAGTTCTGGTTGATGATTTACATTTTTTTAGAAAAAGTTAATTTCCAGATCATATTTGATTGCGCAACATTAACATTAGTTCACACCTTTATCGTAAGCATCCATAAATAATAAGTAAATATGCTCCACGAGTTTATAAGCCGAAACAAATGAATTAAAATGTTAAAATCATTGCCGAACTTAATCTACACATAATGAAACTCCACGGGAACAATTAACTTTATCCAAAATTAATTTCCGGCTGTTTCTTTCGATTTTCATCTTTTTTTGCGCTTTTACAAATTTAGATTTATGATGAGGTATGTAAATAAAAAAAGTTTATTATTCCAACATATTAATTTATTTCGAGTGTGCCACAAGATTACGAGCTTCTCATTTTTAATCATGTAATATTTAGTTGTGCTCTCGCCAAAACTCATATAACATTTTAGTCAAATCCACAGTTACGACAACACAACGGTGGCAAGTTAGTTGACTATTTATCAAACTTTCAAAAAAGCAGACAAGATATCGACGAGAGCTTTCTTCTTATTTATGTTGCTCTAGATAAAGACTTAGCTAACGATTGCAAAACAAGCCAGACATCGATTGTTTTTCTTTTTCCATCTCATTTCTTCAATGGAAAGTATCACGTTTGTTCTCGATGAAAGGCGAAAAATGCATACAATCAGACTAAAAGACCTAACAATCCACAGACATACATTCTTCACTCTTTATTTACCGCTATATGCAGCTACAAAAATATAATAAAAATGGGTTAATTGCATTTAACAACGTGCGACGTGCGTATAGATATTTCGCTCAATAATTCAATCTTTTGTTTTCATTGTTCTTTTTCACTTTTCATCGTTTGTGGGTTATTTTCGTCACTTGATACTATGATTATGATTTTAAGAGTATAAGAAGTTTTGCGGTTATTCTCATTTCATATTTCAATAAAAGCTCGCCTTGAAACGAAAGGTATTTGTTTAAATGTTGGCTCATTGTTGACCCACTAAATAAGAAGTTGTTTCGTTTATCTCACTCTTCTCTCATTCACGTTTTTCCTCTTCTTAAAAAAATGTGGTCACAAAATATCTGAAAAACTGGAACCGTTTAAAAAATATTTTAATTTCATCATCAACTTATTCAACCTGAACTTCGGTTCATTAAACTTCGTCAGACGATGGTGCTGTACAACGACATTAAACTTGAACATCATGCTGGGCTTTCATAATTGAATCAAAAGTTTTTCACACCATTATTGTCGACAGCTACGATACTTAGATTGATCATGCGGCTTGATCGGCTCAAATGTGATCAATCAAACGCTTAAAATATAATCGAATCAACTTTGAAAAATTCACAGAATTTCTAAATAAATAATCGGATCATTAACAATTGGAAGATATTACTTTAATTATAATAAAAAAACATTGTTTACTTTTATTTCAATGTTTTCGACCTCTACTTTTTAAATTATAAGCTTGACTTAGTGGATATTCAAGGAAGTAAAAGAAGTTAAACTTAAACTTGAAGAATAATTACGGCTTAGCCTGAGAGAGTATGAGTTTTCCAATTATACATTTTGCGCCGCAAAACATGTTTTCTTTCTTTCATCAATGCCAATTGTCGGGTTATTGCTTTCTATCGTATGTTGTTATGCTGCATATTTTCATGTACTTCCGAAAATATGTAGGTATTTATACGCTTTTAAGTCAAGCATTATTAGCTAATAATTTAAATCGATTTTCTCACGGCATCGCCAATCAACATTATTTTTCTTTCTTTTTTGTAAAAGTGAAAAGGGCGATGAAAAGAAAACAAAAAATTGAAAATCTATTAAAGTCAATCAACGAACTTGAAAGCCAACAGCATGAGGAAGTGCAATGAATGTTGCAATAATCAACGAGGATGGCTTCGCTTAAATCTTAACCAGTTCCACATCATTTCATCTCTTTCATGTCTTAAACATTTCTCTATGGTTTGATAATACTTACACCACAATAAACAATTTCTCGACTTTTCTCCGCTCGTTATTTTATTTTTTATTTTATTTCTCTGCATCTCAAAGTCAAGTAGTTTCAGTTTCATTACATCAACCGACCGTGACAAAAGTAAATTATAACGTTGAGTGAGAAAAAGTCAAAATACTGAATTTTATTTTAAAGGCATCATCACTAAAAGGTGGAAATTACTTTGCAGAAGCATAAATTTGTCTCATATCAGTAGTGATTTCATAATTGTTCGACAAATAGGTGAAGCTTCGCTTTATTTGAACTGAAAATTACATCATTCAGATAAATATTAAGCAAGGCTGAAGCATGAAAAGAGAAAATAAATAATACTTAAAAGTCTCCCATTAAGTCGTGATAATTAATCAGCAATATATTTTGTTTCATCATCTCAGGTTACCAAAACATGGGCCAGGAGAAATCTTTGCCCGTTAGATGCAATTCCACGATTATTTCACATCACTCTTCAACTGCCTCTTCGACATCTTTAAACTCTAAGAAATCTTTGACACCATCAAGATCACCATCGACCGCATCATCTTCCGCTTCAACCGCTTCATACAAAAGCATTGAGCAAAAGAAGAAATATTTGAACGAACATTTGTACATAAAATCGTATTTAGAGATTGAAAAAGAAGAACACCTCGCCAAGGCTCAACTGTTTCAACAAATTAGACCCGGCATACGAAATTACAAGCCGAAGATTCTCAAGGATAAATTAAATCAAGAAGAGCTTGACGTGTGGATATAAGAAGATTAAAGACACTTTAACATATTTTATTTAATTAAGTTGTTAGGCACAAATAGTGAATAATTTTTAAACTAAAATGTCGTCGGCACTAGGATTTATTTCAACAATTGCTCAAATATCATCATCGCCAATTACACTTTTGAGTTTTATTCCATTGATTGCTGTTGGCTTGAACTATTATCGTTACTCAAATGTTGATCCAGAATCGGCACCGATTGACGCTCCTGTTGTAAGTTGCTGTTTATTATTGCGCTTGCATCTATTCAATATATTGAAACTTTCTCTATTTCTTTTTTCTTTCATTTCTTCTTCTTCATGCGACTAGTTAAGGAGACATTATGATTTCATTGTTGTGGGGGCGGGTAAGTAACAACAAAATAATTATATAAGTTAATATATTTCACAAAAATGATCTTAATCTTAGGATCAGCGGGTGCTGTTGTTGCGTCACGCTTGTCAGAAATATCTAATTGGACAATTTTACTGCTGGAAGCTGGCGGTGATGAAACTGAAGTTTCTGACGTTCCAGCTTTAGCTGGTTTTCTACAATTAACAGACTTAGATTGGAAATATAAAACAAAAGCGAGAGCTGATCGTGCTTATTGTGCTGGAATGAAAAATGATCAATGTAATTGGCCGAGAGGGAAAGTTTTAGGTGGATCGAGTGTGCTTAATGCTATGGTTTATGTTCGAGGTAATAGAAGGGACTACGACAATTGGGAACAGATGGGAAACATTGGGTGGTCGTTCAAAGACGTTTTGCCTTATTTCATGAAATCAGAAGATAACAGAAATCCATATCTAGCACGAACGCCTTATCACAGTGATAAAGGCTTATTGACTGTCCAAGAAGCACCTTGGCGAACGCCACTTTCATTGACATTTATCAAAGCAGGTCAAGAAATGGGTTACGAGCATCGTGACATTAATGGAGAAGAACAAACCGGATTTATGCTCACACAATCGACCATGAGACGTGGTGCACGTTGCAGCACATCAAAAGCTTTTTTGAGACCTGTTAGATTGCGTAAAAATTTGCATGTTGCGAAATTTGCACATGTGATGAAGATATTAATTGATCCTAACACAAAACGGGCTTTTGGCATTGAATTCGTTAAGGACAATAAAAGACAAATGGTATTTGCGAAAAAAGAAGTCATAATGTCAGCGGGGTCATTGAATACGCCACAACTTCTCATGCTTTCTGGTGTGGGACCGGCAAAACATTTAAGCGACTTTGGCATTCCAGTTATTTCTGATCTCCCAGTCGGAGACAATATGCAAGATCATGTTGGGCTAGGTGGATTAACTTTCATTATCAATGAACCAATTACAGTTACAACAACAAGATTCGCAAACGTTCCAACATTTTTCGAATATATTATGAATGAACGGTAAGAAATCAAGAGACAAGTCGAAAATTTTTTTTAATATTTATTTGCTTCATTTTTTAGTGGCCCTATGACGTTTCCTGGCATTGAAGGCTTAGCATTTGTTAATACAAAATATGCTGATCCTTCTGGTCTTTGGCCTGATGTTCAGTTCCATTTTGGTCCAAGTTCAATCAATTCCGATGGTGGAATGCATATTAGAAAAATTACAAATTTAAAGGATTCGCTTTATAACACGGTTTATAAGCCATTGGAGAAATCTGAGACTTGGACTATTCTACCACTGCTTCTGCGTCCAAGAAGCACAGGTGTCGTTCGATTGCAGAGTCGCAATCCATTCGTACAGCCACAAATAGAACCCAACTACTTTTCTTATAAGGAGGACATAGCTGTACTGACCGAAGGCATCAAAATAGCTATGAATGTATCGAATACGGCAGCATTTCAGCGATATGGATCACGGCCCCACACAATTCCATTTCCGGAATGTCGCCACTTACCGTTGTTTTCGGACGAGTATTGGGAATGTTCATTCCGTCAATTTACATTTACAATTTATCATCCAACAAGCACATGTAAAATGGGCCCAAATTGGGATCCCGGTGCAGTTGTTGATCATAGACTTCGTGTTTATGGAGTATCAGGATTGCGAGTTATCGATGCCAGTATCATGCCTAAAATTATTAGTGGAAATCCCAATGCTCCGGCAATTATGATTGGGGAAAAAGGAGCTGATATGGTTAAAGAAGATTGGGGTGCAATAAGACTTCATTAACATCAGCTTCAAAGAGAAATTCTCCATGTGCCTGAAAACCTTATCAAGATATAAAAAGAAACGAAAAAAACGAAGCAAATTTTCATATGACTCAAGACAATGACAAATGAAGGAAACAAAAAATTTGATGTTCATTTTGACAGAGATTAAAATTTAATATTATTTACTTTATAAACAAATTGTTCTGAAGAGAACTTTGGCAATTTCGAAAAAAATCATCATGATGAAGATGGCTGAGCTGAAGCTAGTCAGTGACAAAAGAAATTTTAACTCGTTATGTGGATTATCATATCAAGATTAAAGTCTTAAGAAATTGTGTGAAATAAAATCGATTCCTCTTCCATATTTAAATATCTTAAATTATAAGTTTGAATTTAAGGTAGGAATAAATATTTAGGTAAGAAATTTTTTTAGTATTTGTAATAAAAGTTCGAAATATATGAAAAGTTTTCTTCTCAATAAAATTTAATTTATGATGTTAAGGATTATTAAAAACAATGTGAATTGACTTATGATGTAATCTTGTAAAATTTTAAATGGTTAATAAAATAATTCTCCTTAATTGTATAAATTTAATGCTCAAAAAGCTTTTATTATGTTTTCATCTATGGATTTGGAAAGAAATTAAAATGTAGGAATGGATATGCGTGACCGATGTGGCTGTTGAACGCGCTATAAATTCCCAAAAGATTTTCATATGTGTTTAATTTGCTGTTCGATCTACTTTCACCTCTTTTTCCTGATCGAGATCGAAACCAACAAAGTCGTAAAAAAATATTTTTCTCATTTCCACTCGCATAGTGCGCATATGTTTAAAGAGACAAAATTAAACAATTTCTCTCCATTTTCAGTATTTATACTTTGTTTATACATGTGTGAATGGCTATCATTCGAACTGTTGAATATCACGTGCGAATGATAACTTTTTCCTCTCCTTTGCATGAACGAAATGTCAATTAATACAAAAAACTTGTCGGACGAACATTCCGGTTGTCCGATTAAAAAATTAATAAAATTAATTTGAAAATTCGAAACATTTGCAAAATTTATTTCATTTCGTTTTAAGGTAATATGAAGCTCTTAGTAACAGACTCGTGATAATTACGTCATATCTTGTGTTTAAGTTGACACGGTTTTTACTAGTATTTCCATTAAACTTTCTTCTGTGAACTTCTTTCATGAAATCATAAAAGAAATAAATGCGCTTCTTTCTTTTTCTTTGTCAGCTTTTCACTTTTGTTTGTTTGTTTGTTTCACTTAGCATTTATTCTCATGAGTGCATCTTTCAATTGTTTTCTTCAAATATAGGTGAAGGTGATCTTTCCACGAAATAATTTTCATGGGAAGTAATTTAGATTATGCAAAGGCAATGAGATGAGCTTAATGAGATTGTTTGATTCAGATTTATTAAATTATATCATCTTCAAGTAAGAAGGGATTGTCGGTAAATAATTTAATATTTCTTTAATGGAAAATGGAAATAATGAAAATGAAAACTTTTACGATAAAATAAACGCAAACATTTATTGGATCATGAAAGCATAACTATCTGAATATTTTTATTAATAAAACCATTTCATGTTGTGCATGGTAACATAATAAATAGAAATAAATTTATTTTCTGGTTTTCGTCATATGAAAAACCTGAACTAATTCCTTAGGTGTTGATTCCACAACATTTCAAATAACATGATGTTTTTTAAATGAAATTAATCAAACAAGACCATTCGGCTTCAATCTAGTTTCTAATATGTAAATTGATAAGAAGGAATAAAAATTGAAGATAAGAAAACTCGAATTTAATAAAACTTCTTTTAAATATCGCTAGGTAGTTGAAAAGAATTAGATAGGAAAATTGGAAACAGATATGCTTGTTTCTCATGCGCGACTGTGATAAAAGCTTTTAAATAATAAAACCAAATTCACATATCTACAAGTGTTAAAAACATCAAGAAAGCATTTCACCTGTTGGTGATTAACTATTGCAAAATCGTTTTTATGCTCATTCATGGCTTGTTTGTATAAATAGACGCTAGAGAGGTACGAGAAATACCAATAAATTGTGATGATGCAATAAGTAGGAAGGAGTAAAACGAAACATTGGACGATTTGTTTACACTCAAACTAACTTTGATGAGTGTTAATAAAAGTAATATCACGAAAAGTAGGTTACGTAACATTTATTCAACGTAGTTTGTTAAGGGTATCACATTCCATAAAGTTACATCGCTCAAGACTGCGTTAATTGATTTGAAATTGAGGCGTGTCGTCATTTCTTCAAGATTTAAATGTGAAGCATCGAAAGTTTCTTTTTCTTATTTTTCTCATGGTCGACGAGACAATAATTTCGTCCGGCAAGCCGCTAAAAATTAGAGATCATGGACAACGCGCTTAAGTTCACGTACACACCACACACATTGAACAAATGAATTCGGTTCATTTCACTTAGAAAATAAATAAAAGATTTATGTAAATGATAAATTTTCTCCTCTCACTTGATTGTCTATAGACTAATAAGCCTTAGTTTTGTCTACGTGAGACTTTTGCTAGTGCTTTGCTTTACTATTTACCTTTAAGTTTGTGATACAAAAGAGAGAAATAAAAAAAGTTATTTCCGATTTTTCTTTCAATTGTTACGTAAATTCCTCGCAATATGATCGGTTGTCTGGTCAGTAAGTCAACATTATTTTAAAAGAGAATCGAGAGTCTGCTACTGTTAATAAAACTCGATGAGCTTTTTGGTGTCCCCCACTAAAATGTTATCAGTCACAAGCATTGTTTTAGCGAGAGGAGAAAATGAAAAAATGTTGATTTTGAGTTGCCAACATCGTAAAAATTAAATCAACTTTAAATTGTTGGCGTAAAGTTGATATAAAAAAAAGTGGAATGGAAACACTACACAATTTTTTCTCCGCTTGCCATGCGCTTGTGTTTCGTTTACGAAGCTAAAGTTTACGTAATAACAAAAGCAAACTGTTTGTAGAAAGGGGGATCGCAAAAGCTTTACACAATTATTATCCACTTCAGTTTTAGTCTTTTTCTCTTCTCATTCAACATAGCCCGAAAATATCAGAAAGATTGGTACGTTCGTGCAGTTTAAATCGAAATTTCAGTTAACACAGGTCAAAAATATAATCGGCTCGCTTCAAAAGCAATTTTATTAAAATATCGGAAGCAGGAAACAACCGAAAACGACTCAACTCATCAGATAAAATCGAAAGAAAGAATAAATTAGAAGAATTGAAAAGATTTTTTAAGTAACAACCAAAGAAAAATTAAAATATAAGTAGGACAGTTGAGTTGTAAAAGTGGATAGTCTTTAATCACATCGGAAATAATATCGTGAAGCAGAAGTTGTATAAAGAGACATTGCATAACACTCGATTGAAGACGAAGAAAAAATTTCATTCCGGTCGATTACAGAGTTTTGTTGGATAACTTTTTATGTCACAAAGTTAAAGGTAAGGATATTCAAAATCTTAACAGCCTTGTTTGAAATACATTAAGTTATAAACGCTCTTGAATTATTGCATCAATTTTGAGTCACTACTTAGTAGCGTAAATAAAAACATCCGTGCAATCTCACAATTATTTACAGAAGAGACAACAAAAAAATTTCTTGCGCATCTTATTTCGTAAATATCTTTAAGTGACGAAGCAACATTCCTTTTTCTGCATTGTTATTTGAAAATAAGCTGCTCGATTACTCAATTTGCTCGCATTGTTAACTTGTCAAAGAATTCTCAAAGAAATTTCGTTACAAAGTCAAGTGAATTGCATGAATTCACCGTGAAAAGCTATGAAAGGTTACTTGCTTTACCGGTAATCAAAATAATGATCCTAAAATCAGCCGTGAGATATTGAAAAAAGACTTTTACGACATGCTAAATTAATTATGGATTGTCTTCACATGAGAAGAAGGAAATAATTTATTCATAGGACGGTATTGACAGAGTTAAGGAATCCTATTAATTCAGTTAATTGTGCACAGACACCTTGCTTCTTAATCACATGAATGCAATCACATTGTCATCATATCCCGTGACAATCTTAACATAAATAATATGAAATGATATGAAAGAAGCGGAAATAAAATAATTTAAATGATAATTTCCGCATGGGACAAGGTTATCAATTGAAGACTCCGTGATACTTTAATTCAATGACAGAGCGATTTTCGATGGATAATTGAACGAAGTACTTAAATAAAGGTGTGATCGACATAAAAGAAAGTTTTTCTTACTCATTAAAAGCAACTTAATCTCATTGAACTTACAAAAAGAATCATTTTAATAGTGAGATGCATAATGGAGAAAATCATTTATCCGTACATTAATTTAAACATTTTTTTCTTCCATATTTTACAATCTCACGAAATGCCGGACTCTTTCTTGACTTATTTCAATGACACGAAAGTTTACCAAGAGCTTAATTTTCAACATCTCGTAAATGATTTTTTTTCTTCATTTCTTTTGTAAATCGATTGCGAAACAAAGATGGGCTTGAAAAATAAGTGAAATTTCTTTTTAACCACCCGGGGAAATTTCATTTGTAATTAAACTTTAATTTCAACGAGAAATGGTTTTAATAATTTTTTATTTGATATCGAAATGTGAATTATGCGTTAATATGATCAATCGAAAATTTGCAAATTTCGTGATAATCTCTGAACATTCAATTTTATTTTTGCGCTGATCTAACATCTTTCAAGGTCATTACAAAACAAGTTTATAATTTTATTTATCTTTTTAGATCAGCAAACATCGCACATAGAGTATTGAAAAGAAAAATCTCACAAGCCTTCAAGGGCATAAAATGTTTGAACTTCTTCATCAACCACAGAAAATTTTATTAGACGTTTGGTAGAAAAACAGAGAGAAAGAAAAGACGAAACATTATGGTTGTTCCTGGTTTAGGTGCATCATCGCTTATTGCTTCAACATTAGGCATATTTGGATCGGGATTATGGATGATTCCACTTCTTTTAGGGACAATTTCTTATTATCGATACGACAGAGTCGATCCTGAATCTCGTCCCATTGACCAAAAAGTTCTCCTGCCAGAGTACGATTACATAGTCATTGGAGGCGGTTCAGCTGGAGCTGTTGTTGCAAATCGACTTACAGAAAATCCTAAAGTCACAGTTTTACTTTTAGAAGCTGGGCCAGATGAAAATGAAATCACTGACGTTCCTTCGCTTGCAGCATATTTGCAATTGAGTGGCTTGGATTGGTCATACAAAACAGAACCGTCGAAAAATGCTTGTTGGGGTATGGTTAACAACCGTTGCAATTGGCCTCGTGGAAAGGTCTTGGGTGGATCAAGCGTGCTTAATTACATGATTTATGTTCGTGGCAATAAGAATGATTTTAATCATTGGGCTGAGATGGGTAACCATGGATGGGATTATAAAAGTGTTTTACCTTACTTTTTGAAATCTGAGGATAATAGAAATCCGTATTTAGCAAGGTCACCTTATCATAAATCTGGGGGATATTTAACAATACAAGAAGCTCCATGGCATACACCCTTGGTTGCGGCTTTCGTCGAAGCTGGCACAGAGTTGGGCTACGAAAACCGCGATATTAACGGAGAAAAACAAACTGGTTACATGATTGCGCAAGGAACAATAAGAAGAGGTAGCCGGTGTTCAACAGCGAAAGCATTTCTGAGACCAATCAGATTACGACCAAACTTTCATTTAGCGTTAAATGCTTTTGTGACAAAAGTTGAAATTGATCCAGTAACAAAACGAGCTTGGGGTGTGGAATTCGTTCGAAATAATCGCAAACAGATAATAAGAGCGAGACGTGAAGTGATATTGTCGGCTGGTGCAATCAACACACCGCAAATAATGATGTTGTCGGGTGTGGGGCCACGAGAGCATTTAGAACAAATGAAAATTCCCGTAATTAAAGATTTGCCAGTTGGAAATAATCTCATGGATCATCTTGGTTTTGGTGGTTTAACTTTCATTGTTGAAAAACCTGTTTCTATTTTACAAAATCGAATACAAGCAGCAACAGCCACGACAGAATATGTTTTAAATGAACGGGGTCCGATGACAGTGCTAGGAGGCCTTGAGGGCATTGCATTTGTTAACACACCCTTCGCTAATCATACGAAAGACTGGCCAGACATTCAATTTCATATGGCGCCAGCTTCTATAAACTCTGACAGCGGCGCTCAAGTTTGGAAAATTTTAGGACTAAGAGAAGATTTGTACAGAGAAATGTGGCAACCGATTCAAGATAAATACACGTGGACTATTATGCCACTTCTTTTACGACCAAGATCGCGAGGTTGGGTTAGATTACAATCGAAAAACCCATTTAAAGCACCATTAATGGATCCAAATTACTATGCTGATCCATATGACGTTGCGACAATGGTTGAAGGCGCTAAAATTGCATTGAGAACAGCAAATGCAAAAGTATTTAAACAGTTTGGCTCTCATCTTTATCAACGTCCATTACCAAATTGTAAACATCACAAATTTTTATCTGATGAGTACTTAGAATGTGGAATAAGAACAGTTTCAATGACAATTTATCATCAATGTGGAACAGCAAAAATGGGACCAGAATATGACCCTGAAGCTGTTGTTGATCCACGTTTGAAAGTTTATGGAATTAATAACCTTCGGGTCATTGACGCTAGTGTTATGCCTCAAATAGTTAGCGGTAACACAAATGCAGCAGTAATTATGATTGGTGAAAAAGGAGCTGATATGGTAAAAGAAGATTGGTGATAGAAGTAAAATTTTTAATTGTCATTTCCTTTTAAGTAAGTTAGTTGTGTGGATCTTCTGTATGCTTGTGCCATTACATGTGTGTAATGTAACTGTAATTACTTCATATTTGATATCTTATTTAAGAATTTTAATTGTAATTATATTCATTGTTCTTGTCATTCTCATTAGTAATACAAAATATAGAATATTTCAAGAAAAACAATTAATTACGTTAAAATGTTAAGTATTCGATCAAAATTTGAAAATAAATGTTAATTTATAGCAAAACGAGTTAAGGTTTTTATTTAGAGTATTTAAATGATTTAAAAGTTTTGAGGTTGAATTTGCATTCTAATTTTATGAAGACGTTGTATACACAAAATGCAAATGAAATTTATTTTTTTCCTTAATAAAATTTTAATTAACTGATTATCAACTGTAAATTGAGAGTCGAATAGTTGATTAGGTTAACTAATCCACAAGCAAATCTGCTATTAAAATATTATGAATAACCAATCATTACCGATTAAAATTGAAGTTTAGAGTCGGTAATTAACTTTCTACACTTCCATATTACTTTTCCAACATCGAAATTAATTACAAAACAATTCAATAAATTATCTTAGGAATCTCTGATAAAACAGCGTAGAATTTTTTTCCCCAAGTCATTTCATTGGCATTGTATGAAGTACAAAGTGTAATGATACATATCAGGAGATGAAAAAACTTAAAAGGCACCATTGCGCTGTAACTCATGTAACGAATGAGCCGGTTTATTAATGATAAACAATTCACTTTATACTTCCTGAGGATTTTAGAAATGTTTTCTACTCTCAGTTGTAATCAAGACTGAGTTGAGTAAAGAACAAGAGAAATAAGCGATGACTGCAAAAATATTAATTTTATTTTCGATTCTATTTTTGTCGCCAAGTTTGCAACAAACTAGTAACTATTCTGTCATTGACATGATACAAACTTTTCTATATCGAGGTGGAAAGCAATTGGAAAAGGAATTTCCCGATAAGATTGATTTAAAAAGTGATTACGATTTTATTGTGATTGGTGCGGGATCTGCTGGTTGTGCCGTGGCAAGTCGTTTATCAGAAAATCCTGAATGGAAAGTTCTTCTCATTGAGGCAGGTCCAAAAGAGAACCTTTTAATGGATGTTCCAATGATGGTGCATTATCTACAAGGTTACAATATCAACTGGGGTTACAAAACTGAAAGAAGTGAAAGATCATGTTTGGCAATGAACAATAACCAATGCAATTGGCCGAGAGGGAAAGTAATGGGTGGCTCAAGTGTACTTAACTACATGATTTACACTCGTGGTAATCGAAGGGATTATGATAATTGGGCAGCTTTGGGAAATCCTGGATGGGACTTTAAAAATGTTTCCAAATATTTCCGGAAACTTGAAAATAATATAGCGGCTGGCATCACACCCGATTATCATGGAAAGCATGGACCAGTGACGATATCAAGTGTAAAATATAAAACTACTGTCGCAAAGGCTTTCGTTGATGCTGGGCTTGAAAAAGGATTTCCTTACATTGATTACAATGGCCCGCAGCAAATCGGATTTTCCTTTCTACAAACTACAACAAAAAATGGAACAAGACAGAGTACAAACGTTGCTTATCTCTATCCCATATCAAATCGAAAAAATCTACATGTAAAAAGAAATAGTCACGTGGTGAAGCTTCTGATAGATGAAAACAAAAAAGCTTATGGTGTGAAGTTTTTTTCAGGTGGACGAGTTTACAGTGTGAATGCAAAAAAAGAGATTATTATATCAGCTGGCGCTATAAATACACCACAAATATTAATGCTTTCTGGTATTGGTCCAAAGAAACATTTAAAACAATTAGGAATTGAAACAATTATGAATTTAGCTGTTGGATATAATTTGATGGATCATACAGCAACTGGAGCGTTAACTTTTACTGTAAATACAACAACTTTGAGTCAATCAGATATTTTAGATGTAAAACATTTTAAGACGTTCACAAGAGAATTAGATGGACCACTAATATTAGCTGGTGGAGTTGAAAGTGTAGCATTTATTGACACTGAAAGACCAAATGATCCCGATGGATATCCAGACTTAGAACTGATGCAGCTTGCTGGGGGATTGAATTCAGATCCAGTTTTTAAAAGAAATTTTGGAATACGTGATGATGTTTATAATGAAACATTTGGATCGCTTGGAGAAAAGCATGAAAACTTTATGGTATTTCCATTAGTTCTAAGACCAAAAAGTCGTGGAAGAATAAAGTTGAGATCAAATAATCCTTTCGCTCATCCAATTATATTGCCTAATTATTTCAGTGAGCATTACGACATTGAGATTTCAATTCGAGGTATACGAAGAATGATTGACTTGCTTGACACGGACGCATTTCGAAAGTTGAATGCTGAAATTTACAAAGCGCCAGTGTCAGGATGTAAAAATTACGAGTTCAACAGCGATGCATATTGGGAATGCTACACGAGACATTTCACGTTCACAATATATCATCATTGTGGAACAGCAAAAATGGGGCCGGCGACAGATAAACGAGCGGTTGTTGATCCGACCTTAAAGGTTTATGGCATTGAAGGGTTGCGAGTGGCTGACGCAAGCATTATACCTGAAATCATCTCTGGTCATACAAATGCACCATCAATTATGATTGGCGAGAAAGCCGCTGACATGATAAAACAATCTTGGGCAATAAAATGATTAATGAAACGCAAGCTGTTTTGCATTTGATTTTGATTTTGCTTTTTTCGTGTCATTTCTTGAATATTAAGGAGACAAAAACGAAACAAAAAGAATAACAATGAATTTCGCCACTTTTATAACATTTTATATTTTTAAGTTCATAAGCCTGATTTTTCGCTAAGATTGTTTATATAAGAGTAGAAAAAACTTACGTGAATAACGAAGAAAAGTGGCGGAGGAATTTTATTATTAGTGCTTTTAAAGGAGAGACGCGTGTATCGAGTCACAATTATAAACAATATTGGCAATAATAATCTGAAAAAATTGGTGATAATTTTTAATTATGATATTATGGCGACACGTGGGAGCTTCAACTTTGTCAGAGTGTCAATTAATTTAAAACTTTTGATCTAATAAACGAAAATCATTAAATACTTAAGCAGGTATGCAGAAAGAAACTTTAAACATGCAAATGACTTGATATCCCATAAAACTGAACGGTACTAAATATTTCCTTCTTTCTTCTGGACGCACTTCTTTGAAATCTCGTTTCCAGGGACATTACATAATATTAGTCACAAACATTTAAAGTTAGGAAGGTGTAAAAATCTGTGCAATAAATTGCTAATACTTAATTAAAATTTTATCTTCATTGTATGCATTGAAACTTGAATGACAAAATAATTTTGTAAAAGAAATTTTTTTTTCATTAAATTGTCATTATCGCATAAGGAACGTTACTTAATGAATAATCACAAACATAATGTCATAAATATTTATTCTATGTTCAAGAACAACTTTCTTGAGGATTTTCAGTTAGTTTCCACAAAGTTCTTGCCTTGATAACATCTTTGAGTGTCGTGCGTTAACATGAATTCTTTATTTTTATTATTAATATTTATAAAGTCATTGAACTTTTCCTTCGCACTTTTTTCTGTTCATTTGAAGAAAAACCCTGAGATAATCGCGGAAATATTCAATAAAAAATCTCAAAGTCAAGTTGAAAGTTAGTTACATATCTATTTAAAAAAAAATAAAGATAAAAAACATTGTAACAAAAAAATAAGTGGAACTGTTGAATAATATCGATACAAATTATAATTTCAGAGGTGCGCTATTTTAATGAATATGATTTCATAATTGTTGGATCGGGACCAGGTGAATTTGATATTTCTCATTTCTTCTTTCTCTTCTTGCATTAATATTGTTAATTTTGTATAACTAAAACGTAATCCTTGCATAGGCGGCAGTGTTTTGGCGAATAGATTGACCGAAAACCCAAATTGGAATGTCCTACTCATCGAAGCCGGTAAAGTCGAGACTTTTATTCAGGAAGTTCCAGTTTTGGCAGCTTATATGCAATCGACAGCTTATAATTGGGGTTTTGTGTCAGAGTCTCAAACTGGATCATGTTTAGGTTTGGTTTTGAATAATTGAAAGTGAGAAATGAACGTAAGTACAATAGTGAATTGAACTTTCATTTCAGGGATGGAAAGTCAAAGGTGTGCCTTCCCTAGGGGAAAAGCTTTGGGCGGTACAAGCGTCATAAATTATATGATCTACAATCGTGGGAATAAAAATGATTTCGATCGTTGGGCAGCAGCAGGAAACACTGGATGGTCATGGGCAGAAGTTCTTCCTTATTTTTTAAAATCAGAAAGATCTCAACTTGAAAATTTACAAAATTCTAAAGCACACAACCGCAAAGGTCTTCTTAATGTTGAATTTAACCGTGAAAGGACTCTTCTTGCAAAAGGTTTTATGAAAGCAAACCAACAACTTGGCGCCAAAGAAGTCGATTATAACTCAGGGCAACAGCTTGGGGTATCATTTTTACAAGCAAACACTATTCGAGGTCGAAGACATTCTGCTTTTAAATCGTTTCTTGAACCTTTTCTTGAACGTTCAAATCTTCACATCATGGTGAATACAAGAGTTACAAAAATTCTCATCGATGCAAATACAAAAACTGCATATGGAGTTGAAATGATTCGTAATCGAAAGAAACTTCACGTCAAATCAAGAAAAGAAGTTTTTCTTTCTTCTGGAACTTTTTCATCACCTCAACTTTTAATGCTCTCAGGTGTTGGAATGAAAAGTGATTTATCGAAATTTGGCATTCCCGTGATTAAAGAACTTCCAGTTGGAAAAATAATGTATGATCATCCGAGCTTTCTCGGGCCTACATTTGTTGTTAATACAACAGGTCATTCATTAAATACCGATCGTGCATTACATCCGAGAACTGCAATTGAATATATAAAGGGTCAAGGTGTGCTGACGATTCCAGGCGGCGTTGAAGCATTGAGCTTTATAAAAACAAAAACAAACAATAGTCGTGGTGCTGATGTACCCGACGTGGAATTAATTTTTGTTTCCGGAGGTTTTCATTCTGATCAAGGAGCTGGAATTGCCCGAGGCATGAGATTAAGAACAGATATTTACAATAAAATGTTTAAAGAGTTGGAAGACACGAGTATCGATACATTCTCAATCATGCCGATGTTATTTCATCCCAAATCAGTTGGTTATTTGGAGTTAAGAAGCGCAAATCCATTTCAGTGGCCTAAATTTTATCACAATTTTTTTACAAATCAAGATGATGTTGAAACTCTTTTGGAAGGTATAAAGTTCTCTCTTAAACTCGGCCAAAGCCGTGCATTTCAAAAACTTGGCGCTAGACTTCATTCAGTTCCGCTGCCTACATGCGCTCACATACATTTTGGATCAGATAATTATTGGCGGTGTGCAATTCGTAGTATATCAAGTACATTGCATCATCAAGTTAGCACGTGCAAAATGGGACCTTCAAGTGATTCAACAGCTGTTGTTTCACCAGAACTCAAAGTTCACGGAATAAACAGATTACGTGTCGTTGACACAAGCATCATTCCAGAACCACCGACTGCTCACACCAATGCCGCATCATTCATGATTGGCGAAAAAGCAGCTGATATGGTGAAGCGCCAGTGGGGTTCGACTTAATCATAATAAATGTTACATTATGTAATCATGTTTGAATAAATTTCCATTTAAATGCGCTTCGGCGACATTCACTTAGTTATTTTGCTGACCGTGTTTTTATTCATTTTTGTTTTCTTTTCCGAATAAAAATCAAAAAAAAGAAGAAGAATACGAATGTGTTTAGCTGTAACAAATAAGCTATGAAGGTTGGTTTATAAGCTACATATAAAGATATCGTGATTATAACGACGATGATGATGTCAAGAAAACTGCTGAACAGCGTCTACGCGAAATATTTCACGTATGTACATATTTTATATACGTCTATAAAAATCTCTTTTGATTCCTTTTGGTAGGTCGTTTAAAGCAACAAACACGAGTGACTCGAGTTGCTGAGAAAATTCACGCTACAAACACGATTGTATCAGAAGTAAGACAATGAGTGAAAAAAATATGCTTTGACACACAGCAGGCAATCTACTTAAGTTGTTTGAAATCAAGTTTCAGTCTTAAACGCAACTCAGATCGAATCGCATTGAAATCGAAAGTTCATCCTCGTGGAAAAAAAGAAATAAGATAAAATTATAAATTGACAATTCTTGTTACTATTGAAAGGAAAAGTGAAGAAAAATAAAAATAATGAGAAGACTTTGGATATTTCTTGTTGTCACGACTAATCAATATTTTGTTGAATGTTTTCTTGTAAATTATAATAATGATACAGAACGAACACGCCGCAGCACAAACATGGGAAAAATAGTGTTTGGATCATACAATGAACATATTGAAAGTAAGAAATTTTTTTTGTTGGCTTATCAAGTGTTGTTCAATAGAAAAACTTCTTGTTCGAAAGAATTTGTCGTTTTCTTATTTAATTACATTAACACTTCATAATTATTATGATGATTTCGATTGCATAATAATAATCTGATAATATTGTTTTATTCTTTAACAGAACCGCAATACTTCGAAAGATACGATTTTATTATTGTTGGTTCAGGTCCAGGTAAATATTCATTCAATTGGATTATCAAAAAAGTTGTCTTTTTATGAAATGTCTAAGAAAAAAAAATGTTTTTCAAATTTCAGGTGGTTGTGTATTGGCTAACCGCCTTACAGAAAACCCAAAGTGGAATGTACTGTTGATTGAAGCTGGCGACGTCGAGACACCACTTCAGAGTGTTCCGGTTGGGGCACCTTACTCAGTTTTTTCAAAATATAATTGGGGATATAATGCTGAACCACAAATTGAAGCTTGTCTAGGTAAACACGTCGATTAAATTATGTTAAGTTCAACTATTTCACAATCTCTTTTTTTTCTTCATTTTCTTCTTCTTCTACAAAGGCCGAGAAGATAACAGATGCAGTTACCCACGCGGTAAAGCTTTAGGTGGCTCAAGCGTCATTTATTTCTTAATTCATACTCGCGGGAACAAAAGAGATTTTGACAGATGGGCCGAAGCGGGCAATTATGGATGGAGCTATGATGAAGTTTTACCATATTTCATGAAATCAGAAAAGGCGAATTTAGGCCGTTATAACGACTCGCCATATCATAATAAAAGCGGACCATGGAGTGTGTCACTCAATACGATGAGAACACCACTTGCCAAAACGTTCGTCCAAGGAAATAAAATGATGGGAATGAACGAAATCGATTATAATGGCGATAAACAAATTGGTGTTTCATATGTCCAAGCTAACACATTAAATGGTCGACGACATTCAGCTTATCGTGCTTTCCTTGAGCCGGTTTTACATCGACCTAATCTTCACATCATGATCAATACAAGAGCCACAAAAATTCTCATAAATCCTGAGACAAAAATTGCATACGGTGTTGAATTTGTGAGGGATCGTAAAAAATATCGCATGATTGCGAAACGTGAAGTGATTTTGTCATCAGGGACATTTCATTCGCCACAATTACTGTCATTATCAGGCATTGGATTAAAGCAAGACTTAAGGAGAATTGGCATTCCATTGATTCAAGATTTGCCTGTCGGACGCAACATGCACGATCACATAACATTTGCCGAATTGACTTTTGTTACAAACGTTACTAACGAAATCGGTTTCATGTCCTACGTCAACACTGTTTTCGAATTTATGCAAGGCACCGGTTTGATGACATTGCCTGCTGGTGTTGAAGGTTTGGGATTCATTAAAACACCTACGAATAACAGTCGTGGACGAGATGTTCCCGATATTGAACTTGTGTTTACGGCGGGAAGTGTCAACGCTGATGGTGGTTTTGGAATAATCAACGGTGGACGGATGAGACGTGATATCTACGACAAAGTTTATAAGCCGCTTGAAGGCACCAAATATTACACTTTCTTAATCTCATTGATGCTTTTTCATCCGAAATCGGTTGGACATGTCAAAATACCAAACGCAGACCCTTTTGGACATCCAAAGCTTTACGGAAACCTCTTCAGTGAACCAGATGACATTGAAGCACTACTACATGGCGTCAAATATGTTTTAAAATTAACAAAGACAGAGCCATTTCAAAAGATCGGAGCTCGTATTCACGCCATTCCATTGCCAGATTGCGCACACATTAATTATGGATCAGACGATTATTGGCGTTGTGCAATTAAACTTATGTCGTTTTCTATTTTGCATCAAGTGGGTACAAATAAAATGGGTCCATCAAATGATCCAACTGCTGTTGTTTCACCTGAACTTAAGGTTCATGGTATACAAAAGCTTCGAGTAGTTGATACGAGTATAATTCCCGAAGCACCCACTGCACATACAAATGCTTTATCAGTTATGATTGGTGAAAAAGCAGCCGATTTAATAAAAAATGAATGGCGAGGAAAGTGAGATTAATTTAACTAGTCACGTAAAAAATAGTTAACGATGTAAAATTTAATGTAAATACTTAGTCTACGTTCAATTGATAAGGGGTTACAAAAAATAATGAATAATTAATACTAAGAATGATTCGTCAGTGATGTAAAATTTTAATTTTATTTTACTTTAAGTGAAAAAAGGGTTCAAATATCACAAAACATTATTTCCAGTTGAATCTGAAAGGATACTTGTGATTCCCTGTTTATGAGTGAAATATGTTGTAGCATAATTTTCTCATTTTGTGAAATAAAAAACCGTAAACAAGAAAATACTAAGCATGGAGGGATTTCACTTCTTTTCGTGAATGAAAATAATCTTTGCTATCCAGGAGGTTGTGAAAGTGCTATCAAATCATTAATATGAGGGTGGTAGAAGTGCTTCTCTACTTCTTACTTGATATTTACTTTTTCTCCCCCAATCATAACGGAAGAGATATATGATTTCAACAGTGGATTGAGAGAGGAAATTTAATATCTTTAATATTTCATCCATATTCAACTTGACGAAAATGAAAATGAAATACAAAATAACATTTTTATGTATGTGTTTATGTATATTTAATTCCGTTTTTTTATTAAAATAATTTATTTCTTTTATATACTAGTAACACTATGAAATTATTATTTTGTAGTACAATCTAAGACTGTTAAGGACGACTAAATATCAGTCACAGTGCATAAATTAAATAATCTATTGCATTTAAAAATGAGATGGAAATGGAATTTTTTTTCTAGTTTATTTCGCACCAGTTCATTGAATATAATCGTCAATTGATCTTCCTATTCACTTGATAAACTTTGAAAGGGTAATGATGAGAATATGCAATCTGTTCATATCATAAATCATTCGATATTCCCCTCAGTCAATACATTCAATTACTTTTAATTCTAAAGTCAATTCTGATAACGTGTTTATACGTGGTGTCTTGATTATCTAATGCCAGTACAAAATGATTGCATAATTGTGATGAATCACTCGATGTTTACAACCAAGAGAATTATATGGGATAGCAAGTGATGATTCAGATAACAGAAGCTGATAGTTTTATGGCCTAAACACATTTAATACTGAAATAATTGAGGATCGCCTTACACTTTTTTATCTTGAAACCAACATATTATCGATTAAGGACTGTCGTGAAAAAGGCACGCCGATAAAGACATGAGTTACTGCTACAGCTTTTATGTTATTTTTTATAGAACAAAATACATAAAATACGAATTTGTATATGTTCATCACATTGTTCCACTACATAAAGCGCCAATAGTCTTGTATACATAAATACAACACTCGACGACAACAAAAAAAACCAGCCAGAAGTAATTTGAGTCGCGCAGTCGCATTACTCTTTGTTAATTAAACTTTATACTCTTTCAAACTATGGTTATGTTGATGAGATCAGTAATATTGAATTTTTTTTCTAATAATAGATTTTGGAAGCGAAACATCATGCACATATTCGTATAGCAATATTCACAATCATAAAAATCCAGAAAAGAATTTGTTTCTAATATTATCAATTCTCTTAGGAATGAAATCAAAATTCAGAATTTATTAATTCGACTCTATTGACTTTAAGCACTCAAAAACATTTGAGTCATAGTGAAGCTGTGTGAGTTATCTTCATTAAAGCGTGATGATATTTTTAGCACGAATTAGATGTGGCATTTGGTTTTGTATATAAAGTTGTGTTTTGAAGCTTCGATTGCCGGACTAAAGAATCTAACATTTTAGAAAAATCTTATCAAATGACTTACCTGATACAATTAATGCTTCATTGGGTCCAACAGTGTGTATATTTCCCATGTTTATAATCCAATTTAGTAGTTATTGATAAATCCTCAATTAATCCAAGCGTGGTTTTCTTATCAAATTTTTTTCTTTCACTTTCAATCAAATTTACACCCAAAAACAAATTCTTTCAAATCACCTTCACGATATATCGAATAATTGCCACTATCTAATGGGTTCGTGATTAATTACACTGCTTTGAAATCGAATCAACTGATAAACAAGCGATTTAATGCTCCATCATACTCTTGTTATCAAGATATTTTTTATGTTAAATTCACGCGCAGGCTCACTCCCTCAGTGTTATAAGAGGACAAATTCAAGTTTAAATTATAAATATCCGTTAATTTCTATTCAATGCGTAGCATTTAATTAGTAGTTTTTTTAATGGTGTTTGCTTAAATATCATATTTAGGTAATAATGTGATGAAATTATAGTTCAATTAAAGAAATTATTGAATAATAAATTGAATCAATTCAATAATGTGGTTGACACAACCTATCATTCGTATGCTTCTAGGTTTTTATAAATATAAAAACATCACTTTAGAGCATACCCCATTTCTCAGCAGTGTTTTGAATAAGTCTTCATCTTACGTACAACTCTGCAGATTTTCTAAACTTTAGTTGTTTTGGAATCGTAAGTTTGCTAAATAATGTCTCTTTTAAGACTTCCAGTATGTATTATCGCCGGCAAACAACAAGGTAAATAAATTTGCAAAAGGTTTCTCGATAAAAGTCATCTGTGGTGCAAAAGCTCAAAGTCCATTTCTTCAACTTCATCGACTTTCCTCTTTTCTTTTATTTTCATAGTAATCCGGTCACTTAGTACATCGTCATCATGTTTAGCTCAAAAGATAGAGTTGAAAAGGAAACCAGCACAAAATATAGTTCTTGTAGATGGAGTCAGGTGAATATAATTAAAAATTGATAAATTCCATAAGATTCATATTTATGTAATTACTTTCAGAACACCTTTTCTTATGTCTGGAACCCAATACTCAAAGCTTATGCCTCATGAACTGGCAAGACATTCATTGTTGAGTCTTTTAAGAAAAACTGGCGTTGATAAGGATTTAATTGATTACATTGTTTACGGAACTGTTATTCAGGAAGTGAAAACATCGAATATTGCTCGTGAAGCGGCTCTCTCTGCTGGTTTCTCAAATAAAACACCAGCACATACTGTCACAATGGCATGCATATCATCGAATCAAGCGATAACAACAGGAATGGGTTTAATCGCAACTGGAACTTACGAAACAATTGTTTGTGGAGGAGTTGAATTCATGAGCGACGTTCCAATTAGACACAGTCGTAAAATGAGACAGCTTTTACTTAAACTGAGCAGAGCAAAGACAGCTGGACAACGTCTTTCACTCTTATCAACATTCCGACCAGCATTTCTTACACCTGAATTACCAGCAGTTGCTGAATTCTCGTCTGGTGAAACTGTAAGTGAAGATATGTGGTTTTCAATATCATTTTAAACTTAGTTTAATGTTCTAGATGGGTCATTCAGCTGATCGCTTAGCAGCTTCTTTCAAAGTAACTCGTAAAGAGCAAGACGATTATGCAATCAAGTCTCATACATTAGCTAAGGAAGCACAAGATAAAGGATTCCTCACAGATCTAGTTCCATTTAAAGTTGACGGCGTTGATAAGACAATTTCTGTTGATAATGGAATTCGCGTTGGAACAGCTGAACAGTTAGCAAAATTAAAACCAGCATTCATTAAGCCTCATGGAACAATCACAGCTGCAAATGCTTCTTATTTAACTGATGGTGCAAGTGCATGTCTCATTATGACTGAAGAAAAAGCTAAGCAAATGGGTTTGAAGCCAAAAGCATATTTGAGAGATTTTCTCTATGTCTCACAAGATCCAATTGATCAACTTCTGCTTGGACCTGCTTACGGAATTCCAAAATTGCTTAATAAAGTTGGATTAGGTATAAAAGATATCAGCACATGGGAAATTCATGAAGCTTTTGCTGGTCAAATTCTCGCCAATTTGAAAGCGCTCGATTCGGATTTCTTCTGTCAAACTTACATGGGAATGAAGACAAAATTCGGAACACCAGATTTAAGTAAATGGAATAACTGGGGCGGTTCGCTCAGTATTGGACATCCTTTTGCTGCAACAGGCGTTCGTCTCTGTATGCATTCAGCAAATCGTTTGGTTCGTGAAGATGGACAATTTGGTGTTATCGCAGGTAAAAAGCTTCATTAAGATTACTTTCGTACATAAATTAACTAAATTCATTCTCAGCTTGTGCTGCTGGAGGCCAAGGAGTTGCAATGCTGGTCGAAAGACATCCAGACGCAAATGCTAATTAAACGTAGACGTTGTTCTTATCACAACTTTTAAATTATTATCTTTTTTTCACCTGTTTGTTGGTTGAATGAATAGTTTAAGCTCATAAAGTTCTAATAAACTGTTCCTTAGTTTGAAAGTTTCATCTATAAAAATATATTTTGCAAATTAAAAGTCACGACAAGAAAAACACAACATGATGTCAACTTTTTTGATAATGAAATAAAGTTTTATTTTCTACGAAAAAAAGAGAAGGAAAAATGATGTTTTTATCTGTGGCTTGATAATCTGTTAAGCAGAAGAGAGAAATAACTTCAAGTCAATGAAGATTTTCAATTAAAACCACAAAGTCTTTGCACAAGAAGAATAATTGGATTAGATACAAAATAAAATAAAAATGATTGGAATTCACTTAACGATTAATAAAATTATCTGATTTCATTCACTTTAAGTTATTTTTTTGTCTCAATTTCCATTTGAGACATCACTCAGAATCTCTTCGTCGTCAAGATAAACGTCTGATGTGTCGATGTTCTCATCAAGATCTTCGTCAAAGTCGAACTCATCTAATGAATTTTTTCTCACTTTTGACGGTTCTGAACTGCTTGCGACTGGAGGTGGTGGTTCGTTTAATGAAATTAATTGAATCTTCTCTGATAATTCTTCACTATTTTCAACACCATTTTGTGGTTTATCCATTTTCGAATACTGGAAACTTCCCTGACTCTCATTTTGATTCATTTCTTCAACAGCATTACGATCAATGTTCATTGGAATTTTCATGGCGTATTGAGCTGGTAACAATTCCGGTTCCTTTTGTGCCAAAAACTGTTGAGTTTTAATTGCATCTTGAAAACCTGGAAAAAGATTTTCATATTGTTCGGGATCGGCGAGACTTTGACCAGCTTTCTCGTTGATTTTTCCCAACTCTGTTTTCCACAAGCTTAACACATGTGAAACTTTACTTGGTAGATAAGTTCTGAAAAGAGAAATTTCTTATTGGATTTTCTCACAATCACAAACTTATTCATAAAACATTAGAATTACCTGGCAAATAAAGCCGCTTCTGGTATGCGATTAGTTTCAATAAGAACATCAAGACATTCATCAAGTTTTCCCAACAACATCATTGAGATGAAAGCAACGTTGAACTTTCCTTGCGCTAACGAACTTTCTTTCAAATTATTCATCATTTCTTCATCGCCAGAACTTGATGCCAACAGCATTAATCCACCCAAATCATTTGCTTTCACAAGACATTCCTTCACAAGTTCCATTTTATTTTGACTCGTAGCAATTTCTGCAAGTTGCGACCATTTCTGTGGACTGTCAGATTCTCGGGCAAGTGCAAGTGCTTTGGTCAAGTCTCCAATTTTAAGTGCCAAATCAAAGCAATGTTCGGGATCAGTTGAGACTTGAAGTGCTTGCTTCATAAATCCTTGTTTCTCCAAGAAATGAGCGACACGTGTACGATGTTCTTTTGGAATGGTGGGAAGCACACGATCAGCAATATCGAAATCACGACGCATGACTGCTGTTTGATATTCCAAAACAGACAACAACAGACAATAACTGGTGATGTTAAGTTCTTTATCACCGAGATATAAACGATTCTCTTTTGGAACATATCCTAGCAAGTACATCGTACGATCGAGATGTGAAACTGTCACAATTTCCCCACCAACGTAATATTGAATTCGATTGACACTGTTTGTGTATATGAAGCAATCACCAACCCACAATCCCGTTTTGACTGTCTCATTGATCTCACCAAGAACATCAAACGCTGCTTCAATTCCATCTTCATCAATCTTTCCCTTTGTTTCAAGAATCTGTTGAATCATCCCAGTGTCAACTCGAAGAATAAAATATGATTCATCTGTTGCTAAGCACACAAGTGTACCAGCTTCATTCCAATAAACATAACGTGGTTGAACTTCTATCCGTCGAATAAGTTCCAAATTCTCCCAATCATAAAATGAAAGTCCCGACGATGTTTTCACACCAAGAAGATAACCGCCGAATATTCCTTTGATGAGAAAGTACAAAAAATTGTCAACAATCTTTTCAATTATAATAAAATTAAATAAAAGACAAGAATTATACTAAAATATTTAAGTTAAAAGTTTAAAAAATCACCTTCTGTATCACATAATGAAAGCACAGGAAGAAGCATAACAAGCATAACAGTTAGAATCTGGATAGTTAAAGGCATTGCGAAAGACGACACAATTTAAATTAAGAACTTACCTTCAGCTCCATATTCAGGTGTAAAGCTTTTTCGTTCTTTGAAATTTCTGAAGAGTTTAACTGCCCCGCTGTTTTCACGAATTGCATATTCGCTGCTGTCCAAAGCCCAAACGAATTCTTGTGCTGAACCAAAAGCTTTATTACGAAGTGCCATTGATGTGTAGATTATGTACTCTCCATCACCACAAACCACCACGAAACGACCATTTGGATTATGAGCGATTGTTTGTGGAAAGATTTCACACGCTCCCATATCCTTAACGACAACTGGAAGTCGCTCGCCATCTTTAACGATGCTTCCTTCAGGCAAGGCTTTTAAATTTGCTTGTTGCATTTCGCAATGTCGTGCCCACACAATCTTTCCACCATTAATATCCATCGACATTGCAGGCTCTTCACGTCCAACTTTTATTATTATCGATCCTTCATCGTAGCCAAGTGCAACGTTGTTTGTTCCACGCATGCATGCAATTGTCCAAACTCTTTCGAAACCGTAATTCAATGACGTTTCTAAACGACATGTTCCGGAATGCCAAATGCGAACGGTTCCATCTTCCGATCCAGTGAGAATAATCGGCAATTCAGGATGGAATGAAACAGCTGAGACATTTTGTGCATGACCGTCAAGGGTTTGTACGCAAGTTTTATTCTGATAATCCCAAATTTTTACAAGACGATCATCAGCACCAGAAATTAAGTATGGTTTGTCACCACCATGATAATAATCGACACAATTGACGCCTCTTTCGTGACCTTCCAAAGTGAAATTTGCGGTGTTCGATCCAAGTTGCCAAACTTTCACTGTTCGATCTAACGATGCACTTGCAAACGTGTTGTTGTCTTTAGGATTGAAGACAATTTGCATAACATAATGGGAATGTCCTTCAAATACTCTTTGACATGCCCAAAGTTTATCCCAATTCCACAATTTAATTAACATATCGTCACTGCTTGTGAGAATCAAAGGTTGTGTTGGATGAACGGCAATGCATCGAACGTAATCTGTATGCGCTTCAAATGAATGGATCTTCTCCAGTGTATTATAATTGAAGATTCTCACCTTAAAAAAGATTCTTTTAATTTCTTGAACTTTGAATTTCAATTTTTTCAGTTAACTTACTTGCATGTCGTCGGATCCAGTGATGATCCAATTTTTTCTTGGGACAAATCGAGCACATCGAACAGGAAGATCACAAACCTAAACAATATCTTCTTATCATTTAGTCAATTATGAAAGAATGAATCAAACAAACCTCGAAATCTTTCACCATTTGCTGATTTTCGTAGTTCATGACATGAACATGACCATTGTACAATGCACATAACATCCATGGCTCTGTTGGGTGTAGGTCCACTGATTTAACACGATCAGACCTTGACGTGAGACGTCTTTTAATGTCCAAGCGTAAAGGCTTTAAAACGGAATTAAAATAAAATATTTATAGTTTACTATATGTCAAGTTGTATGTTGATGATGTGGAAACTTGAAACATTATTTTAAATTTAATTGAATATCTCGAACAATTCGTACAATTACTACATGAATTTATGAAATAGTTACAAAGTTTAGTTCACATTTCAATAATTACCATTTTTATTGAAGATTCTCTGTTTAGTTTTCGCTGAAAATTAAGTTTGATTCACTTTTTACACCGAATGATATTTTTTTATCTTCTTCTTAATAGTGACAGTCCGACAATTTCCATCCACCAGTAGAAATTGTTTCCGAATTCAAAAACTTTAAGCCGTTAGTTTTCTTAAAAATTCTACTTTTTATTAAAGATTTTACATTGAAATCAGTTTGTCGCATATTTATGAAAATTATTAGAGAACAAAAAAGAAACAAAAATTTAAAATGATAAATGTAAAAGAAAATAAGATTACTTTATATCTAATTGTTTCATTTCAGTAATTAAATTTGTTTAATTTCATTTGTTATCATTTGGACATGAATAAAAAGTTCTGTGATTCTTGTTAACATTCGGAATCATCAATAAATTAAATCATTGTTTATAATTGAATGTCACGATGATTATGATGTTGAAGGTGCTTCAGAAAATTTTATTCATTTATAAGAAGTAATCTGCCTGGGGCTTTTTCAAAGGAATTCCCCGATTTTCTTGTGGTGCTGCCTCAAATATTGTAAAATCTCTTTGAAGATTCTCGTTCAGTTCCAAGATAGCAGCAACATTTCCACAACGATAGCAGTAATTAGGAGCTGACCAAACCGTTAACACAGTTTCATTGAAATGCCATTTGTAGCCTTCCATGACCAATTGATGAGCACGACAAATCATGTCAATATCGTTTGCTGCATTAAATTGTGCTACAACATCTGAACCAAAAAGATATCCAGCGCCTCTTGGTGAAACACCCCAACCGTGTGTATCTTCTGGATCAGACCATAATAAATCACACATTGGACCGTCATGGGGAACTTCTTGCTTCCTATCGATTGAACGAATTTGATCTAAATACTGAATTGATGGGCTCAGACCTCCATGAACACAAAAAATCTTTCCGTCGATAATTGCAGAGAGGCTGAGATAGTCGAACACTTCAGTACAATAGCGCCATACTGTGATTGAGCCATATTTTCGAAGACATTCGTCATAAAAGCCATAAACTTGTGTAATCTGTCGTGATTCATGATTTCCTCTAATTAATGTGATACGATCTGGATAGCGAACCTAGAAATAAACAAGAAAATTATTTACCTCTAGACAAATAAAAGTATTATCTGAAATTCTTACTTTCAGAGCTAAAAGGAGAAGAAAGGTTTCGACCGAATAATATCCTCTGTCGACAAAATCACCCATAAAAAGATAATTTGTTTCGGGAACATCACCTCCAACTTTAAAGAGTTCTTTGAGATCGTAAAATTGCCCATGAATATCACCGCAAACCTATTTGAGAAAAAGAAAACAAAAACATGAAAGTGTGAAAGCGTCTGACGTATGATGCTTAAATATAAACTATGATGATTAATTTACCGTAACAGGACTATCAACACGCTGAACATTTCCCTCTTCGACTAGTATTTCGCGGGCTTTTGCACACAATACCTTAACTTCATTCTCTTTAATAATTTCACATCGCTTTAGTTGTTCAATTTGTCGATCGAGATCACTATATTCACTCATTGTTTTGACTGAAGTCAGAAAATTTTAGGAAAATAAGAAATGGACAACACAGAAAATTTTATGTCGTTTTTTGGTCTTGAAAGGACAGTCTTTTCTAGTTTTTAATAATGTAGCGATAATTTAGTGTAGTATTAGTATGTTATAGTCAAAGGAAATATAATTAGGCGCGGAATTGACAACATAAAACTTATAAGAAGCTTAAAAAGTGAAATTCGTCACCGCGTTCAAGATTACTTATGGCGCATGAATGTGACGCACGGAAATCATTCAACTAACATTACCACAAAAATATATTGTCACATGATTTAAGACTTTATGTGCGAGCAAATAGGTATCAATATTGCTTGTCCGCATTCAAACTTTCTCTCCTTTGGATTATGCGGATTTTTTTGAGAGAACATCGAAATGTTGAGTTGAATTACCGGCATAAATTAGTGAATAACCTCTGGATGCATAACTTTCATCTTAAATCAGTGTGAAAATATTAAAAGTTTTATTATTTCTTTTCGTTTTAATAAAGTTCTTTCTTCAAGGTGTGTGGAACATAGGGGAAAGAATAAGAGAAAACATAGAAATGTGCAGTACTTTTTTATATACACAGTAATCGAGTGTAGTAGTTCGACACCCTTGTGCAGTTCGAAAATTCGGGCCGGTAAAATAAAGAAAAAGGAAAAAATAATGAGAAAACAATAAAGTGACCAGCGCTTCGGTCCGGAACCTTTTTCCTGTTCCGGAACAGGAAACGGACCTTAAGGGGACCATGAACTTGTTCCGGAACAAAAACGGACCGTTCCGCAAACGATAAATCTGTTCCGGAACAGGAAGAGGCCCTTGTTCCGGAACAGGAAACGGACCTTAAACGGATCTCGGAACACGGACCGAAGCCCCGAAAGTGACAAATGTTTTAATCAACCTTTTCAGTTACGTTTTCTTTTATTAAAAAAAAGTTATTACAGGAGTTAATTAAATTAAATGGATAAAGTTTTAAGGGCCTAATAATCATCGAACCGAGCGAATCGTTCTGCCAATAAATATTGTAAAAGTTGTTTTAGTNATAAATCATAAAATGTACTCTTTGATAAATTTGTTTATTTACCTTAATAAGTGTCATAAAAAGGAGGATATTTGACGTTGAAGTTTACATGGGTTCATGAAAAATTGTATTAAATATTTATTACAGAACACATAGATATTCGTTTATATTCATAATTCAATGTGCTGAACAAATAAAAGACAATGTTGATAAATTTCCTTTTGTTGTTTGATTATTAATTTTAATTACAGCAAAACTAGGATAGAAAATCCCGAAACAAATCAACTTCTGATGATATCATCAAACACTGAATAATATTCCAATTGAAATCTTTCAATTAAATTTTCGTAATTATCGGTCTTGTTGACACAAGTAAACGTTTATTAACTGTAAGACCATCAAGATTTTTTTCCAGATAGTTTAATGAGATGTCAACAGTTGTTTAATTTAGGAATGTCACCTCGCAATCAAATTTAACTTGATTGAATAAATCCTTCAACCAAATGACCTAAACCAACGCAGCATAACACATAAGTGACGTCAATCAATCACTTAAATCGACAAAATGAAATGTCTTAAATAGAAAATGTCTTGATTACGTTGTGTTGTTTCAAATAAAAATGCAATGTTTTGTTTTGTTACATGCCTAATTATTTACTAATTTGTGTATTTATTTTTAGTCTTAATTAAATTAAATGGATAAAGTTTTAAGGGCCTAATAATCATCGAACCGAGCGAATCGTTCTGCCAATAAATATTGTAAAAGTTGTTTTAGTTTTCTCTTTAAGTAAGATACAAGCGATGGAAATCATTCGCACCAAAAGCACAGTTACACTTGGGACATTTTCGTTGACGAGAATCGTAGCGATTTCGTAAACATTCGTAACAGAAGACATGAAAGCATTTTGTCAGCACGGCATCTTTTTGCTTAACTTTACATGAGTCACACGTAAGTGCTTCCTTGTACTCGAGGTTTTCTTGAAGAATGACTTCATCAATTGTCGCCCCCGACATCTCCATTTCCATGTTTTTCATCCGTTCAATCTTTCTCTTAAAAACATTCAACTCTTCTTGAAGATTCTTTGTTTTGTTGGATTCGTGCATAAACCGCGTTGCTTTCTGGTCCATCATTTGTTGCGTCTCTGCAAGCATCGTCACATACTTTTCTAAATGCATTTTCAACTCTTGAGCTGACTGTGCCGATTCAGTTGCTTTCCGTTTATACATCTCCATCGCTTTCTGCTTCAAATCTACTTCCTTCTCAAGATTACTTATAGTTGTGATTAAAGTCTTTTCTTTTTCTTCTAATTTTCGTTTAAGTGTAATCAAAGTTTCCATTTGATGTTCTTGAATCTGAAACTGTTAGGAAATTAAGGAGAAGGAAAAAATGAAACTTTTGCAAAATAAAACCCTGAAATAAATAAGCTTACCTGCTTCTCAAGCTCATCAATCTGTTGGCTGAGTAAAGTTTGCTTCTGATTGGCATTGATCCTATCCGACATTAATTTGAAATTGGCGTCATCCTTACTACTAAGCTGTTGCAGAAGACGATCATTCTGCTCTTGCATTTCATCGTACGCTTGTCCCGTCAATTCAATCTCATTCAGAAGAGCTTCTTCTTCCTACAATAAACAAATAATTGAAAAAAGGTTTAAATGAATAACGAATTGAAATTTGTTTCTTACATTTGATCCGACAAAAGTTCGATTAGCCCAATGACCATCGGTGACTTTTTGAATGGAAATTTGCTTTTGAAGTTCGCAATTCTTCTCTTCAAGTTGCTTAATTTTTCTTAAAAGATCTTCATCGGTGAGTTTTTTACGGTCTTCACGTCTCGTATCTTGTATTTTCTTCATTTGTAATTTGAGTTCTTCTAGCTCAGCGCGGATTTTCTTCTCAGCCGCCATCAATTGAACTTTGTCACGTTGCTCTTTGCTCACGCCTTTGTAAGTGTCCATTACCACTTTTGTATCCTTGAGATCATTGAGAGCTTTCTTGAGTTGAGCTTTTAAGTCTCGGTTCTCGCGTTCTAGTTTTGCAATATTATTTGTGTTATTTGAAGTCGTCGTGTTACTTTCCTCCTTTTTATTGACGCCTTCTGATTGATTTTTATCTGCAGAAGTTAATGACGCTTTATCGTCATTATCGGAATCATTCTCATCTGGTTCGTTCTTGACTTTGTCTGTTGCTTCATCTTTTATTTCACTCTTTATATTGTCAATCGGATGTTCTTCTTCTAGTGCACTTGTGCTTTCATTTTTCATATCTTTCTCTGATTTCACACCAGCCGCATTCAACTTCGTTCGCATCTCCTCAACCTCTTTACGAAGCTTTGTATTTTCAGCCATCAGTTCTTTCTTTGAAGCTTTATATCTTTGAGCTTCTTTCTTCGAACGCATATTACGATCTTGAAGTGAAGTAATCAGAAGTCTCATTTCACGATTAATCGGAGCTGTCTGCTCATTTGCTGCTAAATTCTGTTCGTACTTATTTCGCAAATTCTCAAACTCTTTTCTTGTTTGATCAAGAATGTATTGTTTCTGCAACAACTCATTGCGTAACTTCTTCTGCTCCTCAAGTTCATTACTTTCTAATACTTCAATATATCGTTGATATTCTGTACGACTTTTGGCTAGTTGAGCTCGTGCTTCATCTAACATTGTGTTGATTTGCATCGACTCATTGTAGAGAACTGAGAATTGAGACTGCAGGATTTTGTATTCAGTCGTTTCAGTGATGACAGATTCTGGAAGATGGCGCATCTGCAATGCACAACATTTACTTACATTTTGTTAAATTCAGTGATTTAATTACTTACATCCATCTTAAGTTTATCTATTTCTGTGATTGCCTGAGCTTTTTCTTCATTTAACTTCTCGATTTCTTGTAATCGATTTGCAGAGAGCTCTTTGTACTCATCGAGTTCCTTTTTTAACTCTTCTAAGTGTAGAGTTGCAACATTTGTCATTGATGTTCCGCCAGGTTTATCTTCATGCATAATTTTTAAATGTTTAATGAAGTAAAATTATTTTTGATTGAATATTCAACTCACCATTATTTTTCGTTTCATTTCCAATAACAGAAACATTTTTGATCTTCTCAATAGCTTCAGCTAGATGATTTTCGAGTTTATCATTTCGGCATCTCACCTTTTCCAGCTCATACTCGAGCCCATCAATTTTGTGTTTCATTTCAGCTTCAGCTGTTTCATGAGCCGCCAGCGATTCTAGAAGTTTTGCTTCATTCAACATGATCGTATGATTCTTTGAATGCAGTTCCATATTCTTCTCTTGCAGGTTTCGATTCTCTTTGATGATAGTTTCGATTTGCTCGCGAAGTGTTTGTTCTACATTAACACAATCGCTATCTTCACCTCTTAGCTCTTGTAATATTTTATCATTACGTTGCATTAAGCGATCAAAGACTTGAATAATTTTTCCCACGGCTCTCTTTGAAATCTGAACACGATTTGCGAGATTCTCATCAAGTTCCTTCTTATCCCATGTTGATAGTTGCACAAGAAATGATGTCGTTACTTCACTTTCATTCTTACTTTCTTGCTCGTCAGCAGTCTCAGCATCAAATCTCTGTAGGAGGATGCGAATGTCCTCATTGAATTGATTCCAATAGCGATTAACAGCATTGAGTACAGCATCGTCCTGTGTTTGACGACTCTCAAGCTGATCAATTCGCCCCTTTAGCTCGTTTTCTGTTCGCTTACGTTGTTCAATACGCTTAATAAATGAGAGGATTGAGATTTGAATTGTGAAAAACGAGAATAAAAAGAAGAATTAAACTTACATTGGCCAACTTCTTGTTTTGGAATTTTAAGACGTTTATATCAAGCTCTGTGGAATTAGACACGGAAGGTATTGTATGTGGAAGGTATATTGTCGAAACCTATTGAATAGAAAATGGAAATAAAGTTTTCACTTGACGATTTTAAATCGATTTTCGTGTTACTTTTTTTGCGGGTCCACTTGACCCGGGCGATTCCTCTGCAACCCTCTTCGACATCTTCAATGGCTATTGCAAAGGTTAAACAATGATATTTCTTTCAAATGATCGTATTTCTGTATTTTTTACTTTTTACTCGGAATTTATTAGACTCGAAGATGCATCTAAAGGTGAGCGTAGTTTCGAGGGGTTCATTAATCTGAAAATTTAATTTCTGTAGTGTGGAAGTCGAGTAAAGAAATTCGTAGCTTCTTTGTGTCAACAAAAATTTCTTAAAAATCCAGATGAGAAATACAGAATAAACTTACTTTGAGTTTTTATTTTTCTCGTTGTGACTAAGGACGTCAAGGATTAAAATATTCAAAGATGTTAAACGGTAAGTTTTCCTAATAATCAAATTTTCGTTGTGAATTATCAACGAATCAATCTCAAACGTATAGAAAATTTAGAAAATTCGACGAACTTTGTATTGTGAATGTGTATTGGGGCATGTGACGACTTGTTCAATGAGGCAAAAAATATAGTGAATCATGCATTAATGATATATTTAAGTTCGTTGTATTTGTATGATGCATTGAATTACAAGTTCATTGAAAGTCATGCTGTTTATCACTTATTCTAACTTCCGAAAATCTTTGAATGCCATAAAATGAGCGGACCCGCCTAATCACTTTATTTTTTTTTCAACCTTACAATTTTTTTTGAATTTTATATTGACGTCAGCTCTTAAAAGCTTACTTACTGGCGACATTCCACCGAACAAAGTCATCGAGAAAAACCTAGATTTAATAGGAAACTACAATGTTTTGCAACGTGATGATTCAATGGTTCTTTATGCACCACCGTTGGAAATTGTTGGAACAAATAACAAAACCAAACTAAATTATGAAATCGTCTTGTTTAGACCAGCATCAGAGAATGTAAGCTCTTCGTACAGGTATGAATGTCATCTAAATTCATTATTCGAATAATTGTTATTACGCATTAATTCCTCCATTGAAGCTTATTTCGCGCACAAACACAGGATGAAGCTTTAGGAAGATTTGAAGCATACGCGCAACGCGTTCCCAATTTTGTTCAAATGGTTAAAGAGATGTACAATGTTCAAGGATTACAAAAGATTTGTGACATTCTAACAGAAAATTCCTCATGGTCAATCGCTCATCTCGTCGCTCATTTCAATCTTGTTGAATATTTATCAAACCCTCAAGTTGTTGAAATGATCAACTATCCTGACCACATTAAATACATGACTCCATTCCAATTGGCAATCAAATCAAAGAATATCGAGATGGTTAAAATACTCATAAGTAGCGCAAAACTTGATCATCTCGACTACAACAGCAGTTCAATTTTCCACTATGCTGCTAACACTTCCAAAGAAATGATAAATATTTTAGCAAGTAAGAGTACGACAAATCTGAATCATTGTAATCTTGATGGATACACGCCTCTACATGCTGCGTGTATAAGCGACAATCCTGATTGCGTAAATGCTTTGCTATGTGCTGGGGCTGATGTTAATATTACAGCAAGACATGTCAGTAATAGCTTACAAAGTCAACCTCCACCATCGACATCTAGTAAGTGTTATTTAGAATTCTTATCAGTTTAAATTGTTGCTTTTCTTGACCTAATGATCGCTTATCGCTTAATTCTTTCAATAACATGTCCTACAGGTTCTGTCGCGGAATTCTTCAAAAAAAATGATGCCAAAAAATTGAATACGCAAGATATGAAGAATGGCGGAACACCGCTACATTGGACATCATCTCGTGAAGTTCTCGAATCATTAATTCAACGTGGATGCAACATAAATAATCTCGATTTCAATGGAAGGACATCACTTCACGTGATGGTGGAGAAAAATCGATTAGAATGTGTTGTTTCTCTCCTCGCACATGAAGCGGAAATTGACTTGCGGGACAAAGATGGAAACACGCCTTTACATATAGCTGTAGAGAAGAAATTGATACCGATTGTAAAATGTTTGGTTGTGTTCGGTTGCGATATTAATGCTAAGAACAAACATGCACAAACGCCGCGTCATATGGTCGGAAATGACGCAACAGGCTCTGATGATGATTTTATACTCTACATTCTTCACTCAGTTGGAGCGAAACGCTGTCCAGAAACAAGTTCAAAATGTCGTAAGTTTTTATATTTTTATGGTATTGACTTAGAGAACGGAATTTTTATCCCCAAAACAATGACGAATATAATTAATAAATAATCCCAAAGGACAAACTTCAGACCTAATTCAAACATATAACGTAATTAAAACTTTCTAATTAATTTTTCATTTCAAATTTAAATCAATCAAGCTCCCGGATGTCATTTCAATAAAGATTATAATGGTATTCCACCGCCTCAACCAGAGACGCCAGAACAACGTGAAGCGATTCAACAAGTTTTAGCTTCAACATCACAAATCATGCGTGGACGTACATCGTTGCCTAATATTATTAATCAGCAATTGAAGGCTACACGCGAACAGCCACAATTAATTGACACAACTGCTGAACAAAAAGGTGCGAGTGTCATGGATGCTTTACTTGGAATGTTTACATCAAAGATCCAAGCAGCTGCTAAAAAAGAAATTTCACATTCAGACAAAGGTACTTCAACACAAGAGGACGAAGATGATGTCAATATTATAGATGAAGATGACATAACAATGAGTGAAGAAGATTCTGACACGCCAGTTGGTTCCGGACGTCTCTTATGTCTCGATGGCGGTGGAATCCGTGGACTTGTTCTCGTTCAAATGCTTTTGGAAATCGAACAACTCGCACAATGCCCAATCAGTCATCTTTTTGATTGGATTGCTGGAACATCAACAGGTGGAATTTTAACTTTAGGTATTGGCGCTGGAAAAACGATGAAGCAGTGCATGTGTTTGTATTTTCGTATCAAAGAAATGGCTTTTATCGGATCTCGTCCTTATCCCAGTGATGCTTTGGAAAGTGTTCTGAAGGAAAATCTTGGAGAAGACACGGTCATGGCGGACATTAAGCATCCAAAGATTATGGTAGCTGCTGTTGTTGCTGACAGAAAGCCTGTTGATCTTCATCTGTTCAAGAACTATAAAAGTGCTAGCGATATACTAGGAATTGTAACTCCTAGCACAAATACTCGTACACCTCTGCCCCCACCAGGCATGGATTATTATTTTTTTCTTTTTCCATTCTTTGTTTCCTTTCATAAATAATAATTCCCATTAATATTTTGTTTTTCTAGAAAATGAACTGATTTGGCGTGTCGCCAGAGCAACTGGTAATTTCATTTAAATGATTCATTTTACAGAAATATTCTTCATATTTCTACAAATAAGGATGCGTAGCCACTAAAAACCACTCGAAATCGTAACCAGTTAAGTTTCACTTTTTCGAACTTAAGAGTTTTTAGAGAAGTAGAGTAGATTGTCCATAGTGCTTCTCTAAAAAGTTTCAAGCTATAAGTAGTTAAAATAGCGAAGAAAATTAAGTTTGTGACTAGTGGAACTTAATTGGCTACGATTTCGAGTGGTTTTTAAGTGGCTAATCATCCTACCTAATTTTATTATTTTTTCATTTTTCTAAAGGTGCTGCACCATCATATTTTCGAGCTTTCGGAAGGTTCCTTGATGGTGGTTTAATTGCAAATAATCCAACATTAGATGCATTGACAGAGATTCATGAATACAACATGGCATTGATGTCTGTGAATCGGAAGAGAGAAGCTGTGCCAGTATCAGTTGTTGTGTCATTGGGTACTGGTCTTCCGCCAGTTACAGCACTAAAAGAAATCGATGTCTTTAGACCTGACTCTATATGGGATACGGCGAAGCTAGCTTATGGCATAAGCGCTATAGGGAATCTTCTCGTTGATCAAGCAACTCTCGCTGATGGCAGAGTTATTGATCGAGCTAGAGCATGGTGTTCAATGATTGGTGTTCCTTATTTCCGATTTAATCCCCAATTATCAGTTGATCATGCTATGGACGAGAAAATGGATGATCCGGTAAGCTTTTGGTTTATTTAAAATTTAAATCATTTAAAATGTTTTCTCATCATTTAGCTTATCAATATGATGTGGGAGACTAAAGCTTACATGTATCAAAATCGAAAGAAAGTTATTGAAATGATAAACCTTTTGAAGTAAAAAACATTGAAACTCGTTCATGGCTAAGCGTGTTTAAAGTTACTTGGGAAATAGGTATGACTTACCCGTATCTAATTCAGTTTGATACACAAGAAAAAGGAAAAAAAATCTACAAGTAACAAAGGAAAACTTTTGCATAAATCATAAAATGTACTCTTTGATAAATTTGTTTGTAAGATGAAAGCGGCTATCAGTCGTGTAAATGAAATTCAACTTGTTTTTTCGTTCAATGCAACATGTTTCGATTCTTTNCAACCTCTTTACGAAGCTTTGTATTTTCAGCCATCAGTTCTTTCTTCGAAGCTTTATATCTTTGAGCTTCTTTCTTCGAACGCATATTACGATCTTGAAGTGAAGTAATCAGAAGTCTCATTTCACGATTTATCGGAGCTGTCTGCTCATTTGCTGCTAAATTCTGTTCATACTTGTTTCGTAAATTCTCAAACTCTTTTCTTGTTTGATCAAGAATGTATTGTTTCTGCAACAACTCATTGCGTAACTTCTTCTGCTCCTCAAGTTCATTACTTTCTAATACTTCAATATATCGTTGATATTCTGTACGACTTTTGGCTAGTTGAGCTCGTGCTTCATCTAACATTGTGTTGATTTGCATCGACTCATTGTAGAGAACTGAGAATTGAGACTGCAGGATTTTGTATTCAGTCGTTTCAGTGATGACAGATTCTGGAAGATGGCGCATCTGCAATGCACAACATTTACTTACATTTTGTTAAATTCAGTGATTTAATTACTTACATCCATCTTAAGTTTATCTATTTCTGTGATTGCCTGAGCTTTTTCTTCATTTAACTTCTCGATTTCTTGTAATCGATTTGCAGAGAGCTCTTTGTACTCATCGAGTTCCTTTTTTAACTCTTCTAAGTGTAGTGTTGCAACATTTGTCATTGACGTTCCGCCAGGTTTATCTGCATACATAATTTTTAAATGTTTAATGAAGTAAAATTATTTTTGATTGAATATTCAACTCACCATTATTTTTCGTTTCATTTCCAATAACAGAAACATTTTTGATCTTCTCAATAGCTTCAGCTAGATGATTTTCGAGTTTATCATTTCGGCATCTCACCTTTTCCAGCTCATACTCGAGCCCATCAATTTTGTGTTTCATTTCAGCTTCAGCTGTTTCATGAGCCGCCAGCGATTCTAGAAGTTTTGCTTCATTCAACATGATCGTATGATTCTTTGAATGCAGTTCCATATTCTTCTCTTGCAGGTTTCGATTCTCTTTGATGATAGTTTCGATTTGCTCGCGAAGTGTTTGTTCTACATTAACACAATCGCTATCTTCACCTCTTAGCTCTTGTAATATTTTATCATTACGTTGCATTAAGCGATCAAAGACTTGAATAATTTTTCCCACGGCTCTCTTTGAAATCTGAACACGATTTGCAAGATTCTCATCAAGTTCCTTCTTATCCCATGTTGATAGCTGCACAAGAAATGATGTCGTTACTTCACTTTCATTCTTACTTTCTTGCTCGTCAGCAGTCTCAGCATCAAATCTCTGTAGGAGGATGCGAATGTCCTCATTGAATTGATTCCAATAGCGATTAACAGCATTGAGTACAGCATCGTCCTGTGTTTGACGACTCTCAAGCTGATCAATTCTCCCCTTTAGCTCGTTTTCTGTTCGCTTACGTTGTTCAATACGCTTAATAAATGAGAGGATTGAGATTTGAATTGTGAAAAACGAGAATAAAAAGAAGAATTAAACTTACATTGGCCAACTTCTTGTTTTGGAATTTTAAGACGTTTATATCAAGCTCTGTAGAATTAGACACGGAAGGTATTGTATGTGGAAGGTATATTGTCGAGACCTATTGAATAGAAAATGGAAATAAAGTTTTCACTTGATGATTTTAAATCGATTTTCGTATTACTTTTTTTGCGGGTCCACTTGACCCGGGCGATTCCTCTGCAACCCTCTTCGACATCTTCAATGGCTATTGCAAAGGTTAAACAATGATATTTCTTTCAAGTGATCGTATTTCTGTACTTTTTACTTTTTACTCGTAAGATGCATCTCTAGGTGAGCGTAGTTTCGAGGGGTTAATTGATCTGGAAATTTAATTTCTGTAGTGTAGAAGTCGAGTAAAGAAATTCGTAGCTTCTCTGTGTCAACAAAAGTTTCTTAAACAGCTGGCTGAGAAATACACAATAAACTTTTTTCATTTTCATCATCATCATCAGGTCCAGGACGAGTTTCTCTTGTGAGGGACTCCACATGATTGCGATACACATGTTTTAAGACTTTATATGCGAGGAAATTTATTTCTAATATTGCTTGTCCACATTCAAACTTTCTCTCCTATGGATTATGCGGATTATTTTGAGAGAACATCGAAAAGTTGAGCCTAATTACCGGCATAAATTAATGAATAACGTTTAGATACATGACTTTCATATTAAATTAGTGTAAAAAATTTCAATAGTTTTAGTATTTCTTCTCATTTCCAATAAAGTCTTTGATCAAAGTATGTGAAACATAGGATCAATTGAAATTAGAGAAAACATAGAAACGTGCTGTACTTTCTTATATACACAGTACTTCAGCAATCGAGTGCAGTAGTTCGATACAACCTTTCATTCGTAAGAAACTCGGCTTAGCAAAATTTGCTCTTTCTCATACCGTTCAGTCTTTTAGAAAAATTCGAAATCGAAACATCAAAAATAAAGTTGCTGCGAGCGCGAATTTAATCAATATTTGGCGATAAAACGAAGATAAAGTTGCATCTAGTGATAGTATGATGCAATCAAAGTGAAGTGCATTTCTGAAATATTCGGTCTTAACATAAAAAGTTGCCTAGAAAAAGCGAAATAAGAAAAAATAAAAATAGTGAGGAAGAAAAATTCCAATGTTTCACATAATCAAAATAAATAGGGTTTAGTGGCAAATTCATCTCTGAATCAATAAGTTTACGAAAAAGGAAAAATCAAGTGAGTTAAATCTATCAAGTGTAATACCAACAAATAGAATTTATGTGAAACAAAGTAAAATTTTATGATTTCATCCTCGCAAACAAAAACGCCTTTTATTTTATTTTTAATAAAGATTCGGTAACTTGAAAAGTATATGTGACTCTCTTATGTTGAAAAAAGTGTAAATTAAATGGATATTTTTAACTATCAAGCACTTGATCTTACGCAATTGTTTATTTAATTCTTCCGTTATGAATACTCAAATAGGGCAGATGATAACGAGTGAAATTAATTATATTATCGAGTCTCATCTGCTAGTTTCTTAAGATGCTGTTGGGATTTATTAATAATATATGACGGAGATTTCTTTCGTTAGTATCTGATTGCGTTGTGTTTATCGTTTAAACACAAAACAACAAGCACGTCTTTATAATTTGTTTTAAAAAGAAAAAAAAAACGATTCAAAGTACAAATCAAGTTCTTAGATCTTTTGAGTAAATGCACAGATTATTATTACTTCGATTACTAAGAGGAGGCAAATTTATTATTTCTAAGAATTTTTTGCTTGAATCAATCTTTTGATGCAAAGTTCTCCAGCAGGCATAAAAAGTAAAGAAAAATTGAGACAAATTGATTTTCCGGTGTTCGTCTATGTATGTAAAGTTGAGTCATCGCCGAAATGTAGATATTTAGAGAGTTTCCATATTTAGGCGTTTTTTCGTAAATATTTTACATGTTCATGGTCATTCAGTTTTCTGAATGTTACCTACCATCGAGTAAGAAAAAAATTCATGACAGCCAACAATTGTGTGTCAAGAGAAAAAAAATATTAATTTAGTTGTCAGTCTCCGACGAAGGAAGGTTCTGAAAATTGAGTGGAAAATTTGCTGTGTGACTTTGATGAGACTTAAAATATCACGGAAATTAATGCATTTAACCATAAATGGTAACGACACAATTGATTAGTGATTTTTGCACATTCACACTCAGTGCTATTGGACCAAAACTGCACACGAATAACAAGAAGACGAAAGTTTATAAATAATTTGGCATCGAACCTGTAAATGTCACTTGATATGCTTTGATATTAAAGTTCTGCCTACTATTAATTAATAAAAGTCTTGATTCAAAGCTTTGATAAATATTTTGATATTTGTTTTAAATATTCAGCATCATGCCCGAAATTTTTTTATTTTCTTTTGTTCATTTATGATGTCGTTACAAATTACCCATCTTAATTTTAAACTCACTTACTCAGCGACACTTCACACATTCTTCTTACAGTTTTATTTCGGCATTCCTCTCCAACCATTGATCGAATAAATCTATTTTTAAAAAAAACTTATACTTGTGTGCGAATGGACTTAAATCAAGCAGTTTACTACATATTGTTTCTTCTTGGCTAGTTTTTGTTTTTATGTTAGTTATTTACACTGTGAATTGTGATAAATGCCAATCGATCACGAACACTTTACAGTATCGTTTAAAATATTTATCTCGAAATATCTACTTCAATGCGTAGAAGTAAGAAACTTAAAACTCTTAAATGCAAAGTTTAGAATCGACGAAATAGATCGACCTTAAAGATTTACACACTTTTGTTGAAGTAAGAAAAGTAAAGGAAAAGAAAAACAAATATTTAAGAGATAAGATAGCAGTAATCTTTAAGGAGATTAAAGAGCTCGGGTGATGTTTTAATTACGTACATAAGAAAGATAAAATTCTTCAGCAATTCTATTGAATTTAAGTTTCGTTCAGTTTGTGAGTAATAAGTGCGCATTTAAATAATCATTGATAATGCCAAACGATGGAAAGTGCATTTGATAACATAATAATCGGATTATTATTGTCTAAGTGCTCGATGTCACTTATTCTCATGTAATCTTATGAATTGATTGACACGCTTTTAACATTTTTAGATACTTTTTAACTGAGTCTCGTTTCGAAAAGGCATTGATGGAAACATTGGCAATTCAATAGAATGTTAGAATTTTCAATTTAAAAAATTGCTTGTCCTAATCGATTCAGTATCGATACAATGATAATCGATTGTCACGAGTTTATATCTGTCACCAATAAGAAAACACATTGTTGTGTAATCAAGCAGCTTCCTAATGTTACTACACTCTAAACATAGTTACCTCGATTGTTGGAATTTAGTTTTGATAGCAACAAACATAAATACATATCAACGAACTGTCGATTTCATTGTGAAGCATTGAAACGATGAAACCAGTCGGTTTAGTTCCGGTGTAATCAATTGACGATGAAAAATATGAAATGAAAGGAGAGACAATTCTAAACGCCGCTAATACTTACTGAATTACTTACAACGATTCAGAAGGAAAATATCTGAATAACTCATAAATAATCCGATTAACAACACTATCTGCCTAATTGTTCGAAAAAGAAAAGTTCATAAACGACATAAATTAGATTCTTAAATCTGATGACATCATTTGAATAAATCTAATGTCGTCTTGATGACGGATTTTTCTCTCCCCCCAAATGAACTCCAATGAACTGAAACGCGTTTTATTTGCTTTCATTCTAAACAGTTTGTAGCTAAAGTTCTGTTCGACTAGAAATGCTTTCAGGTTAAAGTCATAACGTTTCATATGTGGCATGTGGTGAGAAAAATTATTCGCTAACTCATTACAAAGCAAACTTATTGTTAAGCTTAATTTGTGGCTTGGGGGAAAATTAAGGCGGAAAAAATCAATAGTTGTTGATGGTCTAGAATAATACTTCATATAAAATAAATTCATTTGTTCAAATGTAAAATGAAATAAAGAATACAAATTCAAATAAGCATCCAAATAGTTTTGAAAACAATTCTACGATTTTCATTTGATATGCAATGCATACTTATAACTTATAAGCAATATTTCTCCTTCATTTGCATTCGTGTCACGACATGAATCATTCACATTCTCGCTAGAAGAACAAAGAAATATTTCAATTGAAATTGCTTGTGGTTTCCTAATTGTTAGTTGCAAATTATTAATTGAGCAAAACTTGAAGACTATACGCTACTGCTAAAGATATGGACAGTCGAGACGACAATTAACCGCATGAAATGATTTCGACAGCTTTATGAGTCAAATGAGAAGTGATGATTTAAAGTAAATAAATTAATAAATATGCGAAAAATAACTTGGGCTTAGTTATACAACAATTATTATACAAAGGGGATTGCTGGTGACGTTCTTTTGTTTACTATCTCCACGTGAAATTCATTATTTACATTAAAGTTTAATTGAAAAATCCACGTTTTTAAACAAACAATTAAAACTGCGGCATCATCTCGACTCGTCTCGTCTGCCTCCTCCGCCCAACATTTATGATTATGATGAACAATAGGAATGTTATGCAACCTTTTCTGTATTTTTTATTTGATAATTTAAGCAATAGCATCTTTTCTTAAGCAAGAGAAAGATTTACTTTTGCTTTTTGTTGTCTTTTGTCTCAACGCTATTTGATGATCCCATTTAATTCATTCAAAGTTTTGCTTCAACGAACGGGTCAATTAACTACTTTAAAATAAAAGTTACAATTAGTGAACAATTACTGAATAAATTGATGCCAATCAATTGTATCTGATTTCAATTATGCAACGATTAAATGAATTTACAATGCACGACGATGCACATTTCACCATCGATCGTCACAACACGAGACGATTTTCGAGTAATTTCTCGATCGCTAATTGGCTTGCAAAAAATCGATTGTTTTCACTTTCAAAGTCGAGAAAAGATTGTGCAATAATTGGATAGACTTTCTCACACTTGATTAGGACGTCATACCTATGAGGCAATGACTCGATGATATTTTACTCTCCTCCATGTCGCAAATAAGGTGTTTTTCTTGTTTTCACTTTCAGTCGAGTCGATTTATTGTGATTTTTATATTTTCACATTTATCTTAGTTAAAGTTATCTGAAAAGGAAATTCACCATCTTGACGGTGTCGCAAGTTGCGATGAAGCATTGCCATTGCTAATAAATAATAATTAAAAGTAGAATTATCATAAAAGTCGATGTCTGTTGTCTGGATTTGTGACTGATTTAATGTCTTCGCGCCTTCGTCTTTTTCTGTTTAGATTTACTGGAAATTGACTGTTAAGTCTTTTGGAATGTGAATTGAATAATAAACAAAACACCGAACAGTTGTAAAAACAAGTTTTTCTTCCCCAACATGTTGTTACACTGAAAATTCGATTGCGCGATCATTGCAATGCCCACATGAAAATTCATAAATTCTGAAATGTGCATAGCGGTTTTAATTGCTGAACTCAAATAAATTTTAATTAATAGTAATGAAAGTGATTCAACTACATACGGTACGGATTTTCTTCATAATTTTTTGGTTATTTCTTCTGGCATCGTAATTTTCCTACTTTTTATTGTTTGCGTTAGTTTCGTGAAAGAAAGCATGAAAATGTATCTGTTAACTGCTTAGGAATGAACAAGCAAAATATCATATGGTACGCCTGTGTTAATTTAGCTCATGTATAATTTTGCTAGAAAAGTTCATTGAGACCAACTTGATGAAAAAAAATTGTTTTAAACTGTAATAATTAAAACTGAAAGATGAAAAGGTCAACGGCAAGCAAACATATGCGCAATGCTTGTTTATAATGAAAATCAGCTGATGAACTCAATCAGGAAATCTTCAACAGTCAAAATTAAACTCACAGCTAATCGCAAAATATATCACGACCGCTTTTCCTGTTCAGTCTATTTAACCAATCACATAAAACGAAATAATTTTTATGAGGTTTTTCTTCCTTATCTAATTCTCTTCGATTTTTCTTTAACCACCATCTCAATCAACATGCACTGTGAATCAATTTGTTTCGCATATTTTAAAATCTTGCAGCTGAATAATTTGCATACCAATGCCATAAATCTTTTCTCACCATCAATGATTCGTCAGTTATGTACTTATTTAGACAAACTTAAATGAGAAAAGTGAAAAATATCTACTCATGACTTTGATTTACAAGAAACGGAAATAAAATTTTGTTTTCTATAATTTTGCACAATTGATTCAAAGAGAGAAGGAAAAAAAAACGAACGAAATAAAAAAGAAAATTAATTTTGTTTGACTTTCGAACTGATTCAAGTTTTCAAGTTAAAACGAATCGAACCATAAACAAGTCGACAGAAATTGAAATGTATCAAAATAGATATTTATTTGAAATACTTTCTATATGAATTTCGGGTAATCATTTCATTTTCTCGAAGTTATAACTATGACAATGACACATTTCGTTATGACTTTATGTAAAGTACGCACTCATTATTTCAAATAACATTGCAATTGGCTTTAATTTCCAATGTTTACAATCGCTTTTCCCGACTCTTTTTCAAGCTCTACTTCCTTCCTTATATTCTTTGAAGCTCAGTCATGAAACGACATAATAAAAGAAGTGGATTATTGTAACGTATAATTTGAAAGCTGATAGTTTAAAGGCCAATAAACAATTACAACCGACAATGACGTTTTAGCGCAACATGGCAATGTAAACATGCAAAACTTAAAAAAGAATTCACGTAAGGTGAAATTGCGTGTGTGTTGTATTAAACAATCTTTATGTGCTCAATTCACATTTATTGTTGTCGATTAATCAATTAGAAACATTTTTTTCATTCTTGTTTAATTTCTGATGACTTGACATACATTTATATTTAACGTAACATCGTTGAACCTATCGCTGATGATGAAAAACTTATGAGATGAATTTGTATGCTGCACAATGATGTAAATGACCCTGAATTGATAATTTAAAGATAGTTCAAGCCACTGTCTCGGAAATTTCAACTTCTCATAACTTTATAAGGCATAATCAAATTGAATATTAATGCTAATTGCACAACTTCGAGTAGAAGATATGACAAAGTAAATAAACGACCATGATTCCAATAAAATGTTGACTTTTCATTATCCCCCATGACTGGTCAACGATTTTCAATGTTAATGAGCTGTAAATGATTTGAGAAAAAAAAGCGGTGAATCAGAAAGTTTCTTTGCATCCATCAAACAGGTTTTACCTTTTAAGGCCGCAGACTTCAACTTGAAATGTTTTCTCCACCAAACAAAAAATATATTTGACACTACACGAGCCAAAATGAGATATCGATTTCGTCTCCGGATCATAATTAAGCTTGTCTCTTATGACAAGCAAAATAAAACTTTCTGAAAGTTTGCAAATGCTTTGAATTCGAAGAAAAAAAGTATTTATGAATTTTTTAATGCGCAACAAAAGATTTTCATTTGTGGAACGTTTTCTCAAAAGCAGAGGAAGTCGACATTTTATTTAAATTGTTCATAGCTTCAACACTTTATATTCTCATATACTGTCACAATATTTTTCATGGTCATCGCAGCAGTTTTTTTTTCTGATTTCTGGGAACAAATGTTTCATCTCATATCGCTTTCCTGTTCATTGCATCAATCACTTTTTCAATTCATGTTGTACCTTTTCCGATGATTGATTGGAACTGTGCTCAACGAACATATCAAACGAAATAAAAACCTTAAACTTTCCCATCGAATAAAATAAAGTAACCGTTTAGAAAAACTACTGCTTGGTGCAAAATATAGAAATAAAAAAACCATCAAAATTGGCAGCGAAGAAAGAAGAGAAATCGAAAGTTTGAAGCTGTTCGGAATGCCCAACGTAGGCAAGGCTTTTATTATGCTTTTTTTTGCGTCAATCTTACAAAGAAATCTCCGCAAAATGTTTTTACCGCTGAGATGTAAGTTCCAGACATTATCACATTGGTAATATGAAGTGAAGTGAAAGATCGTTGACTCACCGCAGGCTAGTGTAATGTTTACCTTAAGTAGCTTTATGTCTTGGAGAAAACGCTTTTTTATGTGATTTCTTTTTAAATCCAATTTGTTTACGAACACTCCAAAATTCGAATGAATTAATTGCTGAGTGAATAGCTGAATTGTGAAGTTCATAACTGTTGATATTTTTCTTGGAATATATCGTGATTTCAACTATGAAATCATCATTGTTTATTATTGACCGACACATTAATTCAACGTTGCTTAATTATTATTAAAAAGTTGAAAAATGATACGCTCAACGACTCACGCAAGTTGGTAATCTTAGAGGTTTTGTCACCACAAATGGAATTATTATTTTAAATAGTCAATTCTTTGCCTGCATTTGTTCCATTTATGGAGCGTGTTTTTCGTGTAGCAAATCGATAAGTTTTTCGATACGTCACATTTGATAAGATTAGCAAGGAATAAAAGTAGCCTCGAAATTCAGTAAACTTATCATTAACAAAAGCTCAACTAAGCATTTAACACGTAAATATCATTGAAACCAAGTTAATTAGTGTAGTTTTTTTATTTGCTGATCAAAACCACCAAACTATGAAATTGAACTCTTCCGGTTGGAAGTTCACATAATTTTAATTTTTTACCGTTCAATAATCATCTGTTATTAACAGTCAAAACAATCTGTGTGACTTGTCCAAAGTCTATTTAAATAAACAAAAAGCATTAAAAGTGAAACATCTCGGAAAAGGTCGTAAAAAAGTTCAAAAATTAACACAAAATAGAGATCGGAAAGTTTCCCGTTAAGTTCTCAGTTATTTTCTACGCTCTGCAAAATAATTTTTCATGACGCAAGCCAATTGGTCATTAAACAAACATCATGCTAGAGAAAATGCGTCAAAATATTTGGGTTACGAGACACTCAAGAAATAGATTTTGTTCGGAATCGAAATATTCAAAATTAATGCACGAACGTGATGCGATGAATGAAAGAAACTCGACATATTTTAATAGAAATCTTTTTTTGGGTGATGCACTTGTGAAAATGAGACGCTTGAATAACAATTAAATTGTCTTAATGCTTGGTGGCTGTTAAAGCTGCCAAATAAAATCAATGATGAATTGCTAGCTCATAAATCTCATCGGTTAACTTTCATTAATAATTTTTTTTTTGTATCTTCTTGAAACTCTGTTTTGTGCTATTTTTAAGACATTAGATGAATATGAAAAAAATTTCTATTTTATTGGCATGCGAATTTGATGGATACATCAGTGCTTATTTGTGGTCGCACGTCAAAAGTCTTATTAGCATTCGCTTTTAAATTTTATGACTACTGCCAGTGAGTTTTTGTTTTTCAATTTTCAACTTTTCTCTCACTTCCTCTGATTTTTTTTCTTTTCATTTTTCGTCGATTGCCGGTTTATCTTTTTACCGCAAGGCCGTGAAAATTCGCGAAAATTTCTTTTCGATTTCCTCTCCACGGTAGTGAATCTTTGAAAGCGCGATAAAAGCCACTTGAAGTGCACTCATAATGAACAACAAAAATAAGAACGTAATGACAAAAACAGTCAAGCTTTGGTTGAGCTGTTTGAGTCATAAATTGATGTTGATTCATTGCTTTGATTAAATCGTTCAAAAATTATCTTTAATTGCGCGATGTTCTGAATCGAGGTTTTTATCTTTGAAAATAAAACTCTTTGTTTCGCACACTTTATTACGATTCTTTTGAATAGAACTGTTTCTGACAATTTCTTTTTATTACATTTCCAGATCATGAGTCGCCAAAATTTCCATTACACTACAACTCAAATGACAAGTGATCAAGCCTCAGCAGCGATGATAGAACATGACGCGGCGGCATTGGCTGCTGAGATGTTTGATCACTTCTGTTCAGCAATGACAATGCGACAGATCTTAGGATTATACCGAAACATGTGTGATACGATTGGGCTTCGTCCAGGCCCATTGAATGAATTTTACCCCAAGCTCAAAGCAAAAATCAAAAACTGGAAAGCACAGGCATTGTGGAAGAAGTTTGACGCACGTTTGATGCATCGTGTATATAATAAAGGATCGGCATGTACAGGGACGAGAGTTCTCATAATTGGAGGTGGGCCTTGTGGCTTGAGACCAGCCATTGAAGCGCAACTTCTTGGGGCAAAGGTTGTCGTTGTTGAAAAGCGTGATCGCATCTCAAGGAACAATGTTTTACATTTATGGCCTTTTCTAATACACGATCTTCGATCACTCGGCGCAAAAAAGTTCTACGGAAAGTTTTGTGCTGGGTCTATTGATCATATCTCAATTCGACAATTACAATGCATTCTCATGAAAGTTGCACTTCTGCTCGGTGTTGAAATTCATGAAGGTGTTGGCTTTGAACGTCTCATTGAACCAACTGATGGTTGTGGATGGCGAGCATTAGTAGAACCACGAAATCATGCAGTTTCACACTTTGAATTTGATGCGCTGATTGGTGCCGATGGGAAACGCAATACCTTAGAAGGCTTCAAACGAAAAGAGTTTCGTGGAAAGTTAGCCATTGCCATTACCGCTAATTTCATTAACAAACGAACCGAGGAAGAAGCAAGAGTTCAGGAAATAAGCGGCGTTGCTTTCATCTTCAATCAGTCGTTCTTCAAAGAATTATATCATCAAACGGGTATTGATCTGGAAAATATTGTTTACTACAAAGACGAGACTCATTACTTTGTGATGACAGCTAAAAAGCATAGCTTGTTAGACAAGGGCGTAATCATACAAGACTTCAGTGATCCCGCTGAGTTACTTCATCCAAATAATGTTAACACGTTAAAATTACAAGATTATGCAAGAGAAGCTGCTAACTTCTCCACCAAGTACCAGATGCCCAATATAGAGTTTGCTGTGAATCATTATGGAAAGCCAGATGTGGCGATGTTTGATTTTACGAGCATGTTTGCTGCTGAAAATTCGTCGAGAGTTATTGTAAGGAAAAATTATCGTCTTTTATCATGCTTGGTTGGTGATAGCTTGCTTGAACCTTTTTGGCCAAGTGGAAGTGGCTGTGCTCGCGGATTTCTCTCAGGAATGGACGCTGCTTATGCCATAAAACTATTTTCAAATTCAAACAACAGTTGCTTAGCTGTGCTTGCTCAACGTGAAAGTATTTATCGACTTCTTGCGCAGACAACACCTGAGAATCTTCATCGTGATCATGGTGGATATACACTCGATCCAGTGACAAGATATCCGAACCTTAATCGACAATCGGTAATTCCCCATCAGGTAAGGAAAAAAATTAATAACTTTACAAGAAAAAAAGATAATCATTCATCAATATGTCATATTCGGCGATAGGTCAAACATCTTCTCGACACTGATGATCAAAGTTTGTTGGAACAAACCTTCATGGATACAAATGCTATTCAAACGTTACCAGAAATTCCACACAAAACACGTAAACGACGCACTGCTGATGCAACACCGATGGCAAATGTTCTCCTTGGATGGATTAAAAGTCATCTTAAAGATCAGGATTTTGTTGCCAACATTACAGAACCATCGCAATGTTTCACACATGGAAAGGTTCTTTGTGCGCTTATTCACAGGTAAAAGATTGAAAAACATTTTTTATCTTAAAAATGATTAAATTAACTTGTTTTTTGTCTACAGATATCGACCTGACTTGGTCGATTGGGCGTCAGTTAAAGAATATTCTGCCGAAGAATCAAATGAACTTGCTTTTAGGATTCTTGAAAAAGAATTTAATATACCACGAATCATGTCGTCAGAAGAGTCGATGACTTTGGAAAATACTGATATCAAAAGCTGGTTACATTATCTTGAAGTGATTTGTGAGGTATTTCGTGGGGAAATTCCTCATGTTAAACACCCAAAATTGGATTATGCTGAATTTAAACAGAAGAGTCAAAATGCCAATACAATGGCCGAATTCGCAAGACTTCATCGCGCTGCAGCAGCTAAACGAGAAGTATTAAAAGATGAGAATGGCGCTAGTCATGTGACTTCAAGTGGACGAAAGTCACATCAGAAACTGGCAGTAGCTGAGAAAGTTACGAGTAAGTTATTTTGATTTATATTTAAATATTTGTCATCAACAACAACAAAAGATAAATAAATGAATAAACACATTCGTCTTGCTCTTTCTTTCTGTCTTTGTAGCATCGCCATCGCCTCAAAACAATGAACACCGTCGAGGGCGCAAGAGACGAAGCTACGAGAAATATGGAAACATTGTAAGTTTCTGCAATAATATTAATCAAGAATATTTCCTTACACTTTTGTTCTTAATTAAATTTGTAATTGAAATTTTTACTGTTCATGAAAATCTCTGAAGCGTCGCAAATCCTAATTTGGAACTATTATGAAGAAATTTTTTTGTTGTTTCAGGATGTGATAGAAAAACTTCAATATTTTTGTTTTGAATGGCTGCTGATGTCGATAAACATTGTGATACTTATTTTCATCATTGGATATTTGATTTTATAACTTATTTTTTATTACATTTATGTTTTTAAGATCACATCATGAGCATTTTGTTTTTGTTAATGGTAATCCAATTTTTATTTGGATTATTTGCAACTTTGAAAACTTGCTCGGATCAAGTCAATGACACGTTTTTTTTTAATTATGTTAAGATAAATTACAATGGCATCCATACCAAAGTTTTGCATGTTAAATTCGAATAAAGAAAATTTATTAACCTATTTTATTATAAAAGTATATCTAACTAATGTTCATTAAACAACAAACTACTCTATTCACTTCTTTTTTATTTCCATAACTTTCGATTCCATAAATTCTCTTTCTTTTTTTTCTTCTTCACCTTCTTCTTCGTTGCTATCAGGAAGAAAGAATGGCTCGACTTGCTGACATCGATGCAAATCGCATTGACCGTCAAAATCGACGACGACAACACAGAAAAATGCAAACAGAAAATTTCCTCAAAAGTCTTCACATGCTACAGGCAAATAATTATTTACGTGAAAGTGAAGACAGTTCGGTGGCATTTGAAGATTATTCAATTTATATGTATCGACAAAATGCACCGGAATTTACAGATCGTGTTAAGGAATTGGAACAAAAGCTACTTTACCCTGTAAGGATTTCTGTCGAGTGTCGTTGTTTTGTGCTCTAACTAATAATCGTTCGTTTTATTTTATATTTTTCTCCTCCACTCTCATTGTTATCTCTCATGCAACTAACAGTTTTAATTATTCGCTTCATATAAAGACCATAAATATTTCAAGAAACTTCACAATTCCCACTCTAATCTTTCAACTTTGAACTGTTATTCGCTGTCAACAGTTATTAAGTAATTAAACATCCAATTAACTACGTTGTGCTCTAATTATTTTATGATATATTGCGTGTCTCTTTTGCGTAACCAAAAAAGCTGTTTTTCGATGCTTTAATGAGAAGCTTCAATTTGTTGACCCTTCGTTATTTAATCAATTAACATGAAGCTTACATCTGTGGAACTTTTATAATTGAAATAATAATTGTTGTTAAATTTGAAGCTTACACATTTTAAATGAAACATTTTGTTAACGAATTTTTATTTCTTTCAATAGGATCGTGAGCGTGGAATTCCATCAGCATTACCACGAACAGGTGGAGCAATTGACGATCAGTTCAGTGATCGTATTCGTAATATTGAAGAAAAATTCACAACGAAAAATGCTGCCGCTCTTAACAAGAAGCCTAAAGATCTTCTACGTGCAATAGGAAAAATCGAAAGCAACGATTGGAACGTAAAAGAAATTGAAAAGAAAATGGAAATGTCAAAGAAAATCACTGACATAGGAAAAAGTCGTGAGAAAGTGCCAAAGTGGAGTCGTGAACAATTTGTTGCACGCCAAAACAAAATGTCAAAGCCTGAACGTCAAGATTCGTCTGAAGAGAAATATAAAGAAATTGACAACACACTTAAAGCCCTTGATAAGCAATTGAAGGAAGGATCTGTTCTCGATCGTGGTGAAAGAGGAAAGAATAAAGTTGCTTCGTTAGCCGGAACTTTTGGAAAGAAGAAAGACGAAGAAAATGCGCAAACTGCACAGAAAGCTGGTATTATCTTGTCATCACAAGGTATTTCAGAAGCTTGTCACTTCTGTAAACAACGAGTTTATTTAATGGAGAAAATATCAGCGGAAGGTTTGACACTTCATCGATCATGTTTGAAGTGTCATCATTGTCATACAAGTTTAAGATTAGGTGGTTATGCATTCGACCGTGATAGCCCCGATGGAAAGTTCTACTGCACCCAACATTTTAAATTACCACCAAAAGATGCAAAGTTCGTTCCAAAGCGACTTCTTCACAAACAAAGACAACAAGACTATGCTGCTTTCAAAGCACAGAAGCAACAAGAAGCAGCTCGAAAAGGTGGTGATGAAGATATGATGGACAATCGTGGCAAAACACCGGAAAGAATTGAATTTGAAAATGCTGACGGAATTTCTGATGGCGAACCACCAGAAGATCAAATTATGGATGAAAATGAGTGGACTGATGTAAATTTTAGAACGGGATCGGAAGACGAAGATGATGATTCAAGTTCAGATGAATCAGAAAGTGATTCTGATATGTTCGAAGATCCAGTTGGAGTTGACGCTCAAACACTTCAACTTGCATCTGAATGGATTGATAAGCGATCAACATTACAAGATAGTGAAGATGAATTTTATGGATATTCAAGTGAAGACGATGATGCAGACTCACAAACTGAAGGAGAAGAATTGGCAAAAGCACGTGAAATGAGAATGAATGAAGTTAAATTGCAACCACCGCTTTACGTTCTCACTGACACTGAAACTGAGGTGAGTTTATTTTTAATTATTTTCCTCATTAATCTTTCTCAATTTAAATTCATGTCAAAAACGAAACGCTTTGAATGAAAATTCGAAATATATTTTTTTCTTCTCCACGATTTTTCTTACATTTGAATTCTTTTTATTTTATTTATTTTCTTTTTCTCTCACGCCATGCAGGGTGTCAAAAAAGAAACGACACATAATAAAAAAGAATTTGATAATGTAATGTCCAATAATAGTTTAGTTTGTAATAGTTCCCTTAGTTTGCAATCCTTTGACCAACCCAATCCAAAAGATGAGCTTTTACGATCTGATATGATGAAAAAATTAAGTTTAAAAGAAAAATGGTTGAATGAACAAGCAGCTGCTGCTTCTGCTAAAGTTTCAAATTCCCCTATTGTTGATAATGAAATGTCAATGGAAGTTGATCAAACATCGATGAAAGAAGAAAAGAAATCTTTCTTCGATGGAATAATCAGTAGTGTTAAGCAGTTGATTAAACATGAGAAGCCTGAGAAGAATAAATCCATGTCACAGTCAAATATGGAATCAGAGGTCAATATCGACAAACTTATGTCGGATGAGAAAGTTGATGTAGATAATTTCGATGAATTAGTAGTTGAGTCAGACCAGCCGGTTAAAGGATGTGTTAGCAAACGTATCGAAGCTTTTTTGCAAAAACAAAAAAGTGAAGAAGTACGTGAAGAAGCTGATGAAATATTGTACGATATTAAGGAAGGAAATGAACGGATGGCGAAACAAATACGTGATATGGAACAGAAAAGATTTTCTGATAACATGAAAGCAATCAAATCGAGTGTTGTTGATTCAAAAGTTGCGTCGATAAAGGAAGTAAATCTCTCGAAATATTTCCCAACACAACTGGAAAAGAAACCGCCAGCAGTTGCAAAGAATCGCGATGTAAAATCTTTGAAAGATGTCAACCTTTCAAAGTATTTTCCTTCTGCGAGTCCGACATCTGGTAGAAGGCCTTCGGGATCGCCTTCAGGACATTCAGCAACTTCAAGCACAGCAGCGTCACCTTTGATGCCGAGGAAAAATGTCAATGAAATTGATTTAGCGAATTACTTTCCCGGCTCACCAGCAGCCAGTCGAAAAACTTCAACTTCAACTCCACCGACGTCTCCATTGACAGAAATTGCACCGACTTTTGAAAGAAGGTTTTCGGTTTCATCGATTCCCCCTCCACCCCCACCTCCAGTTCCCAAGAAAAACATTTTATCACTACAAACAGTCAAGAAACGACAACAAACCCCACCGAGTAATGAAAATGTTTGCAATAATTTGCAAAGAAAAGTTGAAGAAACTTTGCCAGTTACAAAGTCGCAACAAACAACGAAAAAAGAAGACTTTAACATGTTCGATCAGTTGCTCGATGGTGCAATTGATTTGAAAGAAATTGAGGAAGTCATGGAAATAGATTTGGATAATTTTGATTCATTGATTAAAGAAGTGAAGTTGGAAGTGTCGCCAAGCAAAGAATATGAAGAGATTTTTGAAGAGAAGAAGAAATTAATAACAAAAGAAAAGTCTCGGGAAAATGTCGAAGATTCAAAGATTGAACTTTCAACTCCACAACCAGTAAAAGTTTCAACAAAGAAAAAATCAAAAAAGAAAACCGTGAAAAAGATGGAAATTTTTGAAAAGCTTTCAATTGATCCAAACATCTTTCAAACACTCACAAATGAATATCAACGATTGTTACTTGAACTCGAAAGGTCTTCAAAATCCCCTGAGAGTGAAGAATCAACTTTATCTCCTGAATCTAATGTTGACGAACAGAAGGAGAAATTGTCACCAGTTTTGTCTCGATTAGACAGTAAAAGAAAATCTCCGCAACGAACTGAAGATTGTAAGAAGTTTAAAGAAGAAATTAATGAACCAAAACAAGAATCAATTTCAATTTCGACAGTATCGGAAGCTGATGAAAGTTCAGTCATTGCACGTTTAGAACGTAAATATCGTCGTGGTTCTACAAAATCATTTGAAGAAAATGTTGAAAGCGAACAGCCTGAAAAAGTCGTCGATTCTGAACAATCTGTGAACGTCATTGAAAGACTTGAGAAGAAATTAATGGAGAAGCGAAAGATGAGTCTTCAAGACTCAATTCAAGCAATTGAAGATCAACCCACATACAATTACGTACCCAAAATAAATTTCGACAATAACCATGAAAATAAAATCATCGCTGAATGTAAACTTGAGACGAAACCGCCCATACCCTTAAAGAAACCGGAAGTCAATTGTTTTGAAACACTTTTATCACTTCCTAAAGAAAATATCGATGATATTTTTTCAGAGTTTGAAATGACTGAGAAAGAAACAGAAAAAGCTTTGAAGGAATTCCAGAAAAACTTTGAAATGTTGACACAAGAAGACAAATTGACAGAGGTTCCTTTAGACAACATGAAGACAATTCATGACATTGACCTTGAACCTTTACAACAAATTGAACATGATGTTTCGCTCAAAAGTGATAGTAGCTTTGACCAAAATCAGAATCCGAGTCAATTGACGGATAAATTAGAAACGAAGAACACGAATAAAAATCTTCACCTCGATTTGGCTGAAATTGATTTCGCCATCAGTGAACGCCCATTGAATCTTGTTAATCTCTTCCCACATCAAATTTCTGTTGATGATGAAAAAGTTTGCGTACTCAAATCATCACAGTCGTTGAACTCAAATAATGATGACAAAGTAGTTTCGAGTTCTAAAAACATGTCAAAAGAAACGAACGAAAACTTTTCTGAAGTGAAGAAATGTGAAAAGAAATCTTCAGTTCCCGAAAGTTATTTGAATGTTTTGAAGGAAATTTCTTCCGGTCTTATTGGATTTGAAGATGAACCTTTATCATTCATTGATTGTCAAATTAAAGTTGAACCTGAAAAAGCAAAATTATCGACAGTCACAGAGACAAAGAAGGAAAATGCTAAAGAAAATTACATAAAAGTTTTGCAAGATATCTCGTCAAATTTCGCAGAACTGAACCTTAAAGATGACGATTCAAAGAAAGAGATTAAATATTCTCAAATAATTCCACCATCTGTTCAAGATCCAACATCAACTTTATCTCATGATTTGTCGGAATTTACAAACGCTGATGATAATAAAATGACACAACCTGATTTTTCTGATGTTGAAGACAACAAAACTCCAATTCCTCCAGTTCGAAAGCACAAAAGTGTTGAAAGCAGTGAAACATCTCCTGAACCTGTTCAGATGAGATCAAAGAAAATTCTACCAACAAGTAAATCTTTTGATAATGACACTTTAAGTGGTCGAACATCTAAGAATTCAACAGAATATTACGATCATTATTATCCAAGAAGTAATTCTGGAAATCTGTTAGATAAAAACGAAACAGAAACGAGAAGGAATTCAGCAGAAAGAATCAGAAACCGTCAACGCGCAATTGATGACTTGATTGTAAAGTCAGCAAACTCTCGTGGTTATGACTTTGAAGATCGTTCATTGATGAGAAGACCAACAGATTTCCGTCGTGAAGCTTCAGAACCGTCTGATTCAAGAATGTTACTTGAACGAAGTCATTTGTTGCATCGGAGAAAAGAAAGCTTTATGAGAGATCAAATGAATGAGTCGACCAATCCTTACATTCGTGAGATGATGAAGCAAAATTTTTACAATCCCATTGACATTTCAGATATTCAATATATTCGGAAGCATCCGACAGTTCCGTTAGTGTCAACCTCACACATGTCATCATATCGACCATCGACTTATGTTCCCAAAGTTCCACCGCGAACTTATGGAAGATCTCAAGTTCTCAGCTATTCAAGACCTTCAACTTATAATTCAACATCAATTGGTTACACGCCACCGAGCAGTAGCACAGCTGCACATATCCTTACCAAGTCTCATACCTTATCACCTAATTCGGGTCATGGAATTAGTTCATATCCATCACGACAAAGACCTCTAACTTCGTTATCCGATCAACAATCGTCAAATCGATTTATGAAACAATCACGCCAAAGTAATTATTCAGATAATCGAAGCGCACGTTCAAATCGCGATGCCTGCATCATTTCCTAAAGCTTACAAACATCCTTCCCCTCTTTATATAAACTAAATTATTAAACAAGTTTTGAAAACACTTCGACATCATTGACTTCAAACAACGACCAACTCTGAATCGCATCAATCTTTCTTCGTCTTCTTTTCCATTTGAAAGCTTCTGTTATCCCCCCAAATAAAAGAAATAAACGAAAACTTTATGAAACTCTTGCTAATGGGTACGATTTCGTGAAAAGGTAATATTGACTGATGGCAAAATCGTGTTTTGTTGCTGTTGTTGTGTTGACACCACGAGAACGCTACTTTTATTTGTTTGGCGTTAACTAAGAATAACATTTGAACTATGTTTGTGTGGAAACTGTTTCAATCCTTCTTGTTATCATGAAGTCGGTTGAATTTATAATCAAAATTCGCATTAACATCCTTTTTTCGGATCGTACCCGGGAAAAGATTTACAAACAAACCTCTGACACATTACCAAGCTTTAATCAATCGTTTAAAAAGTTTATTGCGATATTTTAACATTTTTATATTTTGGCTTTTCAATTCTTTTATTAGTTAGAGTAATGAATTAAGAATCTGACAAAATATCTCAGAATTTCTGACTCATTACTCTGACTTGAATAAAATTTTATTTTATTAAGAATTTGTTTCATTGTTTTGTTGTTTTGCTTAAAAATTTCTCAGTGAATAATAACAAACTGGAAAGTTTTTTGATTGTCAACTGATTATTGTAGTAGATGAATATAAAAACAATTTAACGATCATTGTAACCAATTGAAGAAATATTTCTGGTTGGCAGAAACTCAAACTTTGTTGTCAAGCAAGTTTTTCTTTATCTTAATTGCAATCCTTTGAAAGATTTGCAAAAAAATAATCAGTGAACAATTCAAAAACAAATTTTGCATAATTTTTAATTTAAATTCAGAAATTTTCATTTCAAACTTTTTTTTTTCTTTTTCGAAATTTTAGGCACAAACAGATTCCGATTCATCCGATGAAGCATTAAATTCAGCAACTGAAATTTCAACAGACTCTGAATTTGATCAGGATCCGATAAATCACGATCCACCAAAAATATTTATTGACGATTCTCATTTACGAAAACATCCAACTCGTGTTCAAGTGAAGTCACATCAAGTTGAAAATGGAAAACACGCATTTCCACAAAAACAACAACAAGATATTCATTTGAAGTTCAAACCTTTAGTCGAAGTTGATCCATCGATTGTGAAACGTGAACCGTTGAAGAATCCTTTAGTTGGAAATTATTTGCTAAGTAAAACAGCAAGCACTGAAGGAATTGCCTCAAAGAAGAGTCTCGAGTTGAAGAAACGATACCTTTTGGGAGAAGCTGCCAACACGAACTCAGTTCTCAAGTCTGATTCAGCTTCTGCACTTGACACCAAATTGAAAAGCTTCCATTCAAACATCTCTGAATGTCAAAAGTTACTCAATCCAGCTGCCGAAATTTCACCGTCGATGCAAACTTTCTTACAAAGAATCGATCGTAATAATGAACTCAATAAAAGTCAGCATTCAATTTCAATCAGTAAACTGACGAAAGATAAATTCAACAACAATCAAGAAGAGAAGGAAAATCGTTCTATCGATTCCAATAAGAAAGTCGAGTATTCTGAGACCGTCAACACGACGTTAATTGAAAATAAAATCCGTGAAATGTCACCAGACGTGCCAATTGTACCAGAAATCATTGAAACTATCGATTTGACGACCCCAGAGAAACATCAGCCAATAATTGATTTAGAAAGCATTGAAATTCCCAAAAGTACGATCGATGAAAATAAACAATTTATTGAGAACATGGAAAAGTCAACATCAGAAGATGCGAACTTGAAAATAAAGTGTAAACTTGACAGCATGTTTATCGATTTAACTGTCGACTCTCCACCGAAAGAACGAAGTCAGAAAGCTGATGAACCCAATAACAACACCACAACGCCAATTCCTGACATCATCAGTAGCTTAACAACGAAATCAACAAAAGATGATGAAGCTGTTGAAAGACCAAGAAGTCCTGCACATGAGACAACCATTGCAGTTCCACAAATGTGGTCGAAAGCAAAAGAAATTGATACTGACAGTTTATCAATTGAAGAATCGTCAACTTCGAGTCTCGAAGATATTCCGCATTTCATTCTCGATTCAACAACAAGTCCGGAAACTCAGAATGAAATTTTAGGCTTCCAAGGAAATCAACCGCCAAGATTAGAAGTTAGAGATACTTCTGGTGAATTAATGCAAATTGATAGCTTGATGATCATTGATGGTCAATATATTGGAGATCCTGAAGATTTGCCATTGTTTCGAACCAGGAAAGAATCCGAACCTGAACTTGAAAAGATTGAAACTTCAATTGAGAATGAACCATCGCAATCGTCAAACGTAAAACCAACATTAAAGTTTGATACGAAAAATGAAAACAAATTGGAGAGTTTAAAGAATTTACCGCTGATCGTGTCACATGATGAAGAAGAAGTTAAAGAAGATGGGAAGAAATCATTAAGTTTGCGTTTTGTTGAAAAGAAATCTCCAATTTCGTCTGATAATGACAAGACACCATTAGCATGTGCTCCACCATCACATCATTCAGATTCGGAAACAGAAAATACGGGATTAGGACTTACAGAAACTGAGCTGTCAGATTGGACAGCTGATGATGCTCTCTCAGAGAATTTCGTTGATGTTGAATTTGCTTTGAATTCGGGAAAGGGAACAATAAAAAAGAATAAGAAATCAATAGTGAGGAAATCTAGTTCAACTGCTACACCAACGAAATCATCGCCACCAAAAAAATCAAATCCAGAAGTAGAATGTGGAATTTTAAAGAATTTGGCAATTGAAGAAATTGATTTTATGGATACGGGATCGGAAGAGAGTTGCGTTGAAACGTTGTCAGCAACAAATCGTGCGATGCTTAAGAATCGTGGATATGTGAAGTTCATTGATCATCAACATCATCTCAATAGAAATGTTCAATACAATGCTTATGAACAACAACATAATGTGAAAGAGAAATCACCACCGGTTGTTGAAGCAATCAACATGGAGATCATAAATATTGATTTTATCGAGCAGGGTGCATGCATTTTAAACAACGACAAGACTCCGATGAATGAAGATCCTTTGGACAGTTTAAATGGTTCATATGATGACATTGATGATGACAGTTTAGTGACGAATGAAGATAAAAATCAAGTTGAAAGTTTACCAACAACTTTAACGACGACAACTGAAACTGAAGAACTGACAATTGTTACAAGTCCCGAATCATTAGTGAAACAACATGAAGAAGCAACTACACCAATAAATACAACAAGTACTCTCGTGACAAGTGATTCAACTGTATCAGAAAAAGATCAAGAACCGATAAGATTTGAAAGATTGAGTGAAAGAACTTCGAGTTCTGGTCGTGTAAGTCGCGAGCATATTGAAGAAATGGGTGGCTATGAGGAGTACGTTAAAAGTCTTCAAATGAAAATCGCACAAATCAGTAGTGGTCGTGAGTCGCTTGAGAAGAAACCACGAAGGAAATTATCAAAAAGTGATCTCCTTTCTGATGATAATAAATTTTCTGATGTAAACAAACCTACAACGTACACAACGCCATCTGTTGTCCAGGTTGAGTCATCACCAAGTTTGAAGACAAAACTTGAAGAATTTGCGAAAGAACGAACGAAGCAAAAAGACATCATTCATGATTTGGTGATGGATAAACTTCAAGCCAAGAAGCAGATGAATGCTGAGAAGCGAATGAATCGAAGTCGAAATCGAAATTTATTTATGGAATCAATTAAAGCTCCTAACACACCACCGCCAACACCGCAAACGAAAAATGTGATAACTTATCGAGAATCAGTCAATAATCTGAAGGAATTTGATGAAAAAAGACCAAATGGAGATCATAACGCTACTAATGGTGAAAGTAGTCGACCGCAAGTAATGAAAACTCAGTCATTCTGTTACCACACAAAACAGATCCCAATTAACGATGAAGTATTTGAATTCAAAACTCCTGTACCACCACCAAGAAGTCGCATTCAAAGTGCAAGTGAGTTAACAAATACCGCTGATAAAATGCGAGAAGACGCACGAGCCCGTGCAAGACTCAAATCAAATGAAGATCTTGGATTGAGCCCTGAAGAGAAAATTTTAATGCTTCGACGTCGTTACAATTTGATGCCGAATGTTGACAATCAAGCAAAGTCATTACTTTTTAGTAATGGTCGTAACCAATCCGATGATATGAAATATCGTGAAAAGAAACTTTCATTGTCAAAAAGTTTTAATGACATTAGTAAAATGAATCGAAGATCTAAAGAATTTAGTGACACACTTGATGGATTTAGGAAACGTTCTTGTGATTTTCTATCGGATCCTAATCTAAATGAGATTAATGAAGTTGATAACCAGCGAGGTTCTGTCACTAAAAATGATAAAACTCCACTGAAAACACCAACAAAATCTCATCGTCGTGACAGTGAACGACGAAAAAGTTTGATTCAAACAGTTTCAGAATTCTTCTATAAGAAGAAAGATCAAAGTGCCAGTAACAAAGATCTCACAGCAACGTCTCCACCATCAGCAAGCAAAGATCGTTTATCGGACACAACATCAACATCAGGCATGTTCAGCCGTTTCCGTTTATCACCCAAGTCGAAAGATTCTTCCAAAGACAAAGCGAAGGTGAGCTTTGATTAATTTTATTTTAATCCTTGACATTTATAAAAAAATAAATGAAATAAAATCTGGTGGCACATTTTCTAACTTTTTAATTTTCACAATTGGGTAACACGCATTTTTTCTTTCTTAATCTTTCTTTTAAAAAAATAGTCATGCTTTGACTTAAGGAAAATTGGAATAAACGTAAGCGCAATTACATTTAGCATAATTTCTTTTGTGTTCAGTTTTGTTCTTTTGTAACTTTTTATGTATTGACTGATTTTTTATACTTAAAATAAATTTTTTATTTTAAAATTTCTTTAACGCTTCATTCATTGGCTTTTCATACATTTACTTTCATAGCTTAAGACATTTTAATATTTTTTGGTGATGATATTTTGAATTTGAATGGGATGGATGACTCTCATTCTTAACATTTAGGAATTTCATAATTTAATTTATAAATGAAATTTTTATTTAACAATTTAGCAATTTTTGAATGAAAAACATTTTCTTTTAGGCTTTCTTTGTCGCTGTTGTAAATGAATGATGCAAATTTATTTTTCTTCTTCACTCATCGCTTGTGTTGTTTTTTTTCTTTTACCTTCTTTGAGTGTACAAATTATAATTTAGGCAACATAGGCTGTAAATAAGCTTCATCATTGTTTAAATGCTTAAACTTTAAGTAGCCAATTATTCTACTTAGATGAATTAAAATTTTTAAGCATGGTGTTTGATGGTTTGATTTGTTACTTTCATCGCATATTTTTTCTGAGTGGTTTGTTTAAATTTTTAATCGTTCAATCATCGCCATCATTTGATGATTTTCTTTTATTAACTATAAATTTGAAATCAAAGGAAAAAGAAGCGACACCACCTTATGGGAATGAACGATGTAAATCTGTTGCTTGTTTAAATAATAAACAAAGACCAACTTCGATTGTTGAAGTTGAACAACCACCACCAATCCCACCATTGCCTTTGAACTATCAACGATCAGATGGTAAGTTTAATTTTTCTTAAACATGTAAACATTTTGAAAATTCAATTTATTGTTAAAAATAACAGACGAAGGCAGTTATCCAAACAACGATTCGAGAAATGAATTAAAAAAATTACGAGCATTGTCGAAAGCATCTAAACAAGCGGAATTGAAACGGTACTGAAGTTTTTATTACTTTCTCAACTATTTCTAAAACTTTCTTCTATCTCATACTGTAGCCTGAGAATTGCACAAGAAATAAAACGCGAACAAGACGAAATTGATTTAAAAATCAAAGATTTGGAAACACGTGGTGTTGAGCTTGAGAAATTGCTTCGTGGTGAAGGTCAAAATATGGAACAATTAAATGAAACGAGTTTGTCTCGTATTGGAAATTCTGATGAAGATTTGCTTAAGGAATTGTTGGATATTTGGCGTAACATTACTCAACTTAAGAAGAGAGATGAAGAGTTGAATATAAGACAACAGGAATTGCAGCTTGAACACCGACATGCTCAACTGAAGGAAGAATTGTCAGTTCGACTTTCATGTAGCAGTAAGCAAAACTAAAAAAATTATATTTAAGAAAATGTTTGTAAATATATTTCCAATTAGAACTTGATAAATCGGCACAAGATGTTGCAGCGGAAGGTGCAATCTTAAGTGAAATGTTGGAGATTGTAGCAAAACGTGCTGCATTACGTCCATCAGAAGCATCGACATCTCTCAAATCCGAGCCAGTTTCTTTACCAATCTTACCTCCCCAAACCACAATTAATCCATTGATGCAACAACTTAACGCACATTCGAGTCATCGTTATCAGCAAATTATGTCAGATGGTCACAATGTTCACACGTTTTCATCTCATTCGCACAATCAGGAGCATGATGTAAGTTCCGATGACGATTTTTTGTTTGTTGGTACTGAAAACTTTTATTTACGCACCAATCAATCGCTTTTGCATGATTGTGAGACATTATTCGAGCATTATGAGAGTCAATATGGCAATCTTAATGTTGCACCGATGACATCCAAAGCACACGTTTTTAAGTTGAATGCACACTTAGTTTTGGTGATTTTGGAATTTTTGGTGCTTTATTTTGGAGTTTTGTATTATAGTTTTACACGTGAAGATAAATAATTAACAAGTCATTTGACTGAAAACATGAAAATACTCTTGATCATATAAATAACTGATGATTACTTAGTTTTATTGTGTCATAACTTTTTCTTTCTTATTGTGTAACATTTATTTTGACATTTTTATCAACTCGCATGATTTATGTTTTATTTTATTTTGTTTTTGCACATTGCACAATTTATTTTTTGCTTTGAAACAAATATTTTTACTTATGTTTGATTGAGATGAATAAAATACTAATTCAAATCTCTTCTCTTTTTTTCTTTAAATTTTCTTCTTAGACTTGAGCCGATTACGTAAACCTTGAAATTGAAATTAAGAGAAAGTTGTTATTTGAAAGTTTATTTTGAACCAAAAAAGAATTATAAGAAAAATCATAAATACTTAAGTGAACTTTAGTTATCATCACTTTGGGTTCATTGAATGTAACATTGATTGAACTTGTATTATGTCATATGCAATATTCAAGTTAATATTATTAAATCATTGAGACAAACAGGTAAAGCACATAATGATGTGAATATTTAGGAATTTCAGATGAGAATTTGGCTTGCAAGTGTTAATTTATTTTTCTAATAAAATAAAAGAGAAAAATAAAAAAAATATTCTTCGCTTAATAATAAATTTTATTGTGAGTTTGATAAAACTTTTCAATATTTAACTTATTCAATTTATGATGAAAGTTTCGACTGCAATTTTTCATCTGTTTGTGTAGATGTTTGGTAGCACTCAATAGCGAATAGAATTCAAATGAAAATTGTCTTGGGAAAATATTTTCCAACTTCAACATTTCTTCATTTCAGTGGAGTTCACGTAAACAAACAATTTGCAGTCAAAACAATATTCATCAAAAGTATTTTATCCATTTTATTGATTAAAATTATTTCAATTTTCTCAATGTTTGTAAAACATGAAATTTTCATCATCTTCTATTTAATTAAATATTTAAAATATCTATGCCTAATTTGTAATGTGGCGCTCAAGGTTGAGCTAGTCAAAGACTATTACGAAGAGAATATTAAGAAGACTTTTGAGAATCGAATAAATTTGCCTGATGCAATTGAAATAAATTTTTTGTTTTATTTGTGTTTGAAGAATCTTAGAAATTTCAGATGTGCGAATTATTTCTTTAATTTTACAATAGAAATTTCAGCTATGAAAATTATTGTGCTTAAAAGCAGCAAACTACCAAGTAAATAAAAGGAACCCATCAAGTGCTTTATACTTAAAGCTTTTTCCGTTGTGTCATCTTTGGGATAAGAACCAATGTCTTCGCCAAAAGCTCTCTTGGCCCATTCTTTGATCAATCCACCATCGATTAATCTCAGAATGATTTCGTTCATTTCATGAACAAGGTTTGACTCTTCGTTCAAGTACGTAACAACGTTTAGTTGAAAAATCGCATCATTTATAGATCTAAGATGTGTTTTTCCATTCCTATGTTTCAATTTATTTCTCCTTTTAACGTAATCTTTCATTGACATCAACGCCCCTTTAAAATCTGGATTAGTAACATCGTCATATTTAAGATTAAATTCGTTGTCATCTAAAGAGATTGACCGTTCGATAATGTGAGTTAATTCTGGTATCAAAAGATAATCTGAGTAATAAATGTAAAACTTGAAATCTGTTTTGAAAAGTTCTTCATTTGAAGCCATAGGTGGCTTTGTCAAGGTTTTCTGCATGTTTTTAAACAAACTTCCTCTGTAAGAATTGTTAATAATGAAACACAGAAATGTGAATAAAATTAATAGAGTCTTCGCAAAATTTCTCGTGGGAAGCTTATGCATAGGCACGCCCAAAACCACAGCTGTAACATTCAAACCTGCGTATTTTACGTTTCTTCCTATCACAAAATTTCGTACTTCCAATGGCAGAAAGCTCAAAACCTCAATTGTCAATAAAGCCAGTAAAATAGCAATAAAGAAAAAGATCCAGACAGTCAATTGAAATGGACTCAGAAGAATCTCAAGAGGCGTGTAAAACTTTCCTGGTGGAACCACAAAAATCAATTCACTCGTGTAATAAACATGACTTGCCTTCATGTATTTATCTCTTTCTGGTAATTCCGTGAAGAATCCCATCGTAAAATTAGCTTTTCCTTCAATAACTGCTTGCACTGGCCCTAAAATTTAGGAAAATTATGTTTAATATTTCTTTTCTAAATAATGTTTTAATTACCTGTTGAAGTTCCATTGTCATAAATTTCCCCCCATGATATTTCTTCATCAAACATTGTAAGATTGGATGTGAAATTCATTGTCTCTGACAATACTTTTAATAAATCAGCTTCAACTCCTTCTAAATCTTCAATAGTTCCATTTAAACTTCCATCTTTCCAATAAATGAACGGAAATTGATGTGACAAAGTAATTTGCAAAGGGCATCCATATAAATTTTTCATTTTATTCGGAAATGCGTGTGCTTTAAAAGCCCAAATGTCGTCGTGAAATGTATTAATTTGAACTGGTGTTGTATCTCCACATTCTGATGAATGAAAGGGATAAAATGTGAACATGAACGCTTCTTCATTCTGATCATCTGACGTCTTCCATAAGACATTAACATTGACAATGTGCTTTATCCAAAAGTTTTGAAATATTTCACTCATAAATTCATAAATATCACCAACATATCCAATGATTACGATTGCGTAACTTCCATCATACTCAAAGGTTTTGGTCGTAATATTATTTATGAGGGAAAAAAGAGATTTCTGTGAGTTGCAAAAGAAAACGTTGTCCACATTTTTGTGCTTTTTGTTGGCCAAAATGCTGCCATTGTTGATGCTATTTAAATTTTCGAGAACATCTATCGCAACTTTTTTATCAATCTGTCTTATCACCTCATTCATTACATAATGTGATTCACTAGAACTTTCATTTTCAATCGATGTGCAGAACATGTGAATTGTATGAGATTTAGTGGCATAGTAATTATCAATTAAATCAATCACAGCACGAGCTAATGCCGTTGAATAATTAGGAATTTTGAAGTTAATAAAAGCTCCAATTGTCAAATGAAGCAGTAAAAATAAATAAAGTTTTTTCCACATTAGAATATCGTGCTTTGTTAACTTGATGACAAACTTCAACTATGAACGAAAATTTCTTTTTTCATTGTCCTGAATTTTAAAACATAATTAAGTTCCATCAATTTTAGAAATTATATACATAATCTATTATTAATTACATTAAATTTTAATCTGATAAACACGCAGTACAAGGATAGTTTCGTACGTGGTAGTAACTCTAAATAGAAGAAGTCATGCAAATAATATTTTCATTTATGATGAAAGTTGCAACTGCAAATTGCATCTGTTTGTGTAGATGTTTAGTAGCACTCAATAGCGAATAGAATTAAAATGAAAATTGTCTTGGGAAAATGTTTTCCGGCCTCAGCATTTCTTCATTTCAGTGGAGTTCGCGTAAACAAACAATTTGCAGTCAAAACAATATTCATCAAAAGTATTTTATCCATTTTATTGATTAAAATTATTTCAATTTTCTCAATGTTTGTAAAACATGAAATTTTCATCATCTATTTAATTAAATATTTAAAATATCTATG